TACAAACCGTGCCAGGATGTTAGGGAAACTGATCTGAGGTCATGAGATCTGGGGTCATGAACCAACATGTTAAGAAGTGGCTATTCCCCCAGGAATGGTGGATGGACAGAGGAGGAATACTAGGGCATACTTAAAGTAGCTCGCTTAAGAGAGAGAGCACAATAAATAATAAAACAATAAAACCTGTAACAAGAAATCACCATGGCCAATACTTAAAGATCGATGTATCATTTGGCTTAATTAATTAAAAACACATCTGCTGCTTCAACTTCTCATAAACTGGATGAGGTCACTGGACGTATATCAGTGAGAAAATCTGTACCATGCATTACCAGTTACCAGCTGGAAATTTGAGAGAAGTTAATTGTCAATTAAGGTTTAGGAAAGATTTTTGTTTTAGATCCAATGCTGTCTATTTATTCAGCTCAACTTCAAAACTTTATCTTGCCTGTAGAGTTGGGGAATTATACACAATAATCACAAATAAAATGAAGTAGCTAGGCACCAGTGGCTCATGCCTATAATCCTAGCTACTCAAGAGGCTGAGATCTGAAGATCACAGTTCAAAGCCTGCCCATGCAGGATAGTCCACAAGATTCTTACCTCTAATTAACTACAAAAAAACACTTGAACTGTAGCTCAAGTGGTACAATTGTAGCCTTGAGCACAAAAAGCTCAAGGACAGTCCTCAGGTCCAGAGTTCAAGCTCTGGTACCACAACAAAAAAAGAGTATCTTCTACTACATCCCCAGAATTTCAAAAAGAGAAGGGAAATTGTACTTTCAAGTTGGCCATGATTTGGTAATGGGGCTAAATGGCTCTGATTAAAAGCAAATATGAAGAATCCAAAAACAGAATAAAAATTTAAGTATCCATATAGGTTTATGAATTCCATTGTGGCATTAAAAAATTTCTATGACTATAACATATGCAGAGAGAACAACAATGTTAGCACATCCTAAATCCTTCAAAGTTTCACTGAAGTCCTTTTTGTTGTTGGCTTCAGTAAGTGGGAAGTTCAGGCTTTGGGTCAAAAAGGAGGCCATCTCAAGGAGTGACAGAAATAGGGCAAACTTACATGATAATAACAGTAGTAGAGGGAAGAATATGAATCATTCCTCTGAAATATTTATGTGTAAGTCTTAAGAAACATATTTCTTAAAACAACACATATATCCCAACTGTATCTCAATACCAGATTAGGAATAGCATTTGTAGTCATAAAAAATTCAAAAGTGAGATGTATCTACGGACATGAATGAAATCATCATTACTTCTGAAATCAAAGATAAACAAAAGTAAAAAATAAGTAAATCTTTTTTATGTTAAAAAAATCCAAAAGTGATTTAGAGCCTTCAACAATAAATACAACACAGCTTGCTGTCCTGAGAAAGTGCAAAATTAGAAGATAAAAGACCAAACACCTGGGCATAGGTGGCTCATATTTATTAACCCTAGCTATTAGGTGGTTGAGATCTGAGGATCACGGTTTAAAGCCAGCCCAAGCACGAAAGTCCATAAGACTTTCTCTCCAATTAACCACCAAAAACCTGGAAATAGAGTTGTGGCTCAAAATGGTAAGAGTACTAGCCTTAAGCAAAAAACTGTTTAGGGACCATGTCCAGGCCCTAAGTTCAAGCCCTTAGCCCTCACAGACAAACAATGCTGCTTACAAAGCTAAATAGGAGCCATATCCCCAGGGAACAGAAAAGGCTGGGGAAAAGGGGCTTTGGTGCATGGAATCTGTCAGCTTAACTCTGGGAAGCACCTGGCTCCTGACCAGTAACTGTATGAGGCAGACAAGCCAGGTGGCCTTTCTGAGCCTCAGTCTCCTCTTCTATAAAATCCAGCTCAGAGCTACCTGAACCCTGCAGAGCTGTAAACATTTAAAAAAAATCCCCTAACGTTTATATGTGATCATGGCCATGTCACTGGGTGTCCTATTATTATCATCAGAAAGAACTTCAGCCTAATAAAGATAGTAAGTGAAGACGGTGAAGGCTTCCATCTAGTGGATTGTTTTGCAGCGCTAAATGTATGCTCTGAGCCTTTAAGAAGTGGCATTATTTCTAAATAACTAAATAACTAGAAATGACGCCCGTAGCAGATTTAGGTTTTCAGCCTTTCCTAGAGCCATTTCTGATGACATGTACCCTCTCCTAAGAGAAGGGATGAGCTATTCTGAAATTTGTATAACCTTAAACAAAAGAATAGTCTCATCACAGGAATTGTCAACAAGAAGCCCAAACAGAGACAGTATAGAGATTCCTAAAGCAAAGTGGCAAATACTATAATGTTAACAGAACTAGTGACCTACCTGCCTTTTTCTCTTCGTAGGAATGTTGACTAAAGTAATTGCCTGTGCTCAAAAGGTGTGATTGAGTCTTGAAAGACTTATTGACAACGAAGTTCTGGGTTCTATTTGAATCTCAATCCCTTTCTTACCGTGGCCCAGAGTGCCTTTCAGAAGTACAAAGGCCATTTTTGTTCTTCTACTAGGAACAGTAAAGACGTATTGCTCTTTTCAGGTACTTTTAAAATTTAGTCTCAAGGATAAAAAAAAAAAAATTAGCTTTTACATGAAAGGATGGCTAATCTTTGACGCTGTCAGGAATTCTGGGGAGGAAGGTTGGAGACCTCCGCTCAGTGGTCAGGGGTCTCCCTGGGCGAACCCCCATGAGCTGCTGATCCCACGGACCATCAATACAACCATAAAGCCATGGTTATGGTCTAGACACATATGCCACAGGCAGACTAGAACACGTGCCCTAAGACCCTTCCATGTGACTGGGCCCACACGGAACATTTTTTTTACATGAAAGAAACAAACCAACAAAAAGAAAACCAAATCCAAAGACAATGTAAATGCAGGTAGCCTCTTTACATCTCGTATACTAATCATGGTACATCTTCATAGAAAGAAGATAAAGAGAAGAAAGAGCTAAGTCAATACATTTTTTAAAAAAGCAATAGGATGCATAATGATACAAATTAAATACATTACTTGTCAACACAGGGGAAAAAATAAGAGGGGAAAATGCACAAAGACTACCACTCTCAAGTCCATACACAAAGCTAACCACAAATAAAAGAGCAAATAAACAAAAGGCAGTCTGGTTTGTGATAATTACCACGCTCATGAGTGATGACTGAAGAAAAAAAAAAGGAAGGTAGTACATTTACAGAGGTCAAAAGACAGGGAAATGGGGGGAAAGAGAAGTTGAGACTTTGGTTCTAACTTGTTCTTCATAAGAGAAATTAGAAAAAAAAAGAAAACAATGAAACAAAATATGTTAATCAGTCCAGCCAATTATTTGGGTGCATGTTGAGAAAGCTGACACACATGAAACTGACCTGACCACGGAGAGCTGGAAGAGATTCACACAGGACAGTCACTGCTGTGGGTCCAGCCCATGCCTGGCTGGAGCCAGGAGGTCACCTACGAGGCTGCTAGCTAAGGCCTTTATGGAAACGGATGGTTCCACAGACTAAGATTGAGTTACAGATGCTGTTCTGAAACCTCAGACCTCTGGGTGATCACTATGGGAAAAATCAGCTCAAGCTCCAATTCTACGTCAAGAACTCAACCATAGGACAGATGATCCTTTGGTGTTCGGGCTGCTACAGCTTGACTATGCCTGGGATTTGGGGACAGGCATGAGCTAGACAAGACATGTGCCAAGACTTCTAAAATTGTTCTGATTGGTTCACTTGGGACGCTTAAGAAGCCCTCAGTTGGTTCACTTAGGGCTGGAATTTTTCTTTTTTTTTTGGGGGGGGGGTCTGGTCGTGGGCCTGAACTCTGGGCCTGGGCACTGTCCCTCAGCTCTTCAGCTCAAGGCTAGCACTCTATCACTTGAGCCACAACACCACTTCCGGCTTTTTTTCCTGCTTATGTGGTGCTGAGGAATCGAACCCAGGGCCTCATGCATGCAAGGCAAGTGCTCTACCACTGAGCCACCTTCCCAGCCCCTGGAATTTTTCTTGAAGGGAACTAACTTGATTAAGTAACCCTGTGATTTATATTTGATGACTGAACATAAAACAAAATAAAATAATGGTACCAGCAGGGGTAAACTCAGTGTAAGCCATAAGCTTTAAAATAGAATGAGAACAGAGTTATTTTTCCTATTTGTGACATCAAAGATACATAAAAAGATTAATTCTAATTTTTTTCCCAAAAAAAAAAAAAGGTTTACAAAGACTAGGAATGTTAGATGGGGGTAAATCTATTTTCTGAAATAAGATAAGTCCAATTAAGGACCTACTGTTCTAAAGCTAATTAGCTGACAAGGTAGATGACAAGTCTGAGCCAGACTAAACAAACAAAACCAGTTCAACACACAGGGCCTCGCCAATCATCAGGCACAGAAGGAAACAAACTGAAAGTATATTTGTTTCTTAATAAATATTCCTAAAATCAAGGAGGCAGTACTGCTGATAATTGCTCTAAACAGATCACATGCTACACTTTGTGTGTGCAGAGGGTCAACAGCATCATCCAGACACAGACTGTTCATTAAACACATCTGGACATGCAAAGATATTGGCTTGGTAAGAGAAGCAGAAGTAGTGAAGGAGACGCCCGGGGTTGGTGCTGGATGGAAAGTCCTGAACACCTTACTACGTGCCCTATGGAGAGAATGGGAGCCAGGCAGGCTGGTAAAGTGGCCAGAGAAAGTCTGACTCATCCGTGTGTTTGGTGATATTGCAAATAATTCTTTAATAAGAGGTCTTTATTAGATCTCTGTTCCTTTATGAATACCAACTAGCAGAAAGAGCTGGGAGGGGAAGGCTGACACAAAAGAGAGCTCTGACTGACCTGGGGCCCAGGTTTGGGAGTGACTCATATGAGTGTTCAACAAGACACACTTGTGTGGGTCACGTGGGCCTCTTATCTGTTTTCAAACAACCCTGGATCTCTCTGTGTGAAAGGACATGGATGGTGGACGTGCTTCAGGGAGGACCAAGGACGGGCCCCAGGACGTAAGGATGAGTACCTGATCCTTCCTCTGTCACCATGCCCAGGCCTTCAGCTTTGTTTTGCCTCTCAAATGCATTTAGGTCAAGGACACTACAAGAAAAAAGAGAAACATGTTTACAGGATTCACAGGAGCTGGTCTTTTTTTTTTTTCATTCAGAAGAGTGAGTGTCTAAATACAGCATGTCTTGAAATGTGACTGGAACTTTTAATATATGCTGAGAACATGAGCCCTCTCCAATGCTCTGGTCCACGCCTTCCTGACATGCCAGCCTTTCCTTAGGTAAAAAGTTCTGTGTGAGATTCCAATACAAAGTTCTGTTTGTAGACGTCAGCTGGGGGTGGGGTTACTAAGGTGGCAAACACGTTTAAACGTAATTATAATCATCACAGTATTCCACGTTTGTATCAGGTATCTGGGCCTAATGAGGTCTGAACAATTCTGGACATTGTAAGACACAGGAAATGATGGTCACTACTTGATGATTGTGTACTGTGCATTTTCCAGCACATCATACATACTTTAAATCTCTGGTGTGGGAGGGGCTAGTTGAGGATACGGTGACTCACTGGTCATGAGGACATCACTAACACTTAAAAAGAGCAAGGCAAGAAGATCACTTCCATGGCATGCCTTTGGAGGGAGAGAAAGAGGGACTGGGATGAACAGTGGCGGACATAACACGGTGACACATGGGCCATCATAGTGCTCCTTGTTCTCACAGTGTCTGGTACTCCTTCCAAAAGGCTTCTCCTTCCCATAATGCTCTGGGTGCCTCTTCAACCAATGGAAAGAGCCAAGGCAACCAGTCAGGACAAAGCCCAGGGGAAAAGAGCAGGGAGTAACCTGTGCTAGAAGACCACCCTTCAATGGACACCAGCGGAATCCTCTCTGGGGCCTCTCTCCTCAGAGACTCTGATTACCTTCCTTACACTGGTTGTCTCTCACTTTCAAATAAACTTGCTCTGTCTGCTTTAAACGTTTTCCTGTCCTTTAGCTCTTTTATGAGAGGAGAAAACACCTTCCCTCACCCACATAGCATCACCCACAATGTTGAGTATCCTGCTTCATGTGAGGACAGAAAGACACGGCACCTGCCCAGAGCAAAGCATGTGTGTGCTCACCTGCAGGACTGCATCAGGCCTGCCAGGCTCTGGAAGAAACCCACGTCCTTCTTCTCCTTCAGGTAGTCGAGCATCTTCTGCAGAACAGAAACAGAAACATGGTTTAACCCACACAAGCCTTGCTGCTTTCTTCATCACTTTTTGCTGTCATAAGCAACCACCCAAACACTCTTTCTATTCTGAAGCAAAGGTAAAGTTACCTACCACGAACAACTACAACCATTGTCACTTGCATCATGAAATGGTGATAGACACATCAAAGTAAGACCCCTGCACACTCCCAAAGGCCGGAGGAGGTAACCTGATGCAAGCAGGAAGACTGTGACCACACCTCCATAAACACCAAAAATGGTGCCAAAATGCCACCCTGGAGGTATGGATCAAGTGTGAGCGAGCAAGCCAAGTGAGAGTGCAAGCCTTGATATTATCTCCAAAAAAGGTCATATTCGACTTATGTTTCCAGATACTTTTACCTCGGTTTACATTTCAACAGATAAGTCTGTCACATAATTATGTTTCCCTCCCATGTTCTCTTAAGAGTATTGTGGCAAATTGAAAGAGAGACAAATTTTAGATAGATATCAAAGAAATGTACCCCCTGGTTGAGGGTTTAGTTTTGTTTTTTTGAATAGTACTTTGCGGCATGCCTGAAGGCTTTTACCTGTTGCACTGTGGAATTGCCGCCGTTTAAGATTGCAATTCCTAGTTTCAGAGTAGCAGCTACCATTGGTCCAGTGTCACCTGAAAAACAGAAAACATAGAATGCCTTAGCATTGTACCTGCTACATTCACCTAGGCTGCTCTACAGACCTATGCCCCAGAAAAAGCAACCACAGTCACAATACACATCTGCCACCAATACTCTTGTGAAACTTGGGGAATAAATTCAATATCCAGGGGATTAAACAGGAGAAAGCAATTGATTGTGAAGTACTTAGGATCAGAATTATGAAGACTCAAAACCAACCATGTGCATTACACTATCAAAATGAATAGAAGCTATCTGAAAGTTTAATAAAATTTCTCTCCATCCTTCAACAGTATTATATTGGAGTTTTATCATTTGTTATTCATCACTTTTAATAGATGGGTCTTGTCAGGCTTTACTGAGATGATAATTTTCCAATTTAAATTATTCAGATAATGGTAAAAAAAAATTGAACCCACACAGTTTTCTGTTGTTTAATACATTGTATTTTATGTTATTCTCCCCTACTTGGAAACAAAAATCATCCTCATAATTTAGGAAATGTTCAGTAGCAGAGTACCAGCATTATTTTCCCATTTTAGTAAAAGTATATTAAAATAGTTTCCCAAAGAAAATAATCACTAATACAAGAAAACTCATCCACAGCTGGCTACCGAGATAGATATTTGTACAGTAGTTGTTTAAAACACTCCCTAAAGATGCCTATACATTAAAATGAAGAGTCAACATACTGTAGTCTAAGGACCAAATACAGTTGGCCTCCAGCTTATACAAATAAAGTTTTATTAGAACAAAGCGATATGGCTAGTATTGTCTCTGCTGCTTTCACGCTCCTGTAGCAGACAGAGCTGATGGGGGGGGGGGGGGGTGTCACACAATCCAAGAAGCTAGAGACAATTACTCTTTGCCTTACAGAAAAAGCTTGCAAACCCCTGATTTATAGCATCTGTTGACTAAGGTGGGTTCAGGGCAGAGCTTTCAAATCTTAAAAGAACATATATGAAGACTAAATAAATAAATAAATGACAAAGTTGGAGACCATGAAGGCCGGTGTTGGCGACACCAGGACTGGGAAAAAAAAAATCAAGGACTAAAAACATCAGCGGAATTAAAACCAGGGAGCCCTTGGCACACAGAGAGGAGAGTGGAAGAACATGCTGGCATCAATCAAGATGCACTGTACTCATGATCTGACTTGTTAAATGCTAAGTCCTCTGCACAACTACTTAAAGATCATAAAAGTACAACTTTTTTTTTTAACAAAGACTATTTCCTCCTGTTCTGAGGGCTTACCTACTCTGAACAACTCATGAATAGTTCAACAAAAGGACGACCAGAAAGTGGAATATTTTTTTTGGGGGGGGGGGCAGGGTGTCAGACGAATAGAGAAAGAAAGGGTGGGTGAGCACAGTCGTTGTATGCAGTGTGCATAGGTGAAAACTGAATCCTGTGCCTGGAAGGGAAGGCGAGGAGGTGGGGAAAACGAGGGAGGAGGACAGTAGGGGTGACCCTGATGAAGCTGCACTGTACTTGTAAACAGATCCGTTGAACGGAAACACCTTGGTACATCTGCAATCATTACACACACACAGAAGCCCGACTCACCTTTGCTGGCACTGATGGTCTGCAGGACCATCTCGGCCGCGCCCCGGTCGTGCAGTCTGGCTTGCTGGTACAGGAGCTTCTGCTTTTCCATTTCCTTTTCCTGAACACAAACCCCAACCATTTATGTGGCGGCTATCAGCCACAGAGAAGCTGTCTATAGACCATATTTTTTAGTCATCTCTCCATGTATGGGCTCTATGACAACATTATGGACCATTTCAACACCAGCAATGTCATCAAACAGATAATCACATGTTTAACTCTCATTTTTTTTTTTGTGGGTTCTTTTTGTTTGCTTTTTTTTTCTCTTTTCCCTTGATATATTCTTTTCACAATATAACTTTTGGATGGATTGTTCTCAATTTTAATTGCTTGGTTAGTCCAAAGCCTGTATCACAGTTTTTGTGCTTCATCATGGAAACTTGTACTTTCCGATTGAAATGTTTTGTGTATAACTTAAGAGTCAGGTTTTTGTTTTATAATCTCCTATGTCATGGCCAGGACTTGATACTGCTCAGCAAATGGCTCGAGTTGCAAGTATATCACTGCATCATAGAAAAAACAAAACAAAAACAAGAACATCAAGTGAGACATCTGGACTTTATACAAAATTGGAGGTTGATATGGAATTTTTTTTAAAAAAAACATAGGCTTCAACTGAGTTGTAAACTGGTAGGACAGGTCTCCCCATCACCCCTCCAAAGAACAAGAGAAGCAATGTGCCTTTATATTTTGTATTCTCTGGTGGTAACAAAAGATACTGCATGGGGCCAGCTAAGAGCAATGGCTGAAGTTGGTTCTTTTCCACTTAAGCTATCACTGCGAACATAAAGAAATTAAAAACCAAATAAATAAATAAAAAGAAAGAAAAGAAAAATATAAAGGCACAGCAAGTTCAGGTCTGGTAGGATCATTCGCTGGAGCAAGCCAGCTCGCTGGGGCACTGAGACGGAACTAAGCAGTACCAGTGGCGGCGTGGAAGTTGCATAGAGCCCCTAGGACAGCGCGGCCATCAGGATGGCGTGGTAGAGAAGCTGAGTCTATGGGACATGAGACGCTCAGTCCGCATCATGTCCGGACACACAACGGCCAGAGACATATGACCTCACAGCAGTACGAGGGTTACAGCAGAGGTAGCCAGCTTTGCTCCATAAACTTTCCATCCAACGTACGGAAAATAGACACTGGGAAGATGGAAGAGGTTTAAAAAATGAAGGCTTGCTAAGTTACGGGATATGAAAAATAAAGGAAACTAAAGAAGGAAAGGAGGGAGGGAAGAAATGGGTTCAAACAAATGAAAAAAAAAAAGAAAGAAAAAGAAAAAGAAACCTTTAAATCAAAAGCAACCAACACAGACAGTTATGCTGTTACCAGAGATTTCTCGCCGAGGCTGGCAAATTTGTTTCTTAAATCTTTGATAATATCGTGCTGTAAAAACAAAATTGATCAGGGTTTTTTTTTTCACACTATAGTTATAGGTCCTGCGGTTAAATTTTATTGTTTTTCTTAAATTAGGTGATAGGTCTAAATGGAAGCAGAGAAAAGAAAAATAAATGGGTAGCTGTGCTTCGTGTGTAGCCATGCTAACTTCTAATAGATTTGCCTTCATGTTTAAACCTCTTCCTGAGAAGTCGAAAACAAAACAGAAACATAACCACACACAGACACACAAAAACCATACGGTCATTACAACACGGTGCCAGGAAAACTGAAAAGAAGACCCTTTCGATGACTCTTTAGCTCTCACTTAAAATCAATGAAGCTATATTTGTTTCTTCCTTTTAGACCCAACCATCTTTTATTTTTCTCCCATTGCCAGAGCTGAAAAAAAAAAAAATGGTGCGCTTACAGCTTGACCAACTCCTTTTGTGAAAGGGATTTTCAGTAAGAAAATGATATAAGGTATCATTAGCTTAGGGAACTGCCCTAGCATCTTACCAACTACAGAGCCTCAGGAGTCAGAAAGAGCTGTTCTACTATTGAACACAGGATGGTCTGCACCAGGAAACCCATGAAAGATGGAAGACAGGAGTCAGTGCCACCCAATCTTAGGGACAAAACCCAACAGTTGCCATTTGTGCTCAACAGCAGGTAGATGGGCTCAGGGATCTGCTAGAACCACTTGGACAACAAGGTTTCTAGTAAGTTCTCTACAGTTGAAACCACACTTGACATGTAAGCTAAGCTGAAGAGGGTCAAGGCGTTGAGGAACTATCCAATTGTCTTCTTTAAAAAGTGAATTTCCTAAGCCGGGTGCTGGTGGCTCATGCCTGTAATCCTGGCTACTGAGGAGGCTGAGATCTGAGGATCACGGTTCAAAGGCAGCCTGGGCAGGAAAGGCTGTGAGACTCTTATCTCCAATAAACCACTCAGAAAACTGGAAGTGGCACTGTGGCTAAAGCACCAGCCTTGAGCTGAAGAGCTGAGGGACAGCGCCCAGGCCCAGAGTTCAAGCCCCACGACCACCACCACCACCAAGAAAAAAAAAAAATTCTAAGATTTATCATGAAAATAAAGAAAGAAATACTGATCTAGAAAGCTAGCAAAGCTATGGGAACCAACGCCTCCCCTGAATTTCCTGGTGAGGCTGAGTTGGTGACTCTTCTTCTGAAGAGCTGTCTCTTCCCCTTGGTTCTCCTGACTGACTCCCTGACCTCTCAGTCAGTCCTGCCTGTGGCTGACCTGTGGCTATGAAAACCAGCTGTTAACCCCAGGACCATCCCACAAGGAGGCCTCGTGCTGATGGGTAAAGACACACCGCAGTGCATGGGTGCTGGACAGGCTGGACCTGAGGTGTTTACAACTTCCCCCAGGGTTGCCTAGCAACCAGAGCATATTACGTTCAGGAGGAGGCATCAGGAAGGAATCCTGATGACCCAGACATGACGGGTCATGGCCATCCTTCACCCCAGGAAGGGGTGGCCCACGATGAATACGGTAGCTCTGGAGTCATTCCACACAGTCAAGCAACGAGGCGTGGGATGGAGCATCAGTGGCCTGCTCAAGCACTGGATTTCTAAGCCTCCCTCCTGCTTGTATCATCTCTCTTGTTCTCCTAACGCTTGCTTTCCTACATTTGTAACACCCTTAAGCTTAATAAACTGTCAGCACGCAAGCTTTCATCCTGCTTTCTCTAAAACCTGGACCGGTACATGCGGTCAGTATCCGAGGTCAATCATTTCACGTATGAACATATGCTTGGCAGCTCCCGGTAGTATTATGCAGCCCACGGAATCCCTTCCCTTTCTCTCCTCTGCAGTTCCTATTTTGAATGCAGATAGCCTCAGCAGTGAGACGTAAAAGATTGAAATTTTCTTGAGAAAAGGCATAATCAGTTTGGTATTTTAAATCCACAGTTCTATACTCAAGGATTCTACTTTGCTTACACAAACCTACTTAAAGTAGAAGCTATGTGCTGATTAGGGTCCATGCATCTTTCTTATTCTCAATTTATTCTACTGGAATTACCATCCCCCCCCCAATGGAATTCTTCAAAATTAAAACACTAGAGGGCTAGATGGAAGTCCAGTTAACTCACTACAAGCCCTGAAGATATCTGGGCTCTAGAATGACTCCTCCAACCATCATGCTACAATGCTTTAAATTAGGAGAGCATCAGTCCAAGTACGTTAGTAGGCATGGTGTAATTTTCATTACATCACACAGGAGATAATATGCTAGCCTTCTAACTTTTTGTTACAAAACACCAACTCTGCCACAGGCAGTTGTAGTATTTAAGACAGAGAAACTGTCCTTAATCCAAAGTACAGGAAGATAGAACTTCAGAGACTTGTTTATCACCAAGGTAGAAGCTTGACATTTGCAGCTTGCTTGATGATTTGAGAAAGATGGACTAGAAGAAAAGCTGAGTTCCATTCTTCTCATTTATCTAAGCTTCACTGTCATCAATGCAGGCTTTAAAAGGAGTAATAGACTGGTATTACAGGACTCTGAAAGTCACAGAAATGGTTTTACTCAATTATCATCATTGAAAGTCATAGCTTCAGGGTTTTTTTTTTGGCAAGAACAATAGGAGAAGCAACCAATTTTCAGAAATCATAGTTTAAATATAGGGTCCATTCTGGTACCGAAAGCTCTAAGAATCTCTGCTAGGAAAAAACTTCATCTGCTCAAAAATGAACTTATTCAACTTGAAGCATTATTATTTTTATTATTCTTTTTCATCTTTGTTTTCGCTCATGAAAAATTCAAAAGCTAAATAAAGCATTTAACTACAAATAGTTGGCTTTTCAGATACTCTTTCAATTAATATTGGCCTTTTAATAAGATTTAACAGTCCTTTTATGACTTTCACAGTGAAGTAGTCATAAATCTAAAGAATAATTACCTAAATATATAACCGAGCTACTCAATGAGTAGCTATAGGGAAAGCCTGTTTATGTTATAGATAAAATGTAGTAGATTATCAAGATAAATCTGAAACTGTAGCATGACTGTATCAATATAACATAAATGTGACATAAGAAAGAAGAGGAGTCGGTTTTAATCCTAACTTCCTCTTTTCCCTGTTCTGAACCTTCTATAATCCTCATGGAAAACTTCTTCATTACAACACATTTCTGAGTTTATCTACTTTCCTCAATGTCTTTGTTGAATACAAAGAGCTTCAGTAGAAACTACAGCAAAATTCATTTGTCACATACTTTGGGTTTTTCCAACTTAACATAATTTGTTACAAGAGTTATGAAAACTATAAATGTTATTAAAGTTATTAAAACTTGTAAATGCCACTATTAGATTATATATGTAAATTATGTCAAACAATCAGATATCTCTCCTGGAAGGTCTCTAAACTTATCAGGAGAGAAATAATTCAGTTGTCTAGTCAAATTTTTCCATGTTTTTGTGGGGTATCCTATGATTAACTCCAGAAAAGAGTATCTTCATAGGTGTTTTCCCTTAGCAAGTTTCCAGAGCAAATATTTAAAATACTAGGAGACAGAAATCATCACCTAGTTCCCTCCTTTAATGAAGTTCCCAAATAACTAATATCACAATGAGAAACAGAGTTTTCTCCAATCTCAACAGCAATGTCATTTACCAAGTCTAGTTTTTGAGCAAAGAGACTGTTTAAAATCAAAACAAAATTTTAAAAAATTAAGAGGGCTAAGGCCAGAGGTTGCACTGGAAAGTCCTCAGCAGACGCTTCATCCACTAACGGCTTTTAGCCTGCTCTGTATGCAGCTCAACGTCAACACAGGAGACAACATTACAGATCAAGAGTCATGTAGACTGCAAGAAGAATACATCAAAGAAAGAGATAAATTGTGTTGGCACTAACGAAGTCACAGGCAGAATTTTCAAGACCTTTGGTCACAAAAGAGTCCAAGATGTTGGGTCTAACAAAGGCCAAAGTCACAAGAAACTAAAACTCAGACCCAGACACATACACACATATACATGAGTTTACCTTGCTGCGCTGGGATCCTGTGACCTTAAAGGAAGGATGAGGACAAGAAGCAAAACAGCAATAAACAATTGCTCTAAAGACAACTGGTAAGACCATACATGCTGGGCATGTCAGGAAAATGGCATTATTTTCTGTTCACTAATCATTCTCATCCACCTGCCTCTTACTATAGAGGTGGACTTGCAACTGGAATGCACGTACATCAGAAAAGATTATGGAATCACAGGACATTAATCGTACGGCATTTCTCTCCGCCAGCAATGGTCATGGGTTATTCTCGAGTCAGTTTGTTTGGGTAGTTTCTGGTACACTGACTTCAATGCTCGCAGACATGCTTATACAAATTGCTCCTGGAAGTGGATCTGACCGCTTTCAGGTCTCCTTGGCTATGCTCTGTGGGCCCACCGTGATTTAAAGACTCATTGCCAGCTAGTGACAGAGTTCCAGATTTCTAGCTCAAAGTCTAGACATGTCAAGTCACAGGAAGAAAATGATCTAATCTCTATTTCCTACCCCTCAATTTCTTTTTGAAAAATCTAAAAAAAAAAAAGAACAACCAATAAATAAGAAGCAATAACTATTCTCATTTTTTAAAAACCTGAAAGTGTATTACACGCAAAGGGGAAGATAATATTAACTTTTCTTTCAGCCAGTCAACATTAAGCAGCATTTCAAATCACATGTTATTTTAAAGCTGAGAATGCTTGAGGACGATGATGATCATCAAACCGAATCTAGTCCTAGGAATACACATATTCCTACCACATGCAAGCAAACAGCCCATGTGCTACCACCTCGTATGTGCATGGAATGAGTGACCTAATTGGGGTGAAGTTAATGTAGCAGAACTTTAAGACTTCAATTCAGGGTGGGGGTGGAGGGAAATGCCCAACCAAAGGTATAATGAAAAACTCAAGATCATGTTACTTTTCAATAAATACTTTCCATATACAGTCGGTTGGAAATTAAGAGCCCGTAACATTGCTGAGAACAATCTGAAGCAGAATGAGGCACGCTCATTCTGAACACGGGGGCTTTCTCGTAAGGGTCAGGGAGTCTACACTTCTTTGTCTTAACTCCAGCAATGTTAGGACTTGGGTTTGTCCATCCAGCTCTGACATCACATGCAGTTCCTTGACACAATCAGCTGCAGTAAGCCATGAAGCAAGAAACATAAAGGTCACTTATAAGCTATGAACTAATGTTTCAAAATAAAGGAAAGCCATTCTAGAAAGATCCATCTTACTTCAAAGCTCTTCACTTCCTCTTCTCCATCATCATCTTCCTCATCATGACAACTCTGACATGGGGAAGGAGGGGATAAAAAAAGAAGAAGACACAAATATGGTCAAGCATAAAGGGGGAAAGAATTATTTAACACACATACAGATGAGTTGAATGAATTTATCATCACAAGTGATTCATATTCATTTTCATAGCACTGTTTAAACATACAGACTAGACAAGGTCCATAGACATTAGCAATCGGTTTATGATAAAAAATAAAGTGATATTCTACATTGTATGCTTTTACAAAATTAAGATATTAAATAGACTCTTTTACATGTAACAGAGCTCGTAGTGAGGTCTGTAACACTCTACAACATTACTTAAGTAATTTATCTCATTCAAAGACAACTGTAAGCCCTAAAGACAAAGTTCTTCTCTCTTTTTAGGCTGCCATTAGAAAATGCTAACAGAGGTGTATACAACAATCATTATTTAACATTAATAACAAAGCAATATCCACTCATTGAAATGACTCTGTAATTCTCAAGTTCAGGTCTATTATATTTCACCCAAAAGTCTACTGATATTATTCTTCATACATAATAAGTAATAATAACTATCCCATTTTTTTCACCCAAAGTGATAAAAGGGTTGGACATGGATTCTTATCTAGTTCCCACAGCTGGAACACAGGCTTGCTAAGGAGGGGGTGGAGAGGGGTGTGCATGTACACAGAAGACCTAGTGCCTGACAACTCCATTATCATTTGCTCAGACTTGGCAAGTTATTTCTTCTCCCTGTGTCTCCCTTCCTTCACATTGAGGATGGAGATGAGAAAACGCATACCTGGGTCCCTAAGAGGATGATATGGGTTAATATGTGTATAATGTTTGCATCTGAAAATCAATATGCTTTCAATAAACCTCAGCAAACACTGCTATTATGGTTGGGAATTTGGAGTCATTGGCCAATATAGTCATTAGTCAATATTGTATGTAAGAGGAAACTTATTGTCCAGATTGTCCCAAACATTCTCAGTTATTTCTTAGGCTTGCTAAATGCTTGGTGTAATTGTGAGGTGCTCAGAGGTGAAGTATGAGTTACACATCAAGAAAACACTGACACCTCAATAAGGCACAATTCTCTGGGTATGGAAATGAAGTGGAAGCAGGGTGAATGGTGTCAAAGGACTGGTCCAACGTCTCGGTGGCAGCTTCTTAAAGGTTTACATATTCTCCATTCATTCATTTGTTCAGTGAGAAGTACACAGCATCACCCCTTCCATTTAGAACAGGAAGCGTATGAGCACAGTCAAAATCTACAAGGAGGAAATTAAAGTGATGGTTTCACTATGGGGTCAGGTGCTAAGTGGGCTGGGACCACAAGAAAACACCAACAGGTCTCCAGCAATCGGGAAGCATCTGACAGAAACAGAAGACTTTGCAGGCATGTTCTTCCTTAGCAAACTTCACCCACACAGTAAGTGTGGGTGAGAATGCCCAACACATGGGGAGTTGTACATACACTTGGCTGTCCAGATCAAGACACTAAGTTTTAGTCAGGAACGAGTAGGATTCTATTCCAGGAAAGAAAAAGTAAATGTTCTCCATACATGATTAAAGGAAAAGGGAGAATAAAAACTAAAACCAGCAATGATGTGCAGAATGCAAGGAAACACAGCATTTTAGCTTTCTAGTATCTACTAGAAATTTTGCAAAAGAAGTCTATTTCTTCCATCTTCTTACTTGCCTTTTCTGACTTTTCCTTAATCTTTTGAAGAAAAGATTGAGGAAACAAAGCCAGAAACTAGTATATGGATTTAAATCTGTGAGCGAGAAATGGATTTAAATCTGACTCACAGAACTAATGTATGAGAGAGAAAGTAGCCAGCCATTTTATCATTCCAACCAATCAGTCAACAAAAAAAAATGGAACATGAGCTGTAACTCACCATGTATCATAAAGATGGGGAAGTTTGTAAGAGGTGGGAGAGAACAAGGAGAAAAGTTTTCCTTGCTAGAAACTTAAGAACAAAATCCCTTTTTGTGCGTGTGTTCAATTGGTGACAGTACCATTCCACACACTTTTGCATGGTTATCTCCCTTAAGCTGTTAAAATCAGTAGGTAATGTAGCTTTAGCCAGTGCAGAATGGATGGTGGGCAGTAAAGAGAAATTCTGAGAAGTCCAGCAAAGGAGGCTTAATGAAGGCAGCCATTGGTGTCAGCAGAAAATTAACTAGATGCAAATTAACTGATCAGAAGTTTTCTGATAGGATGTTCAAAAGAGGAGAGCTACATGCTGGATAGAAAGGTGGTCATAAAAGGCAGAACAACAATAAAACAGAGTAGCAACCCAAAGGCAGAATTAAGTGTTGCTTCCAAACTACAAAGATTTTATGTTTTTTTAAGTTATCACCAAAACAAGAACAAGACATAATATGTACATGATTTATAGCAGTTATAATAATTAACAATAAGTAGTAATACAGAGGACATGTAGCACTATTCATCTGCTCTTTTGTTTCAGAATTAGCCATCAATGAGAAGTGAGTACTAGGTACAGAAAGTATATAGACAAATATGACAACAAAAAAAAGACTGCAGTGGGATCTACTCTGTATGTCACGAATCTATTCAGTACGTCACAAATTATAAACTATCAGAATCTCTCTTGGACACTGCTGGTAGAGAATGTAAATTCAGGGTATAACTTTGGGAAACAATTTGACATTTTTATCAAGTTGGCATATATCCCACTGTTTCTAAATTTTGTATAACAAGAGATATAAACTAAGAAGAGGCAAGCCAATTCCTGTTCACTCGAGGCTGTGGCACAAAAGCCCATCCGAATAAAAGGCAAGTGGATAAGCGGCAAAGTACCTGCTTCAAGAAATATAATAGGACAGTCAAATGAACTCCAACAGCAACAGAGACATGTGGACAAAATCTCAGAAAACAACACTAATGAAACAACTAATCCCAGAGCATTACATTTACCTTACTTTGACAAGTTAAAAAAAACCCGGAAATTTAAAATATGCTTGATAAATGCATGCAGGTAAACAAAATTATAGGAAAAGAATGCCAAGGTCATCTTAAATAGAGGGCTGATGGCTTGTGTGGGAGGTTGAGCTGGTGAAGGGTGGTGAAGGGCTAGACCATCTGTGTGTTAATCCAAGTCTGACCTTTTCATGTGAATAGTGGATTTACAAAAGCTTCTACATTACTACAAATGACTACACAACCACAATTCACAAAGCAGGCCACCAATGGATAAAAAATGATCATCAAATGAACTGAAACTCTGTGATCATAAAGTTAAGAAACAATTTAAATGGAAAGCTGAAACCTAAGATTTAAACCCTTCCTCCAAAGGAGTGGCAATGATAAAAGAAGACAAGAGGAAGACACTCTGGAAGAGACTCCGGACAAATGAATGAGTGGGTGTGAGGGTCGAGAAGCCTGGAAGAGAAACTTTCACTGTTACGTGATGCACCAATATGGAGAAAGGCTACCCCCACCCAACACCTGCAAGGAAGTTGTGTCTCCACTAGCAGCTCTATTCTAGAATAGCTTATCCAAGTAACTGTGGAGCATGGATCTATCTCTGACAACTTTTTAGACAGAATGAAAAGATGTAAGTTTGTAAAATATATATGCATAAAGAGGGCTGGGAAGGTAGCTTAGTGGTGAGTGCTTGCCTAACATTCATGAAGCCTTGGGTTCGATTCCTCAGTACCACATACACAGACAAAGCAGGAAGTGGCATTACAGCTCAAGTGGTAGAGTGCTAGCCTCGAGCAAAAGCAGTTCAGGGACAGTTGCCCAGGCCCTCCCTGAGTTCAAGCCTCAGGATGGGCAGAAAAGAATGTAGATTATGAGTCTGGGAAAAAGTTTACAAATAAACTGTATTTACCATCAACTTAGATAAACTGGGAAATCCCCAAATAGATGGGAACAGATCGCCAACACTGGATGATAAAATTGACCTCAAAGAGCTTTTGGTCTTGGGCAACTGTCTAACTCTAGCTAGACAAATGGTGACATAACTTAATTTTCAAAAATCTGCCTAGGCCGGGTGCCAGTGACTCCTGTCTGTAATCCTAGCTACTCAGGAGGCTGAGATCTGAGGATCACGGTTCAAAGCCAGCCCGGGCAGGAAAGTCCGTGAAACTCATCTCCAATAAACCACCAGAAAACCAGAAGTGGCGCTGTAGCTCAAGTGGTAGAGTGCTCGCCTTGAGCCGAAGAGCTGAGGGACAGCACCCAAACCTAGACCATGACCAACCAAAAAAAAAAAAAAAACTGTCTAAAAACAAGGTATGTGAAATGAAATCAAATAGAAATCCAGAACATGACTAGGAACTCAAGTTGATATACACACTCAAAAATGGGACAGAAATATGAGCTGGCTGTCAAAACTGCAATGAGTTTCTCCACCTGGTAAAGGACCCTTAAACCAGAGGAAGGACATGATGCGTACATTTCATACATATGAGCAGATAATCGGAAAAGTGTGTGTTCAATTAACTATGGGAGGGGATATCTGATCAATTGGGGCACTTGCACAGTATAATAAATGGAATCCCTTGGGTACATTAAATAATAGTAATAGGCTAATTCTGAAGAGGAAAATCATAAGACAAAGAATCAGCACCTTAGTCATCATGACACTCAACATCCACCAAAACGAGATGCGGCTTTAGGACACAAGGCCTTGCTTGGTCAACTGGGAACAACTTCACCAATCAGAAACAGCCTGTTCCCAAGTCGGAAGCTTCTCTGTCTCCACCCCTGTGTTCCTGGGCACTGAGCCACTCTGGTACCTTCCTCAATCACAGTCAGGTAAAAAACTCTTTAGCCTTGCATCCTGAGAGCACATTTGGTTGGAAGAAGTACCCGGTGAAGTTGCGGAACCAAGAAGACTGAGTCTGCACATTCAGACAATGACCTTATAAGTAAGCCAGGCTCAGAAGCCTTGGCAAAAGCTTGGCTCCTCTTCTATATCCAGCCCTTCCTCAGTTCATCTGCTTGCTGAGAAAACGAAGTAAACAAAGAAGGCTCACTCGCGGTTACTCTCTCTGTGTGGCAAAGTCATCCCTCAACAGTCCAGGGCTGCCTCTCAGGCTCTACATTGTTCTTAATACTCTTGTTCTTAATACTCTTGATAGATCGTCTACCATTTCATTTACAGAGTTTTCATCTGATCATCTGTAGAAAATTTAATCTTCCCAATCAGATGTTGAACTCTGAGAAGTCACGTGGTGTGTTTGTCTTTTTCAACACATGATCTTTAGGACCTGGGTAACCAGCCAGTGTTTGCTCAACAAATGGATGTTTGGAAAATTAGTCAGTACCCCATTAACAAAATTGTAAAGTAAGAAATGATGGTTGCTTGTCTAGGAAGTGGGGCAGAAATGTGTTCAACAAGTAGAAAACTGAAAACTCATGGGCCTTGTGTTGCTAAGAATTAATAACCTTCTGTTTTAAGCCCCAAATATGTTATTTCTTATCCTTTGCCAAAAGAAAGCAACCTCTCTTTATTAAACATTAAGATCAGGGAGGATATTTATTTACCTTTGCCATAATATCTGCATAGGCCATATATAAAAAATCTTCCTCCAGTTTGCTATGGAAAACAAGAAAAGAAGGCATCATTATTGAAGTAGAAGTCTAGTCACGTGTGGTTAGACCATCATTGTCTCAAATATTTTTCTTGTTTTCTAACAAGCACCATTAAATGAGCACAAAACTTAGGAAACAGTCCTTCAAACATATTTTACAGTAAGCAATCAAAGCGCTCAGAGTTCCTAAACATCCATCACTCCTTACCTTCTAGAAGAGATCTTCAAGTCTCAGAAAAGAAATGAGCTATTGATTTGCCTACAAAGGTAATAACTTTAATTTTCTTCCAGCTATAAGGTTTGAGACAAGAAACTTTAAATGACATGGGAGCTTTTGATGGCAGAAGTAGCACCTATCACTGAATGGGCAGACTCCTCAAATCATGTTACAGTGAGAAACAAACAAGACAACTATAATCTTGACTCTTACAAGTTAATACAAGATAAAATATGCTTAGCATCTTCTTTGTAAAGATGTATGAAAACGATTAAAATATTAGGGGGAAAAGTTTCCCATGAAAAAGTAACAAAAATGTGTAATGCCATTTTTAGCAGTTTAACATTTTGGCTATAAGAAAGAAATTGCTTATGACAAATACCTGAGCTCTTGACAATGCCAGACAGAGTTGCTCTATGCTTAGGGATGAGATGGTTTCGTTAATTGAGAAATAATAAGAGACAGAGAGGGAAAGAGGGAGAGAGAAACGTGAGCGAGCAGGACAGTGAAAGGATGGACCACATTCACTGAGAGGGAGAAAAGTACTCTGTTATGACATGCAGAGACCACGTGAACTCTTCAGGACTTCTGAGAAGACGCGTGTGGAGATGGTTGACAACTCAATGATCTCCCTGGTTCTGAGAGAGGGTCAAGACCCAAGGAAAGTTAGCTTTCTTTCATAAAAAAAGTGAAGGAGATAAAGGTTCTAGAATATTCCCAATGCCTCGGTGTACAGAGTTTATTTTTGCAGCCTCCCCAGTAGTGAGCAGAGGCAGAGACATTGTGATTACTAGGTCTCAAAGTGCATTTTTAAAGTTTATGTCTATAGAAGTGTTCCCTTTGTGACAAGAAGCAAAGAAAATTGGCAATACCCTTAAAACAGACCTCAGAGTTGAGAGATCGCTTGAGTTGAAAGAACAACTTACCCACACCCCTGAAGGGCTTCCTACGACCCACTCAAATGGAGATACCATTTACCTCAGTCTCTAAGCATTTTGACACCAAATTTGGACTTGCGTTCTTTTATATTATTTATAAGGGATTTTTATGATACAGAGAGAAGGCATTTCATTGGGGAAAAAACACAGAATCAACTACATCGGCCTATCACAAAGAACTCCTATTGTAGGTGGGGGACACCTGACAAGGAACGGATGAGGCTCAGGAGCTCAGCCGGAGGCCCACGTCTGCAAACACCGTGGTCTCTCCTGACAGGAGCAAGGTGAAACAAACACGGGACAGGAAAGGAGTTCTTTATTTGTTCCGCCCAGCTCCTAGGAACCCTCCAACCATACCATTTCTCCGTCAAAGCCGTGCGGCTGAACAGAAGGATGAGCTGATGCAGGGGGTCAACTCTCTTAGTGCCTTCATCTTCCTCTGGAGGCTCAGCTCCAGGTTTCTGGAAAAAAAAGTCCAGTGTATGAATGGTGTCACTTAAAAGAGATGTTCACTCAAATTCAGGGGTAAAGCGCAAAAGAGAACCCATCCTTTTTCAGTTTGCATGATGGGTAGTCTATATGAGTGCTGTAATGGATATGTATATATGTATACATTTGTTTATGTATGTGTAACATACATACATAAGGTACATACAGAAACAATGTTATATAAATTACATTACATAATATATATGGTATTACATTATCAATTAAAAACCATGTAGCTTAAAACTGCTATTTTGTAATCTGACAAAAAATTATTATGGGCAAGGATGACCTTCAGAGATAAAAATTTCCCACTGTAATCTCACGAGCAGGTTATAACTAACTGAAAGCGTATTTGCTATGCAAGCTTCAGTTTTGGAGAATATTAAATTTATTAAAAAATTCAGTTTTATATCATAAGTATGAAATTTGAGTCCACATATATGCAGCTGCTTCCCAGATAAAATATTTTATTTGTCTATACAAAGATAGACAAAGAATATAACATGAGGTAATGCTTGAACTGGTTACTAGTTTTTTTTCTCATATTTTCACTTATTTTAAAACAATTAAATTGTGTGGTGGGAGAGAAACTTTAACAACGAGGAAAATTATTAAGCATTTTTCTTTTCTGGAGAATTAATTAATCCTGACTTTTAATTTGATTGCAACCCTGCCTACACATGATGCTAGACTCTCAGGTGTGAAGTCTCACAAGGGTGAGATGAGAGAGACTCAAACTAAGGATCATTGAAGTCTCTGACTACATTGAAAAAATTTCGTGGAACTCTATGCTCAAAATTTTTTTTTTTTTTTGGAAGATGGCTTTTGTCTGCAAACCAGCAACTTTCTATGAGTCTTCAATTTCTTCGGCATTTGATTCCTGAGGTTGGTGGAGTTTGCTGGAAGAGTTTAAAAAGAATAATCCAAGCATGTTTAATTAATAATATATTTGTATTTTTTGTCTGAGATCCCTTAGATAAAGGTAGGAAGCTTTTTCTGCAAACGCTGAGAAGTACCAACTGTGTTTAAGAAAAAAAATATGTTTCTTAAGACCAAGATAGTGCATGGATACTCTCTGTTCTTCAATGTTGCGTAAAAACTCTTCCCACTGACCGTGTTTCAGCAAGCCCAAACCCTTTTCCACTTAAAACAGCACTGAAAACGTACAGCTAAATCTTCAATCAGTTTATCTTCAAAGTAATGCTCTTCTGTCTCAATCCAGGACTTTTCATATCCCTGAAGAAAGAGATTGACAGCCCGATGCCTAAAAGAGAAACACAATTTCAAACAAAATTTTTGTTAAACAAAAGGAAGTTGAAAAGGAGTTCAGTAATACTTTATTACTAGATTTTTCTGTATATTAGAAATTAAATAAAATAAAAATAAGCTTCTCATTCTTGATATTTCTCTTCAGAGGTAGCCCTTTGTAATACACACAGCCAGGCTTCTCAAATCACTTATGGACTTGGATTTAAATCCCAACTTGGCCATTTCTGTGCTTTGTAACATTGGTCAAGTAATTCATGTGTACTTTACATGATCAAAATGAAATATAAAGAATGTTGGATAGAATAGTATCTAGAGAAGCTATTTTTACATAGAATGGCTCTTGATAAGCAATGTAATAAATGTTGATAGAAGAACTAGTCTGAATTCAAAGGAACAATAGACACAGGCCTTGAAAGTCTAGAAAAATAGAAGAAAGGAAGCCTTATAATCAAGGATTATCATAAGGATACAGCCGAGGTGACCGATGGAAGCTATTGATGACACCAGAAGCTAAGCTTGGGAATAACCTAAATAGGCTAAGGAGTCCCGCGACAAATTGTGAGACAGGTTTACGAAGGGCCATCTCCTCTAGAAATCACCACAAATTCTAGACCTGAGAATTTCCAGCACAGCTGTAGGCAGCAGACAAGCTAGGCCCTGGTAAAAATGATGATTGCAGTAAGGTTCAGACATGGATGTTTCTGAAATGCATGTAGGTCTGTCTCACCAAAGCATCAGCCTGAAGTGGGATAGCAAACTCAGTGGGTCTTAGAGTAATAAGTAGGCTCTAAATCTCATTTTCTAATAATGTGTTTTACATCATGACTCTCCCTTGTGGCCACCTCTTCTCATGCACTGTCCTTGCAGCATCATGTCCAGTATAATTATTAGAAAATAAGATTTAGAGGGCTGGGAAGGTGGCTCAGTGGTAGAGCGCTTGCCTTGCACGCCTGAGGCCCTGGGTTCGATTCCTCAGCACCACATAAGCAAAAAGAAAAAAGGCGGAAGTGGCACTGTGGCTCAAGTGGTAGAGTGCTAGCCTTGAGCTGAAGAGCTGAGGGATAGTGCCCAGGCCCAGAGTTCAGGCCCCACGACCGGACCCCCCCCCCAAAAAAAGAAAGAAAATAAGATTTAGAGAAGGACTGTACAGGAGAAAAGGCGAATGGGGCTTGATGGTTCATATTCCATTTGACCACATGGTGATACCAGAACTAGATCAGAGAGCATCGAAGCAGCACAGAGTTTGAGGCAGAAGCCAATACATTTGAGACTCCACACACAGAATGTAATGGTAAGGGATTTTCCCATCTTAGTAAAAGTGCAAAGCATGATGTTTTGTCATTTATCTTGGTGGAGCATTTTGTTTTGTATAACATTTGTTCAGTTACTCAAGGCCAATGGGCCATTCTCTGTCCAAGGTGCTGAAAAATAGAAACAAACAAAACTAAGGAAAGGAACAGATAAAGATGGCTATTGCTCATCCTCAGATGAATAAACAATGATATGCATATCCAAACTACGAATATTGCTTCTCCATTCATAAGTGTGTCATCTATACCTGTGAGAGAAGGTGATAGATCTATCAGACTCATTTGCCTTATTTTCCTGTGAGTCAGGATAGCTCCAGTTCTCTTCATATATATATGTATGTATATATATATATATATATATATGTATATATATATATATATATATATATACACAGACACATATATATATGAATGTAGGTATGTATGTATATATAAAATATACATATATACACATATAATACATACATATATATTATATAATACATATATAATATATATTATATATGCACAAAGTCCCATATGTTCTATATAAGTTCATTCACTTTAACCCCTCTAAATTTTCTAAACAATTTTATGAGTCACTTCTTAGAGTCCCAGATGCAAAAAATCCTAACTTGTTAGAATGTAGTTAAGCAAATAACCTGACCAATGTAATATAGCATAGAAACCATGATACATGGGCTGAAGTCAAGGCAGTTTGACTCTAAAGTACTCATTCCTAAACACTATGTGTTCTTGCATCGAGATGTCCTTTGACAATTACACTGCAGACCTCAGACCTCTGGGAAAAGATCAGCAAGGAAAACAAAGTGAAATATCATGAAAAGAATCAATACATCTCTTCCATCTTTGCTTGGACTACTACACTGCATTTGGACATATTCCACTCACTTACTACTGAGAGGAAAATACCCTTAATTTGTTGTGAGCCTTGAAAGCGTTCTTACCTTGGCAGGTTGTACAAGGGAGCCATCCGGAAGCAGGCCACAACTGCCCTTTTCCTCTGCTTAGACAAGAGCTTGTGCCACACGGCTTTTTTAGATCTCTGAGGATGCTCCACCTGGAGTAGAACAGCACAAATAAACACAGATGGTACCCAAGCTACCCTTCAGAACACTGTATCAGATAGCCGCACTGTGGACCTTAAAGTTATTTTGGTCAAATCTATAACCTAAGTTACCCATGGCCAAATGTGAGATTGTTTCAAACATCCCACCATGTCCTTAGTAAAAGTTTCCTATGTTGTAGAGAGTGTGCTTCACAAGCTTTGTCATCTCTAAAATCAGATGTTAAAGCATTCTGTAGAAAGCCACATTTACTCAGACTCTTTGGGTTTTCTTTCTTTTCTCGGGGCTCTAATTCTTAGGCTGGTGCTTTACCATTGAGGCATGCCTCCAACCATTTTAGGGGCTCCGGTTGATTTTTTGAGAGTCTCATTGTTTTGTTTGTTTTTGCTTGGGCCAGCCTGAACCATGATCCTACTATTTACACTTCCTAACACAGATGGATAGATGGGATGACAGGCACACATACCCACACCCAGCTTCTTCTGTTGAGATGGAGACTCATGATTTTTTCCCCAGACCATGTCAAACTGCAATCCTCCTGATCTCTGTCTCCTAGTATTAGCTAGGTTTATAGACATGGGCTACTGGCCTCAGCCTCTTTAAACATTTGCCATCTATATGAGGAGTTAACCACTTCTTACATACCTACATATCCACAGGAACTAATTTCATCATACGTACTACAGTAGCAAGCATGAAGAGTCAATGACAACTCCACTTCTTTGAAGGAGATGACAAGGCTTTTGCACACAATGTATCAGGAGTGAGTACAGGGATTTTATTTTATAAGAAGGCTCAAATGAAGAACTACTGTGTTAGATAAGGACAAATGCTGATTTTTATGTTACAGGACATAACAAAAGCAGGCTATCAATTTTAACAGATGGTGACTGGAGCTTGAAAGAGAAAAGAGATTAATGATAATAAGTATTAGAAAGAAAGAGTCCCAACAGGGGAGTCTAAGTTAATTAGTAATTGCTAGGCAATTGAGCACTGTACTTCCCAGACTGTAATAGCGACGGCCAGTATATTTAGATTTCTGGAAGAAATAAAAATGTTACATTAGCCAAAAAAGTAAAACTGACTTCATTATCCTTTGCACTAAAGCATCAAAATATGAATACAGTAATACCTTAAAAAACACAATGTCTGGACTATATTTGCTTAGAACTTTTAACAGAACTTGTAGAACTAAAGAACATTTATTTCTGTGGCCCTCTATCCTCCAGGGAATCAATAAAACACTTAAATGCCCACATCAATTTACTTCTTTTCTTCCTGCTCTTCCTGCCTCTGATTCTTTCTTTCTTTCTCTTTCTTTCTTTCTTTCTTCCTCTCTCTCTTTCTTTGTCTCTCTCTTTCTTTCTTTCATTTTTTGGTCATGGGGCTTGAACTCTGGGCCTGGGCGCTGTCCCTCAGCTCTTCAGCTCAAAGCAAGCACTCTACCACTTGAGCCACAATGCCACTTCCAGTTTTCTGGTGGTTTATTGGAGATAAGAGTTTCACAGCTTTTCCTGCCTGGGCTGGCTTTGAACCACTATCCTCAGATCTCAGCCTCCTGAGTAGCTAGGATTACAGGCGTGAGCCACCAGTGCCCGGATTGATTCCTCACTTATAAATGAAAAAAATGGTATAGAAATATATATAATTTTGTTTACCAGAGACATGCGAGCAGACAAGATGCATGACACGGTCACAGAGACACGTGGCATGGCGTAATAGCACCTATGTTTGTCTGGGCCTAGGGTCCAGGCTAGGGGCAGGGCCATAGAACACTTCCATTCCCAGGCACTGGACTGACAGGTTCAGCAACCTATCAGCCAAGTGAAGGCAGGAGTGGACATTTAGATAATATGAAGTATGAATCAAAATGCCTAAAATTGCTATGACAACATATTCGGATATGGCCAAAGGAGATTCAAAGTTAAAATTCATTCTTCAAAACACTTAGGTGACAAAATTCCCAAGCTGGCATTGGACATTTCACTATATCATGTTCAGTAAGCAATATATGTGCCAGGTGAGCACCATAAGAGAGCCCTGGCCTGGTAACCCATCACTGGGAGGGGAACACAGACCCCACCCTGCGGTGTCATCCCCGTGGGAAGAAGACAGTGTTTGGGATGCACAGACTCTACCTGACACCCAGAAATATGGCTGCCCATTCAGGATGGCTCAAGTATTACTCAAGAGACCTGGAAACTCTTGAGCAGAGGGGGGAAAGCAATGAAAACATACAATGGCTCATATGATGACACGGTAGACAACTGCAAAGTTATTATGCAAATGTTTTTCTCATGTGGGTTTTTAATATCCACTTATTACCCTTCCCTAAATGGAATTTATTTCTGATCTTGAAGAGAAATCACTCAAACTATCTCTAATGAAAGGGCAGGTGGAACAAGAAACAAAAGAGAAAACCTTTGAAATATGACACCAGGGAAAGAGAGATCCTCATGTATGCTGTTGCAAATGGAAAGAAAACCGACATAAGCATAAAATGCTTGAAATCAGGCATAACATCCAATTATCTTGCCAGGAAGTTTTAGAGTTCTGTAATTTTAATCATCTGTACGCATTCAGAAATATTTTGAAAAAGATAATAAAACAAAGGACTGGAACCCTTGAAATATATTAGCTATGCAACCACTCACAAGTTTTAAGCTTGGAAAATGTGTAAATTAACTACTAGATACCCTTGAATTACATCTTTATAATTAATAAGTTGAATCTATGTGTCTGGGGGCACAATGTTTAAGAATTCACATAGATCTTCTTTTTGGAAATATGGTGTTCAGTAAATGCAAATCTGATTGAATCACCTGTTCAAGATGGAAAAGTACATTTGCGATATCCAGCACTCTCTCCACTGTCCTCTCTGGATCTGAGGCATCCTCGGTCCTGTTTGGCAAGTCTTTGTAGAGAGCCATCTGCCACCTGATTGCAGGATCCTCCAGCTGAAGGACAAGGGGGAGGGCATAAAGCACAAGGCACTGATGCAAAGTCGTACATAATCTGCAAGTACTTATGAAGCCCAACACAGTCTTAAGGTGTCTGCAGATAGAGCTAGGTCAGGTGAGGAAATCCAGGGGTCCAACGGAGAGCACAGTGACCATCGCTGATACTACACCATTGAACACTGGAAACTTCTGAATTCCTGGTGCTCTTACCATCTGTACAGTAAAGGTTATTTTGTGGGGAAGAGTGGCGCTTGCTTAACCGATGTCCACATGTCACAGTGTACACCAAAATGTCATGTGATGTACTCTAAATATCTATGATCGGGGGGGGGGGGGGGGGGAAATAAAACCACTATACAATGAAAATGGCAGGTAAAGAAGACCCTTGTGATCGTGAATCTTATTCATCTATTTTCACAGGGCATTGTCATTTTTATTATTATTATCATTAAGTAGTTGTACAAAGGAGTTGCCATTTAACAAAGTGGCTTATGAATGCAATCTATCTTGATCAATGGTGAGAATGTTGAAACCTTATTCATTGTAATAAGGTCTACCTTACCATGAGCTGTAATCTACTTTGTGGTGCTTTGGCATCATTCTCTCAGCACGTGAAGGGGACTCCATGCCTGTCTGAGAGGTGGAGATGAAGGGAGGATGCAAAGCCCTTCTTTCTTTTCCCCAGTCTCCTAATGCGTTCACTTTCACAGGTGATAATACCAACTCAGGGAATTTAGAACACAGCTCATTCTCACCGCAACAAAGAACTTAATTGTACATCATTCAGGATGCTTTAACTAAAGATCAGTTGTTACCTTTAGAATATTTCTTTTTTACCACTTTGGTTTTGAATTTTTAACACAAAAGAATTTGGAAGCAGGATAATGACTACTTGAAATGTTTTTCAGTGCCTCCATGGAGAAGGAAAATGATCTACAGCATCATTGTAAAGAGAAATGAGGCGATTTGTAGACATTACAAGTGCATTCGGGTAAAATGTGGCTTACCTTGCCTTGTAAGTGAATATTAGTACGGATGATGTCTCGTACTTCATCCTCGGTGTCTTTCTGTCAAGAAATACATGTTAACTAAAAGGAGGCTTAAAACTTGTCAACTGTCCCCAGTCACTAGATACCACTCAAAGGTCCTTTGCGATCGTGTATGCCTGACAAGTATCTTTGCTAAGATGCCAACCATAGACTCGGGGCACTCTCCTTCAGAAAACTTCCCAACATCGCCGTGCCTGCTTTTATCACACAGGAAGCATATCATCACACAGGAGAATTTGTTTCCAACGCATAGCAAGGAGAGGCTTGCTCAAGCAGAAGGTAAATACACCCCTTCCCCGCAAAGTGCCTTTAGCCCTAATCCTCCACCATGTGGGAAAGACGAGGACTATCCACCTGGGAATGAAACAGACCAGAACTCGCACACAGGGCTTTGCCTGGGTGCCAGCTCTTTCCCCACCTCCCCTCCAGACACTCCTGCCTGGAAGGACAGACAGATGGCTGCTGCACTACTGCTCCAAGGTACCCAGGGTAGGGAGCAATGCCCTCTGAGTCTCACACATATATAACTTCGAAAGAAAACAAGCAACCACTGATGTAAGCCTTATGAAAACAAAATGAAAAACAAAATGGCCTCATAGAGCATGGACATTTGCAAATTAAATGTCATCAAAGAACATGAAGCCAAAGGAAGGCAGGACCTGGTGGTGGAAGGTGAATGGTCGCAACCCCCAGGGTGGAAAGAAGACTTACCAGACTAAACCGGTTTTTGGCCAGTGCTATGAGTTCTTGGTCGCCAGGGGCGCAGATATTGAGGCCGACAGGAAGCAACCGCTTCAGAGCAGCCACGATGAGAGATGTCTGCATGGAGTACCGGTCCCCTTTGCGCTTCATTTTCTTCCTCTCCTGATCAGAAACTGCTGCCTGTGGAACAGAAAACAGCTGGGACAGGTGCCCGGATTCTTACACGCAGGACTAGGAACCTTCTCTGACTCAGTTGTTACTTCTGCCTTCTTGTTTTCTCCTGGTTCTTATTTTTCCGAAAGCAAGCTGTCCTGGAACATTTTTTCCCCTCTTTTGATCTCAGTGTCTTTAAGGTTCTACTCTCTAATTCCAAGGTCATTACAACTCATGAGGACAAGTTCCCGGGTAACTGTCAGAGCCAACAGGCACGCTGTGATGTTACAGAAGCAGAAATGAAGAAGGGCGTGGTAATTTCAGATGTTCTATCATCCTATGTTTTGTTGATGTTGGAGACACTGCCCTTCTCGGGACTAAGACCTTCCAAGGGAAGATCTGATGGACAAATAAACCTCCCAGGGCCCCCATTCCTCCATGTCCACCAAGCTCCCATGCTCCAAGCAAGCTCCGCCCGGCCTGACCATTGCAGAGCCATGCAGCAGACAGCTAAAGATGCCCATGAGGCCCAGGGACCAAGAAAAAGTCTGACTACCCAACCCTGCATCTCCTGCTTAGCCTGATCCACCTAGAAACCACAAGAAAGTCTGGTGCTCGCATTGTGATTTCCTGTGTGACGGCGCTATGTGGTGCGCCCCTGCTGGTTGCATCTCACCAGCCCCAACCCTAGCCAGTCCTTGGGAATCTGATAGAAACCCGCAGGGACCATGATCACGCTGATCAGATCCCACTTCCGAACATTCCAAATGTAGAAAATATGGCAGAACATGAGAGAGGAGTGGAACAGATGAGCATGGTACCTTGGACATCTTTGATTTCGTGTCAGTAATAAGGAAAGACATGTTGTTGATTTCATTCTGCACAACGAAGTTCTGTTCTTCTCTTTTGAAATTCTACCAAAAAAAAAAGAAGAAGAAGAAGAAGAAGAAGAAGCAAAGGGAATGTCAGTTAAACCCAAGCAGAGGAGAAGGTCAGGTAATTAGAGGTCACACAGAAGCCAGTAGCTTTTTCTGAGACAAGCACTGACCTGCTATGTAGCACTTAGCAAGAAAGTCAATCATATGCATTGAGTTTCTGGGTATCTAAAACCTACATGTAGATATGTTTACTTCCAATAAGGCAAAGAAAGATTAAGTCACCAGAGCTCAAAATCACCAGGTAAAAATGATCACTCCAGCACCAACGTAGCTGGTGCCCAGAGTCTATCTTCCTAAGATAAGCCCAGGTTTCTCAAGACTAGTGATGCTAGTGTCTATACTGAGAGATATCTTATCTGTGTTATGACATCTCTTTGCCCACTTTGTATTCGAAAACGTATGAAGAATGAACACATGAATTCACGTTCAACTAACTATTCACAGTGAATACAATCCATAATAACAGACCTGTGTTTCAAAAGCCAATGTGAAAAATGTACATCAAACACATAGAATTTTCTTTTCTTGAAAGTATCCTTAGACATTCATCTGAAAACCTACTAATTATAATACTTTCCTATTCCAAACTCTTGCCCTCTATATACATTTCAAGAAGCTTCACTGGTGTTTTAGCTCTTGAGAGAGTTGGGTGGTGTCAATCTCCCAAGGAAAACAAGTCAGTTTTTCATTTTCTTACGTGATTAATTCCTAGGCTTGTCCTATCTGCCCATTAGCCATGATAGGAAGGATAATGCACCAGAGAAAACAAGGATAGAAGAGCCAATCCATCTCTGTTCTATGGAAGGTGAAGATGAATGGATTTCTTCTACAATTAATTTTTCCTCTGAAATATCCTAGATAGTCTAATGCATCCATTTTAAAGAAGATGCATAGGGTGCGAAATCCTTTTCTGGGCAGGATGATGCTTGCCTGTTCTCTCGGCACGTGGGAGGCAGAGGCAGAAGAATCATCACCAGTTCAGGGCCAGTCAGGGATACACTGAGTTCAAGGCCAGCCTGAACTCTACATAGTAAAATGTAGTCAATGGTGTAGCATTTATTTGTCCAGAGAGTGCATCTTTAATAATAGCATCATAAGCATTGTTTGTTGTCTACATCTGAGTCTGCTGAACATAGTATCAGACATAGAGAAAATAGAATGGAATAACTTTTATAACATGTACATTTCTATCTCTACACTGATACTTAGTATCTGTGGAAGATCTAAAATAATTTTCCACAGATAATGAATATTTAAATATGTGTGTATATATACATATATATATATATATATACACATACATACATACATATGTGTATACACACATATTTGGTGCTGGGGACTGAATACATTGAAAAACATTGTCACAGCCAGTTACCATGGGGATGGACACATCAAACAATAGACTGTCCCTCTTCTTACACTTACATGGGACTTGGACCAGTAGATAAAGACTTCGGCCACCATCCGGAACAGTTCCTCCGCTTCTGGGTTAGGTTCCTTCAGCCATTTTGCTCTGGATCACATAAGTAAAGTGATTTCTCAGTTATGCCTTAGACTTTTTTTAATTACCATCACCAAAATCACCAAAGTTAAATGTGTTGATCACAGAGCTCACAATAATTTTAGTGTACATTCAAGACAGTTAAAACACATAAACATCATAACTGTCCAATGTCTTTTATCTGCCAAAGCTAGGATACTTCAGAATATAATTTCCAATCTTAAATTTAAAAGGCCTGATGACAAAAAAAAAAAATGCATCTACCCAATAAACACATCTATGTTCTAACCATGAACAAGCTCCGGTCCAATCAGTGAAGGAAACAATTCAATAAAGTGTGAAGAGCCAAGTGAGGTTGGGGCTGACTGGGTGTGAGTGACTTGGAGGCCGGGTACCTGTTATAGTCCACAAATCGAATCAAGAGAGGGTAGAAGGCGTAGAGATCTCTGGCCAGTGTGGTGAACTCATCGAGAATGAGGAGCTCAGCCTCCGACATGTCCCCTCTGGCCTCGGCTTTCAGATGGTCTTCCTCCGAGACCACCATGGCCGCCTTCTTCTTCAGTTTCTCCATTAATGGCAGGAAGTGTGTTTTCAAGAGCTGAGGTTTCACTTTGTTGATGATAGGCTGGGAGAATACTGTTGGGAGACAGACAATAGAAAGCTGCTCTGATAAATGTCCTAAAATGAGGACAGGTTCTAATGGCAGTCGCTATGTAAATGCTCACACCCCTCTCTCCTTCGGGACAGAACCCATGTCACCATGGTTTTCCTAGCCCAGTACCAAATTCACAGCTCATGGTCAAAAGCAATTATTTAATATGAATTGAATGTGCTTAATTAAAAAAAAATCAATAGCTAGTTTCGAGTAGAAAGAAAACAATTAGTTCAATAATTAGTCTTGCAGAGATCAACTATTTTCAGCTAAAGTCAAGTCCAAAATTGGGCTTGGAGACAGCTGATGCTGTATCACACAAGGCCACCACACCTCCATCCTTACTCTGTTATCTTATTTCATAATAGTTCTGGCCATCAGTTGTGGTTCTAAAGCATTTCCCTTAAAAGTAAAACATGTCTATACTGGAAAAACAAATGAGCCATAACCGCCAACCCACATTTTCACAGCACTGGTGTTATTTCTGTGGAGTTTTCTTTGATAAACTATAAACACATATATTATACCCATATCATGTTGAATTTTTTAAAAATCCTTTCATTTTACCCTATAGGATGTCATAAGCATTCCCCAAGGAATGCTGAAATTTCAGTGTTTAAAAATGGCAGGATAGGGCTGGGAAGTTGGCTCAGTGGTAAGAGTGCTTGCCTCGCATGCATGAGGCCCTGGGTTCAATTCCTCAGCACCACATAAGCAGAAAAAAAGCTGGAAATGGTGCTCAAGTGGTAGAGCGCTAGCCTTGAGCTGAGGGACAGCTCCCAGGCCCAGAGTTCAGACCCCACCACCCGACCCAAAAAAAAAAAAAATGGCAGGATATTCTGGTCTGAAAATGTCTATCGCCTTCTTAACCACATTGCAGTTGCTCGTTTAAAAAAAATCAGTATAAATCTGCAGTGATAGAAGGTAAACTTTACTGTAAAACAGATGACTTCTTGATTATTCCTCATACAAGATGTAAAAACAGTGATTGTTTCAAAAGCTGGCTTTATTTTTATCTTGATCTGCACAATCTTTTGCTTTTTTACTAATTATTACTAACGGAACTTATGCACATCATCCAATCAGGGAAATGTCTACTTGAAAGTAGTAATGAACTACCCAATGTCTGATTACATCCATATTTTTCCCCAAAGAAATAGCATGACAGAAATAATCATTTTTTGAGCACAGAAGAAAATATTAATAAAGATGGGTGGGAAACTTCTAATTTTCTGTCTTCCAAATCATGTGGGGCATAAAACAAATTTATTATTCCATGCTTTCCGATCCTTTCTCTCTCCTTTTTGACAATTATCTTCAAATCATTGCTGAATGTGTCCTTCCTTCATTCTCATCCCCCATCACCCCAGTCTGTTCCTCGCTTCCCAGTTGGTTTTCCAGGCCGTACCTGCCAACCTCTTCATCCAGGCTCCCTCGTCAATGCCCAGGTTGTTGTAGATGATCTTCAGGATGTTGCCGAGGAGCGTGTTCATGTGCTCGGAGTTGAGGGCCGTGCAGCAGGCCTCTGCCCTCTCGGGGTTGTTCTCAGGCCCATGCTCCCACCACCGGGACATGTAGCTGCACAGCATAGGCAGCACCACCTCCATCACATGAGGCATCTGGGTGTAGCGGATGCCGGATTCAGCCAGCTCCACGATCTCCTCCATGAGCTTCTCCAGGGATGGTATGTTTGGACACACGTCTTCCACATTTGCCGGCAAACTAAGAGCTGCAGAAGCATGGATAAAACGGACCCTGTTCATTGGGAAATGAACTGGCACCATGTGGCAGATTGATGTATGCCACAAATACATCACTGGCATGATTAACTTACTGTGACCCCTGACCCTAGCCCTGCATGCAACAGACACGAGCAATGGTCTCATGGTGAGCCTCAGAGCTGGGTGAGCCCTGCTGGCTCTCAACTGACTTCCTTTCCCTCTGCCAGACATTGCAGTCTCTCTTTTCCCCAAGTTCCTATTTTACCCTTGCTCTCATGATGAAGTGCTGGAATTTTCTCCGAATGCACCAGCTTCAGTTTCCTGATTTCAGGCTCCAGATATTCTTAATCAAAAATGGTTTTCTTTTTGCCCCTCATATTGTTTATTCTCAACTGTATTACACATGTTCATCAATCTCTCTCCTACTTCTACAAATTAAAGCTCCCTGGGGAGAAGAATTGCAGCTTCATGCAGATCACAGCTCCTCTACCTACCACAGCACCTCCCAAAATTACTTCTCAGCTGGCAAAAGATAAATGGAGTCGTTAACTTTAATTCATTTACTTTGTTATGCAAACGTGTCATAGAAACATGAGCAGGTAAATTATCTGATTTGTATATTTCCTCATCTGTAAAGAAATACCAATCTGTTCCATTCTTGACTCATGAGAAAAATACTCATGCTTTAGGATCTCGCCTTACTAAGATAATGGTATGTGTTTATTCAGATTAATAATTTAAATTTAACCAGTGTTCATAAACTAATTATAAAAGTGCACTGTGCAAATTACGTTGAAAACTGTGAGTGCCTGTTCAACATTATTTGTCTCTAACTTCATCTACTATATGAAGTCAAAACTGTAAACAGAGCAAATTGAATAATTATGTGAGTCTTTAAAAGATTCCTTCCTACTAATGAAGATAGGATCACAGTTCGAAGGCAGCCTGGCCAGAGCAGTCTGAGATTCTTATCTCCAAATAACCAGCTCAAAGAAAGAAATAAGCCAGAAGTAGAGACGTGGCTGAAGTGGCAGAGTGCCAGCCTTGAGCAAAAACAAGCAAGAGCATATAGCCCTGAGTTCAATGTCATCAGCCAAGAGCTCCTGGTAAAACACCAGATACTCAGAGATGTCCACTGACCGGTACATGTGTGTCTAAGAACAGCCAAAAGTACCAGAGAACTTTAGGGCTATTAGCAAACCACCCAAACACTGTAGACTTTACAAGACTCAGAGAAAACCAAACAGAAGCCAATCCCACAAGAGGGTGTGGGTGGTATGTGCAGGCTCTCAGGGCTGTGCTCTGATTGGTCTGAGATGCCACTTAAGAGAGTGATTTCTGCTTGCTTGTTTATCCAATGCAACATAAATTAGAGTTCATAAATGCCAATCACTGCACTCATCAGTTGTACAAGCCTAGGCTTATCTACCCGGGAGATGATCCACTATTCTTCAGGCACTCTGAAGCCAGAGCACTCTCTATGTCCATAACCTGTGTACTAACAAACGCATGAACACACACACACACAGACACTGAGAGACACACACCAGGGACAGGTACAAAATTAGAATTCTTGCCTGTCTCTGAGATCTTTCTGCAAATTTTTCAATGACAAAATATGCAATCAAACAAAAAGTCCACCTGGAGTGAAATTATCGTGATGACTCAGATATGGTTGGTGAGTCCGGAATCCTGAAGGGGTCACACATCCCTACATGTGCTGAGTAAGAACACCATGACCTCTGCTGACTGACTGAAAAACCAGTGCATCAGAAACCAGAGGGACTAACTTGGTCCATACTGGCTGATCATTTTGTCTACAATATTGTCACTATTGTCACAATAGTGTTGTCTATGGTCCATAAATATAGAACCAGTTAAACAGATTTTTCTTTCACAAGCATTAGGGGAGTAGCACACAGCACTCTAAAATAATAGAAGTCCCAACAAAGACCATGTGCAGAATCACTGTACAGGACAATGCGTGCGGTGTAATACGATGCAATGCAAAACAACACAACGCAATACATGCCATCTTGTCTCAGCTTCATTTCTCACACTGCTTGTGCTCCCACATTACCTGCTCTCTCGCGCGAGGACTTGGTGTTGTAGATAGAGTAGATGTTGTGCTTGTCCAGATGTGTTTCCAGAAATGCAACCGGGAAGGCACCAGCGAAAGCAGCCAGACAGCCTCCCAGCGCCGAGCGCTGCCTGCAAGGCAGGCACACAGTGTTTTATGTCTTCCAAGGGAAGAACTGAAGAAGCTACATTTAGATCGCTGAATTCAAACTCGAATAAAATCAACCCCCCCAAAAAAATCTGGTTTCCCTATGTAAAACGCATGCACTTTCAAAAGCAAAGTTCCCTCCACTTAGTAGAAGCTAAATGGTCCTTTTTTAGAAAAGAAAGAAGCTAGAGACAGTACAGCGTTTACATGGAACAGCTACTCATGTGAACTTAAACTTTTAAATTCTTACCTCTCCACATAAATACTCTTGCTGGTTCCCAAAGCATATAAGCTAGTTAGAATCCTGTAGCAAGACACCTGTACATCTTCCACTAAAGAACAAAAGAGAATCTCACTGGAAAAATGATTATTTGGTCCACCACTTAACAAAGTTCTTATTCAAGGCATGCTAACATTATGTTATTTTGAAAACAGAAAATAAGAACAAACTTCTAGAATAAAACAAAAAGCCCTTTCAGTCAACATTCTTTGATGAAGAGATTCTAAGTGTGTCACTATTACTCAGAGCATTCTAGAAACATTTTCTTTGTAATTTTTTCAAGGTATGAAAATGAATTTTTTCCAGTAATTATACATAAAATAACTGGAGAGAAAGGGCATACAGGTAAATGTTTTACCTTATTCCAAAGGTAAATAAGGGCTACCTCTTTTGGCATATGTAAAGTATGTGTGGACCACGTCTTTTCTTCATAAGTAAGTTATTATAACACGTTTCCTCAAATGCAAATAACTAAGAGGGAGCAGTCTGTTCGTTACTACTCAGATGGCCTGACACTCAAAGCAAGGCAGTGTTTGGTTCTAGAAAATCAAGTCAAACCCAATAAAACACATTGCAAAGTGAGAGTTGTTCTCATACCCACAAGGGCTACCAAGTCCCCCTGAACACATCATGACATAAAGGAAGCGGGCATTCCTGTCCCCAGACCTATCACACATACACCCCAGCCATAAGCGGCCCTCACACTGGCTAAAACTGAGATTTCACAGCAAGCAGCTGCTGCAGCCCCTGAATAGCATAGAGGTTTGAACGCAGTGTCGGGAACCTGCAGAATTAAGTCTGCCAAAGAGGCCCGGTTGGTTCCCACGTCCGTGTCATCAGCACAGCTTGTGTGTTACCTTTCTACTTCACCTTGGGCACTACGTGGACATGTCTACTAACTACAGCCAAAATGTCAGCTGACTAAGTCCCTATAAACACTGACTAAATCTACCCAGCACCAGTGGCTCATGCTGGTAATCCTAATGGCTCAGGAGGCTAAGATCTGAGGGCTGCGGTTCAAAACCAGTCTGGGCAGGAAAGTCCATGAGACTCTTCTCTTCAACTGACCACTAAAAAGCTAAGGGTCTTATAGTGCCAGCCTTGAGAGAAAAAAAAGTGAAGAGCCAGCTCTGAGGCCTGGGTTGCAAGTCCCAGAACTGGAACAAAATAATGACTAAATCCTGTATAGACAAGGTATCAGGGGCCTACCCCAAACTTAATCTGATCCTTTAGACTTGGGTTTTGTCTCATGTCCTTCCTATTACTTCCTGCTTGTAGAAACCATCTTTTCGAGCCAGAACTGACTAGAAAACACTTAACGTGGTAGGCATACTGTATAGTCCCAGCACATTTGAGAATTTACATGGAAAGAGGCAATAGAGAAAGGTGAGAGTTTGGAAGCGGACCTTTAACCACAGAGAAGCAATTGTCCACAACCAGTCCCTCCCTGGTCCCCTCTGGAAGTCCATGCTCTTAAGAAATCTGTCTCTGTAAGAACAGTTTCTGTAATGCACAGGTTTTGAACAAAAAGAAAGGGGAGGGGTTAATATAGCTAGGTGTGTGTGTGTGTGTGCGCTTGTGCATGTATGTGTCATACTTTCCAGTTATATTATTTCAAAAGCAAAACCCTGCAGTCTAGGTGTACATACATATCAGATCTTCTCCAAACTGGTGCTGGCCGATATGCTCAAATAAGGAGGACAGCATAGGCAGGAGCGCCACGGTGGTGTAGTTGATGATCTGCGTGACCCCCTTGGGCTGGTTCCGGGTGTGCGTGAACTGGCCCTGCTTGAGGTTTTCTATGGTTTTCTCCAGATCCTCGGCGGCATTGTCCAGGAAAGCTCGAAGAGCGCTCTTCACACTGTCCAGGCCCGTCTTCATCACAGTCCTGGGGAATCGAGGAGGCGGGGCATGGGCCTTCAACAGCAGCCACAGATGCCCTCCGTGAGCTTAGCTTTCCCTTACCATGCCGTCACTCCACTATTTATTCTAATACATCCACCCAAACACAGCTTTTTCGTGACACTGCAAGCTCCAGGAATGCTGCTCTAGAAACCGTTTGGGAAAACGGCAGCATCTTTGACTTCATCATGAGCCTCAAACTTGACGCTTCCCCAACAGTGGCCCCAAATTTTGAGATACTTATTTTATTACTAGCACAAAGCTGCTTCGGGGCCAGTGCCCTCATCCCAGGCTCCACAAAATGAGAGTATTTTCGGAGTCAATAAGCATGAAAGACACATTTAACACTGGCTGAACCTTGTCACCCAACACTGCAAAGCATTGGTACTGTCAAGCACAGCAATCCAGGGTCTCCTCACAAAGCCAGTGGAGGCTGACCTTTGCACAGAAGTGATGTCCTAGAGCCATTATTTTTTAGTAGAAAACAGAGGTACCCGATGGGGTCCCCTTTCTTTCCATTATAGAAAAGAACTCTAGGAAAGCCCTAAATACAAGAATGGAAAAAAATCAAAGAATGTTCTCAGCAGGCACTTTAGGGATTTCATTCAGACTTTTCCTGGATAGTATATGAACTAAGTGTATGGCTTAAAGGAACAGTGCAATTGCGCTTATCAACTGATGATACTTTTGGTCAGGAGCCTGGATTTCTGGAAATGTTGACAACAGGAAAGAGTAGATGATACACTGACTTAGGAAACAGCAGTCCGCCTACATAATCAAGCATGCATTATGCATCCCCAAAGTGAAGATAAACCTCTTCCCACATGTCCACAGAGTAAAACTTCACCAACGGTGAGTACAGCTGCCCGGAAGCTCAGAGTCCTTATGGTTATCATTTACTATTTGGTCCTCAGCTGAGGCAATCACAATTTTATCCACAGATATATTCTGAGTTGCTACAGAAATTACTAGAAATTTAAATAACCTATGTATGGTTGCAAAAATAAACTGCCCATGTATTGGTCACTTAGAAAAAAGGTTTTCTGGGCTGGGAAGGTGGCTCAGTGGTAGAGCGCTTGCCTTGCATGCATGAGGCCCTAGGCTCGATGCCCCAGCACCACATAAGCAAAAAGATAAAAAGCCGGAAGTGGCGCTGTGGCTCAAGTGGTAGAGCACTAGCCTTGAGCTGAAGAGCTGAGGGACAGCGCCCAGGCCCAGAGTTCAGGCCCCATGACCAGACCCAAAAAAAAAAAGAAAAAAGAAAAAAGGTTTCCTTTTACTTGTGCTAAAATCTTTGATAACAACCCACAGACTCAACATATTGGGTACTTGAAAGAAATTATCTATCAGTATTATATTAATTGATTTCAATACAAATGTGTCCTTTTACCTGGCATCCAATGTCTGACCCAAAATATGAAGACAGTTGACAATTGATGTGGCATCATTTCCTAAAGGGAAAACAAATGCTGTATAAATTGCCCTGAGGATTTTTTTTCTTTACCATTCTTCTTTCCTATTGATATTTTCGTGGCCTCCCAGAAGAAAAAAAATGTTGGTGGATGGCACAAATCAGTAATAATTTAAAAGGCTTTTTAATCATCATTTTAAGTCATGCAGTTTTTTTTCTTTCTGCTTCAAAGTGGTTATGCAATGTAAGTAGAAAAGCAAATACAACATGTCTTACCAAATAGCTGGCATGCCCAAGAAGCATTCAAAGGCATTGCACAAAGCCAAGATTTAGCCGAATTCTTCCAAATCATTCTCTCCACACTAACACACCTCAAGCCAGTCAGCTCAGATCCCTTATGAGATGTGAAGCTAAATGCCCAAACATTTTAATTCCATTGCAATTACTCCAGGTGGCTCTGCCTTCTTATTTCATTCAATTGCCTCAAGATGAACTCATCTGCCTGAATTCTATCACAGTGAGATAAAGTGATTTCCTCAGTGTTGTTGGTCTTTGACAGAAAGGAAGTGTGGAGCCAGCATGTCAAGGTTAAATCAGAGGTGGAAGAAGTTAAGGCCCAGGGAAGAGGTGTGAAAACTAACTCTGCCCTCAACTACTGTGAGATCCAGTCAAATCCAAGGGTACATTGTATGGTCAGGATGGAGATAGGAGTGGTGGAAGAAAAGCATGGATTTTGCTTTGTGATGGGTATTCAAAGCAAATGAAATAATGAATCCCAAATACTTTTGACCACTACAGTATAATGTTATCAGCTCCTCATTCTGTGATTTCATTACACACTGCACACACTACACACACACACACATACATACACACACACACACACACACACACACACATACATGCACGCACACACACACATACTCATCTCCTGGGCCATTAGGGTAATAAGGCTTATTTCAATGTAAGTTTTTAATATACCATTTGAATATGTTTCAGTGTTTATTCACAAAATGTCTCCTCAGATAGCCAGATGTGATGGTTAAGGCCTGTATTGTAAATTCAAGGCAGCCTGAGCTACATAGTGAGACACTATGTCAGTTAAAAATATAAGATAATAATATATGACTAAGGGCTGGGAGGTGGCTCAGTGGTAGAGCGCTTGCCTTGCATGCCTGAGGTCCTGGGTTCGATTCTTCAGCACCACATAAGCAAAAAGAAAAAAGCCGGAAGTGGCGCTGTGGCTCAAGTGGTAGAGCGCTAGCCTTGAGCTGAAGAGCTGAGGGACAGCACCCAGGCCCAGAGTTCAGGCCCCATGACCGGACCAAAAATAAATAAATAAATAAATAATATATATCACTAAAATACACATCCAATTAATAATCGTCTTAAAACATGGGCATTTGGAGACATAATACAAAGAAGAAAAATATATTTATTATTGAGATGCTAAAGTTTTTCAGAAACTGTCTCATTCATATTCAAATCTCAGAATCTCCAGTGCTAATGAAGGAAAAAATTAGTAGAAAGGCAGAAAGTTCTGCCTGGATAGTGGGACTGTCAGTCCCAAGACTTCTACTCTAGCCCTTGAACATGCCATTCACTTAATTACTGCAACAAAAAAGTATGAAATCCTAGGCACTCTCAATAATAATAGGAGTAATAAAATGCAATAGTCCTCGGGGTACTTGAATTTGATGGGGATATAATAATAAACCATTAAGCCAAAAGTCAGCATATGAGTTAGCATCTTGAAATAAATAAGGAAGTAGGGATTGGATAGACTGTAAGTGCTCATGAATCCCTCCCTCAAGGGTGGTTCTTTTCAATATCGTGTGTTTATAGCAGTGTCTGAATGTGTGAACAGGCACATACATAGCACATAATCCACATAATTGAAATCACACCTCATAACTGACTCTAAAAACAGCAGATCACATTGGATTTCAAATAACATTGTGACAATCCTCTAATACACCTCACTAAATAATTAAAATGTCGATCTTGAAGAACATTTAGTAAAAAATATAAAAGACTGTCTTGTATTTTAATCCTAAACTGGTTTTTTGTTTTGTTTTGAACATATGTATGTAACTCAGGAATTCTCCATGCAATCACAGATTTTACTGTCGGGAACTACTTGTGTCTTGGAATCTGAAATACTGCAGATTCCTAGAATGGTCTCTTTTCTTCTCTGGAAACAGTGACAGCAAACATTCTACTTTTTACTCCCTGTTTTTCTAATATGACTCTTGAAATAATGTCTCATTATGACCTTTGGAAAAAAATGTCTAATTGTATCAGAAGCCCTGGTGATCACACAAAATAAAATTACGCTAGAAGATAAAACGTTCTCTCAAAATACTGAGGGGATAGAGAGAAATTGGCGAGTGTCAATGACTTAATACTTCTGAAGGCTATCATACTGGAAAGAGTAAAAGTATTGGCTCTCTAATTTAGTGAGAAATTTCAGTTAAATGGAGAACCCATTTTGGTTTACTCCATATGCTATTCATGGGTACCAACATCAAGAAATTCCCTCATTAATGCAACATTCAATAGAAAGAAACAAGAAATGTCTATCATGTTCCAAAATTACTTTCTGATACTATTTTTATTATAAATGTCTGATTCCAATTTTTCTCAATTTATCTCTCCTTATGAAATGGGCTCTTTCCTAGGATACACTGGGTAAATCTAGAAAGTCCTTCCTGGTCATTCATATAAGTAACAATGATCAGGAAATAGAAGCAGATTGGGTGAGGCTGAGTTTCCTGGTACTTAAGTGATTCTTCCCTTCATTATAGATCTCCTACCAAACTAAGCACACTCGTAACCTTGCTAGAGATACAAGCATATATTAATTTTCTAATAGTCCTGATAGAGAACAGCAGTCATCATTTAAGTACCTGCAGAGTTTGGGGAAGAGACATCAAGAAGGTATAACCTAATCTACTAATTCAATATGAAGGAGAGGTACCAGATGAAAGAATTCTGTATATGAACTTTAGCATTTAATTTCCAAAACTCTTTCAAATGTGAAGATTCACACACTGGTTTATATTAGGTACATATACTCACTCAGAAGGAAAAAAAGGTAAAGTGTAATGAATCCTACTCCCTTATTTGCAACAACTAGTATATGTCTGAGTCAAGGAGAAAAGGTCAGTTAAGTTGATGTTAGGGAAATGAACCCAAAGATATGTATTCAAATGTTTTTTTCTTTCATGCGATTATTTCTAACACATTTATAAGATTATTTCTTTGTTGCTTTGTATGTCCCTCCCCCATGGTATAACCCCTGCTTTCACTGTATTTGATGTTATAATTTGTGGAGGGGAAGGGAAAAAACAAATTGTTTAAATAGGGATACAGGTGGACCCATTGCAACAATGAGACTTACAAGTCGTTATGTCGAAAACGAACTTTACAACTTTGGTAGGGGGTGGGGGAGAGGAAGGGGAAACAAAGGAGGAGGCTACAATGCTTGATAAGAAATGTACTCATTATCTTGCCCATGTAATTGTAACCCCTCTGTACAGTATTTTCACAATAAAAAAATAAACAAAAATATATAAATAAATCCTACTTCCTCCTTTTAACACACCATAATGCTTATGTTATACAACATACATTCCTGCAGCTAGCATTGAGTGGTATCAGTAATATTGCATTTCAGGGTCACTGTGAGGTCAGGCCAGAAGAAATTCTAGAAACTGTTCACCAAACAGATGCTGGCTTCAATGCTACATCAAAGATTTATACTGAGCACTGGTGGTGCCTGCCTATACTCCCAGCTACTCAAGAGGCTGAGATCTAAGAAACCTGGCTCAGGGGCTGCCGGAACTGCCCAATCCAAGGGATTCTTATCTCCAAATAACCAGCTTCTTCAAGAACAGATAAGGCACTGGTACATTAGGGATCTTTTCAACCTGAGGTCATGAGTTTCAACGCAGAGGAAATATTTTAGAGTCGAGCAAAGATACACACATATGTACAGGGAGGTCCAACTGTTGAGACTCTTTAGTTCAGATGTCAGAAAGACCTTTCCACAACAGATGAGGTTTAGAGACAGAGGCTCGGTTTGGCAGCCCGCTCCGACTAAATCTTCCATGGCTGACCAGCATCATGGCACGGGTGTGAACCCTGTGTTTCAGCCTTGGCTGAAACATAAATTACTTCCATTTCTACTTGGGCTAACTAGAAATTCTGAAGGCCTGCTGAGCACAGCTCCCTTCAGTGGGGCAAGTATTTTGTCTCGGCTTATTGTGCTTCTCCTCTCTGGTCTCCAGTTCCTAGTGATATGTGATGTTAACATGTCTTTCAACAACTATTTTTGTTCACAATCGTCAAGTATTTCTTTGTTAAACATAACAAAATTACGTTTTCTTCTTTCTTTTCACTGTATTCTACATTTTCTTTTCTTTCTTTTCACTGTATTCTTAAGTAGGGTCATCATTTTTAAACTAAGATTGTACAGAAAATATGTTTTGGAATCTGTTTGGGTTCAGTCCGTAGACACAAAAACGACAGACTAGAGGGAGCGGGAAAGGGAAAGGTGCGAGGTTAATGTGCCGCACACAGGCACAAGGTGTGTGCGCTTAGACCTCCCACTCAGGAAATGTATGCTAGAATAATCAACCAATTAAAAAGCAAACACTCGGACTACCTTACTTCTGATTCATTCTGGAATCAATTAAAAAGGCTTCATTGTGCACCTGTTTTATAGCCAAGTCTGTAATTTGGTTTATCCAAGCAAGATCTAAATAAATCTAATAAGCAATAATCCAGTCAGTCAAATTAGGAATCCTTTATGTAAGTTACAAGGTTCCAATTTCAAGAATTTTTCAGAATGTATATGTGTATATATATATATAATTACACATTAGATTTGATACACATAATAGATCTCTCAAACTAGCAATCGTTTTTAACCTACTATAAATATGGGGGGGCCCTTAGGTAATTCAAGTCCCTTGTCTAAATCATCTAAAGAGTTACTTTTCAAAAAGAAGACTTTCCAAGCCAGATGCTGGTAGCTCACACCCATAATCCTAGCTACTCAGGAAGCTGAGATCTGAATACTGTGGTTCAAAGCCCATCTAGGCAAGAAAGGTTGGGAGACTCTTATTTCCAACTCATCAGCAAAATCCTGGAAATGAAGCTGTGGCTCAAGTGGTAGAACACTAGCCTTGAGAACAAAAACTTAGGGACAATGGCTGGCAAATTGTAGCTATAGCCTGGAATGAATGAATGATTAAATGAATGAACAAATCAATAAATGAATAAATACATAAATAAAACTTCCATCTAGGTTTTCAGATTCAAATGATACTACTCTCCCAGGATGGCATATTAACCTAAGATAATGATAATATGTCAAGTTTACGTGCTTAAAACTTAAAAATTCTATTAATTAGGTATATCTGTATTAGAACATATTTGCTAAAGTCTATCATTTTAAAAGCATATGCTAGAGAAAATCTGAAACAATAGGCACTTTAATAATAAATGAAAGCATAAAATTATGTAAAACCACATTAATAGGTGTCTAACAAATTCCTGTTTAGAATAACAGAATTTAAAGGGAGAGGGTAACACTGTTCAAAAAGAAACATACTCAGTACCTGTAACCTGCACATCACCTTTACAATAAAAAAAAGTAAGTAGTTTAAAACACAATAGCTAAACAGAATATTAGGATCACCTAAAGACAAAATGAATGCTGAGGTCTAGTTCTTCTTTCCCAGAAAGAATAACAAATTGTATTACAGATTTGTTACCAGTTACCAAACCCTTAGATGTCTTATTTGTAAGGAAAAGTAGGAGCTGCTGGAGAACAAGTAAAATTAATCAATAACAATGGAAATGCCCATATGGTTCCTCAAATAATTTGGAAAATGGCAGAAGGGTAGCTTTGGGGACGTTGGAAATATTCTGTCTTGATCTAAGTAATGCTTAAATGACTGAGTATGTATGTAAATTTACCAAACTGTTCTTAAGATTTGTGTAATTTATGTGAAATATGTCAAAAAATTTGAAAAGAGAAATTATGGCTATAGATATAACATAGAAAAATAATGGTATGCAAAAGTTAGGCTGCTAGAAATGATGCAACAGAAAATGTTATTAACCTCATGAATAAATATGAAATGTTGCAGGTGAGAAATAAGTCTCAGTTAGAGCAATATAAAATTAGCTTTGAAGACAAATGAAGAGTGTGTGAATCCATTGACATTCGGAGAGTATGTAAAAATGTTGTCAATTCCTATGGGCATTGTTCTCTGTTGAGAAGAAAGGAACAAAAGTCATCTAAATGAAAATTAGTCTGAAGATGAATGCCTCACTGTATTTAAATAACTAAAAATTAGTAATACAAAAAATATGAAATATGAGTTTTAGTTACTAAATTTAAGGGAAAATCAAATATTGCAATTAATAGAAGCCAAAGACTATAGCACTAACTAGTTATTCCTAAAAAATTATAGTGCAAAGACCTTAAAAGTGTTTGTGCATGTGCCCATGTATGTGTGTGGTTGTGTGTATCTATAATGCTCAATTTACTCATTATGTCTTTTGCAGAAAATGACAATGTTTTTAATGTTTAGTTTTTGGAATAATATAATTGAACTTACATGTTTTCTTCTTTGTGTTTATGTGGTACTGAGGAATCGAACCCAGGGCCTCATGCATGCTAGGCAAGCACTCTTCCCAGCCCCTTCCCAGCCCCACTTTCTTTGTTTTATTACTAATTTTTTTCCAACACTATCTAAAAACCTATTGAGCGGATATCTCCAATTTGCCATGACAGCTTATGAAATCAAATGCAAGAAAATGACAGTCATGAACTCTGCCAGCTGCTCTAGATTCCTCCTGCGCCCCCAGCTGGGAAAGTGAGTGGCTAGCCGGCTTGGCTGCCCCAGAAGCAGGTGCCCAGGAGCATGGCCTCCAGCCCTGTGGATTCTCACACACAAACAGAAACTGACTGTGGGTGAGTAGTGCGAGAAAAGTCACTTGGGCCAAGTGAAGGTCCTTGGCTCCATTGCCCAGCTACAAAGCTTCGAAGTTTGGAATACAGTAGACATGCACCTCTTGTACTCAAAAGCATTTAAAAATAAACAAGTGACCTTTAAAGTTTTGGTTTATTACAGCTCATTTCTTAATCAAATAAAAATCCAAGAGCCTGGTTTTGTTTTACTCTTGAAATGAAATACGGCAGAACTTCTCACTTCTGTTCATTTGTTTTTAATAATACACCCTTTGATTTTCAATGATGTGATGGACTGGTACCAAAAAAGACACAGCCCAGCATTTACTGAAGGTAATGCAACTTACTACTCAATATCAACTTCGAGGAACATGTCTTGGCCTCTGACAATCATGCATGCAGCCATGCAAACATGCGTCCATGCAACATCGCAGGCAACACGGTGCAGAAATGGCAAAGAAAACCAAGTGAAGGCCATGCCAGTAGTTTTGTTTCAAGGGTCTCCTTACCAAATAGTGAAATCCTATGCCTGACAAGTACTCCAAGTTTGCAGAATAGGCTGAAGACAAAAGAAAAACAAAAGAGAGGGGAAGGGGGAAGGGAAGGTAGAAAAGACAAGGAGAAATTACAAAAGAAAAATTAACAAAAAGAAGAAGAAAAAAAAGAAAAACAGCTGATATATGAGCCAGAATAAAGCAACATGATGTCACGCAGAAAGAATCAATTCTCTGAGCAGAATGTGGATAAAGATATTAACAAAAAGAGTCTTTGAGTGCATATCTTTAACAAACATGGTTAAAAAAGCACATATTATAAGAAACCAAAAAAAAAATTGAAAGCAAAGCTAATTAATATAAAAGCAGTCTCTATGAACCCATGGGAACAGAACTACTGAAATACCACAAGGGAAAAACTTAATCTTAGGAACCATTGGATGTCTAAATTTTTTAAATTTTATCAGCATTATTTAACAATGTAGTGCTTTGACTATAAAACCTTACTCTGTAGGTTTTAGTATGCTTTTTATTATAGGATCTCCTTTTTCTGCCCAAGCTTGGCAGCATTTCTTTTATGCATAGAGCAAAACCCAGTGAATTCAGAATCTGTAAAGTAACAGGAGTTTGAATAACTGGCAATTATTCAGGAAATCACACCTGTGACACCTGTAGCAGAATGAGTTAGAGCTATTTCTCACATTCTCTAGAGCAAGTTCCTGCATAGGCTCATGTGGCAATTAGCAAGCTGAAATTCCATCACTGCCCTGAAAGCTGCTACCTCCCCTGATAAGACCCCTGGGCCTTGGAGAGCCCCAGCTTTCCCCCTTCCAAGCTAGGTAGGTAAATCCTGCTCAGGACTCCATTGCTAGTCTACCACCTTCCCGCTCCATGGGGCCTGGCCCAGGATATGCTGAGGCCACAGTGCTCAAGAGGAAAATAGACCCCTTTCCACATCATTCAGATCCACCCCGGAGCGCCCCGAGTTCCACCTCACCTCAAGTTGCTTCTACATCTACCCCCCGCTCTTGGAGAGCCACGGCTGGTCCTAGCAAGCACAGCCTACAACTCTGACCTTCTGTCTGTGAAGCTGTGCCCACACTGGACCTGATCTTCCTCAGAATGAGGGGAGCTAGCACATTACTGCTCCCACTCTCTTTGAAAGCTCTCCCTCCAGGCACTAGGTTTGCACCAATACCCATAGAATCTGAGTTGGGGACACAGCAGCCATTCTCTAACATAAAGGCTACAGAAAAGGGACAGAGGGTCACACCTGATGACCTCTCTTCCAGTAAGTTCTGGCCATCGGAGCTCACTTCAGTATCAAGGAGGATTAATGTGTTGGTGAAAGTTAATAACACAGAGCATTTTGTAACTTTTCTCCACAAAACGTTCATCCACAAATGCCTGGGTGAATCGAGCTATGGAAAAATCTGTTAGTGGAGTAGAATAGTTCAAAGTTCACAACCTGTGAAAATTGCTATTACATGGACGATTAGAAATTAGACCCCTTAAGCTATAATTTGGGGCATTAATGTATGTGTGTGTGTGTGCACATGTGTGCATGCACGCTCACACACTGCGAGTGCTGATAATGGGGCTTGAACTAGACACTATCCCTTAGGCTTTTTGCTGTAGACTAGCATTCTAACATTCAATGTTAGAACAGCTCCCTTTCCAGCTTTTTTACTGGTAACTTGGAGATAAGAGTCTCATGGACTTTCCTGACTCTGATCTGTGATCTTGAATCATGTCCCTTAGATCTCAGCCTTTTGAGAAGCTAGGATTGCAGGTACAGCCACCAGTGCCAGGCACCAATCTAAGGCATCTGTTAAGTCATACATCATTTCATCATAACATTTCTACTCTGGTACATACTTTGCTCATATTCACCCATCTATTACTCTCTCACTCTAACCACTCTTGCTGTGGCTTACTAACTGAGGACAAATGAGGTCAGACTTTAGCTGAGTGATGAAGTGCTTTTCTGACATCATTAAAAAAATCATTAAAGAAAAGATAAGACACTAACTGGAGGGCCTCTGCTTCAGAGCCCTGATGTATTAGGGCTCATGGATGAATGCTGTGAATGCAACTCAACAAGCAAGGAGAACGGAACCCTTGGGCTGACTGTGATCTAAAGCTAGTGTTCAGGACAAAAACCACCTAAGAACTGGATCTCATTCAACCAGACACAATTTAATGGCTAGGGTTCTGTCAGCAAAAACTCCACTTCTTTGCCATCTCTGCTGCCCCTTAACCATATGTAGGAGAAATACAGAGAGAGGGAGGTTAGGCCTTTCCAAAAGACACGTGATTTTCCTTTCTCCTCCTGGACTATCCATTTGGCGGAGAGGGGGCATCATTTCTGTACAGACTATACTGTTTGTTATCCATTTTAGCCAGTCTCCAACTGCCGGCATACTATCTCTAGCCAAATGACGTACCTACACATCAAAAAATTTCCAACCGAATTGAGCCACCTCTTCTGGAAACTAGTTCTCCTCCTGAAGTCTGTTTTGTTCTTGAGTGACACCAACAATGTTTCAATGACTTAGAGTTAAAACTTCAGTGCCCTGTGGAGACTCGCATCTACTTCCTCTGTGATTCGCTAAAAGCCATCCTAACTTCCTCTGCTTTCCACAACCAGCTCCCCCCATTACCTCCACCCCGGACCCTAGGCCTCCTGTCCATCCCCATCCGACTTCTGTATCTCCATCTCAACTTCCTGAGTCGTCAGTGCTGCGTGCGTTCTGGAAACTACTATCTACCACAGCTCACACAATCTACCCACTCCCTAAATTACCTGTATATTTTCCCTGTGTTTTCCGTCTATCGCTTCTCTTGACGCTATGCTTTCATCTTGAGGTTATGTTCACCTCGAAACTTTCCCCTTCCTCCAGCTCTTTAAATCAGTCTGTAAGGGCGCTACTACACATGACAATCAGCCCGCTCCGAGGCCTGCCATGAGTCCTGTGAACTGCCAGGCACGTCTCTGCCACTCTCCCAAGGTTTTCCATACATAGACACTGACTAGATCTTATCCTTCATGGTCCCAACGTGACACACAGCATATGCCCTTCGAAGAGCTGCTGGTGCCAGGAAGTACCAAGAATGTCACGAAATCTCACGTGAAAAACTACTGCTACTTGTGACTTACATACAACTGAAAATAATCCTTTAGTGACTATTACATGTTTAAATGCTTATTCTTAGTAGCAGGGCCAGCTTTCTAATGTATTTTATCTCACTTTTTTCTATGATTTGTGTGTGTGTGTGTGTGTGTGTGTGTGTGTGAAGAGGGTAATAGTCCTACTGCTTGTTGTCATACAAATCTGTAGAAAATTCTATTTTATTTTTCATTTTAAAAACATACAAATCACAGTAAGACAAACCTATGAATATGGAGGAAATACCTGTTAAAATTAAATTTAAAGCTTGGCATGGTGGTGTACCCCTGATCTCGGCTATATGAGGAGGCGGAGGCAGGAGGGTCGTAGTTCTGCGGCCAGCCAGGGCAAACATGCAAGGCACTATTAACAAATAACTAAAAACTGACATTTAAAAATGAAGCACTAAGTACAAAAAATTGTTTTTTATGAAAAAAAAAACCAGATAAAGAGTTGGAAATCAGCTAATCTTTCTTAAAAATTGTTGTATGGTTCTTTGAATTTTTCCAGCCTTACTGAGATACAGTTAAGAAATAAAATTGTGTATTTTATGAGTCCAACTTGCTGCTTTGATATATATTTTTTTTGTATGTTCCTTTGTGGTTAATACTTCTGAGAGTCAGTGATACTGATGAGAGAAAATAGTAAAGGAGAAAAGAAGGGGAAAGGCTTGGGGACCATTTACTTATATTTTCCCGTTTTCTGTCTATAGCTTCTGTTGATCTGTGTAATCAAGGGGCACCTACGTGAACTACAGGTCACTGGGCTGGGAAGAGTGGGAGCCCCCGGGGTCCTGGGTCTCCCTGCATCTCGTGGGAACTTGGTGTCTCTGTGTTCTTAATTACTTGAGTGCGTGGCCCACAAAGTGGACCAGGGCAGAGTGGGAAATGCTGGGGGCTGTCACTCTCCTTCCACGGCAGGCGAAAGGGAGCCAGGACAGCAGGGTAGGAAGGGTTGGCACTGCCTGGCCTCCCGTCTGGTCACAGATGGAGGCCACACCCAGGCCCTGCACAGATCCTTCCCGCTGGTCCATGACTACACACTGAGGACAGAAGACACCCTGAAGGCTGTGGCCATGCTCCATCCCCTGACTGGCCGCTGGTGATGAGTACACCGCGCCCGCCTCCTCCACCATTACTCAGTGTGGGCGTCTTTGCTCTCCACCTTCTGGCGACAGCCTCGATCAGCAGCCTCGCCCTCTGCCCCTGGGTGGCAAAGTCAAGGGCGGGGAAAGCCTGTGGCCCTGCTGGTCTTCTGCTCTGTGTACTTCAATGGCTTTTACAGAAATTTTGTACAGACATGTTCTAAAAATACAGTATGGATTCTGAGCCATGTAATAATACAGGCAGACTCGATTCCTTAGTGAATCTCAAGTGTACTAGGTCTAGCAGACTCACAGGAGAACTACATACACACAAACAACAACAACAACACAAAATCTATGAGAAATACTTGTGCAGAGACACAAAGAAGCCAGACTAGATAGCAGGAGGGGAAACATTTCGCATGCACATTTTTATGTGTATTCCATTAATTTCCAAGACTGGCCTTAAGTTTTCTGAATAAGCTTGTATAAGTGAGAAGTTTGCCTTCCTGAACTAGAAGGGCTGGAAAAACACTGGGAATGCAGACTGTCAAAGAAGCTCATCAGGCAAGTATCATGTTTCACAGACTTGTAGAAGTTCTGGATGTCCTAGCTATTGCTGTGGCTGCTGTCATGGCTGCTGTACCCCTTGTGGATACATGTTCTGAGTTATTTTATTCCTTGTGTCCACTATTACCCTGATCAGCAAAGAGAGCAGAAACTGGGCGTCTACAACAGCTCTCCTAACCCTGTCATTGGTCCAGTGCTGAATTCTAGGTGGCGGAGCCCAGGGGAAGGGGACAGGGTTGAACGCCAGGATTTAAGGCTCCTTACCTAGTCACCATCTCTTTCTCCTTGTTGGAGGCGTGTCCTCCAGAGCAGAGAGGCCTGCTTGCTGCAGACAGAAAGTACAGGCGATGGTTTTTGAAGTACTGATCAATTAAGGGAAGAACAACCTGAAAGAAAGGAGAAGAAATCAGATGATGGATTTGACTCATGGAGGATAAGAGAAAGCAGAGGCTCGGGGTATGCAGAGCTCAGTCCTGGATGCCTGCCATTTCAGAGGTGCCCCCCCATCCTGTACCCATCCTGAAGGGCTGCATGAGTGTGCATGCATGCATACACACACACACACACACACACACATAGAGCTAGTGCCACTTGCTGGCATGTGACTGTAGGAAAGAGAAGACGTCCAACAGTTTGGAATTATTCTATTTCTCTCAGTGTAAAGAAAGACAAGAAAAATTATTTACAGTGAGGGGTCTAACTCTGAAAATTTAATAGAAGACAAAAAATTAATCCAAAGCAGGCTACCTTACATATGTAACTGTAACCCCTCGGTACATCAACTTGACAATAAAATTAAAATGGAATGATTGGGCACTGGTGGCTCACTCCTGTAATGCTAGCTACTAAGGTTGAAAGCCAGCCTGGGAAGACAAATCCTTAAGACTCTTATCTCCAGTTAATCAGCAAAAAAAAAAAAAGGCAGAAGTGAAGGTATGGCTCAATGGCTGGTGCCAGTCTTGAGCACAAAAGCCAAGCCACAGCATCAGACCCTGAGTTCAAAGCCTAGTAACTGGCACAAATTTTTTTTTCAATTCATGAATTATGGTATTTGTATCAAATGATCTTCCCAACCATCCAAAGCAAGTATGCAGAAGGAAGACTGAGAGTGGTAATGAGATGATCAGGTTAACTGCGAAGTGTGGGCAGAGCTCTTAGCCGAGGGCACTGTGTCTCCATGGCAAACCTAGGTTACAGCTTACAGTGCCACAAAGCAGATTGATTAATTCTGATTAATTGATTTAATTAACTAATTCTTTGCAACCCTTCATCATCTTCCCCTCTTGACTGAAAGGAAACGATGTGTGTGCCCACTCCAGCACACACCCTTGCTAAGTCCTTATCAATGCACATGGGTAATAAGTATGGGAGACGCCTGTGTCTAAGCAACATCCTCTGAGCCAATTCTCTCATCTGTAAGATGGATATGACAGCGGTCATACACCATTCATAAATTACCAACAAATGAGCTAACGTTTGCCTTCCGTTCCAAAAGGTTCACATAAAATATTAAATCATAACAATCTCCAGATGCTCAAAAGGAGAAAACTTTCTTCTGAGTCACACAAGAAAGCCAAAGAATTAGAACTCTTGACTTCAACTTCTTCTGGCTCAAAGTCATTGGAAGGCTTTGATAGAGAGGGCTGAGGGAGAGACGCATGCACAGCTAGGCTGGCAGCAAAGCGGCACACAGTCAGGATGGCTATTGTTACTACTATTATTATTATTATTGTCAGAGAACATTTACTCATAGTTGAAATGCACATGGATAGACAGGTACCGATGATGCCATGAACACTGTAAACACACAGGGAAGCATGAACAAGACTGGGGGGAGAGGGACTCTTTGGGGGTACAAAATACTGTACTTTGGCGAAGAACTTGATTTCCTGTTCATAAGGAAAATGTTCTCCTTTGCTTCTGCTGCCACCATCTGTGGACAGAGAAAGTTTTTAGGTACATGTTGAACTTTGAAGATGACAAGGTACTTACCCACCAAGCTTTGACTACATTGCTAACTACTACCCCACCAAACTGTATAGATACAATATATACACCCCAAGATAGGCAGGCTCCCTTCTGCCAGGTGCGGTTGGTCTGTGTTGGAGGATTCATGGGAGGACTGCAGTCTGAGGCTCCCCCAGAACAACAACAAAGTATCTTAGGACTATCTGAAAAAATAATTAAAGCAAAAGAAAGTGTGTAGGGGCTGGGTCAGGTAAGGGAGCACCTGCATAGCCAGCACAAGGCCTTAGCTCAAACCCTGGTACTGCCAAGAAAAGAAAAACAGAGAAAGGGCACAATTCCCTCAGACTTAAGGAGGAGTACATTCTGTATATGGTGTAAAGTCAAAGACAAAGGTGAAGGTGCAGCAGTTCTATCGTAGTAACAACCAAAGAGGCAAAGGAAGAGAGATGAAGATTTCATCCCAGCTCTCTACCTGCTCTTCCAACACGTTTCTTAAAAGAGAATTCCTTCTGTCTCAGCCATCTGCAAAAGGTACATGCCACAGGAGACACTGTAGGAAGTGTTCTTTCATTCCACTCAATCTCTGTGACCTACTCTCCCTCCCCCCCCCTCCCCTCTCTCCCCTCCCGCAGTATCCTGTCTCTATGATCCTCTCCCTGTGGAAAGAAAAGAATGTTCCAAATGGGAGGACTCGCCTTGGTGCAGGATACTTGCACTCCCTGTACAGAAGCACTGGAGGTGTGCTTATTTGGAAATAGGAAGAAAGTGTGAAAAAGTAGCTCAACCCACTCCTACCCTCTGTATGTAGCTTAAAAAATATATTTTTATTCCCTCTCCCTCATTATTTACTGTTCTACCTTCTCTCTTTCCGTGCCAAAAGAAGACTGGGCCTTGGGCTTGAACCTGATGCCACCTTCCCACACCAGATCCTTTTAAGTGGCGATTGGAAATGATGCAAGATGCTTCAAACGTTTACACCCACTTCATTCTCATTCTTAGGGTGAGTTTCATTCATTCATTCATTCAGACTAATGTGGTGATGTGTTAGAATGAACCAGGAATCCTATCTTTAAAACCTACAGTTGCACAGGTTGTAAAGAGATGATGTGTCATAAATTAGTTTACACGAAAGAAGATGACTGAGAGCAGAGAGAATATCTGAGCTGTAGCTAAAGAGGCAGGTTGAAAGAGAACTTTGTCCTTCATCCCATTCAGGATTCAACAGCCATGAACAAGAAGAAAATACCAGAACTCAAATTTCTATAAACTTTCCTCCAACACTGATCCAGAAACCAAATACAAACCCTAAGGAAAAGAGCAGCGGCTCATATCTGCTGTCCCAGCTATTCAAGAGGGAAGGCTGAAGGACCACTGATGCAGGCTGACCCCAGAAGAGATGTTAGCAGGACCCCATCTCAGCAAACAAGCAAGAGCGTGGGGATGAACGCTTAGCTATTAGGGAGGCCTACTTAGGAGGCTCTCCATCTGGGGGCGGGGGGCTTTAAGTGGTGCAGCACTTGCCTAGCAAGCATGAGACCCTGGGTTCGAATTCTAGTACTACCAATAGGGGCAGGAGGGAAGAAACAAACCACTGGGAGTGAAAAGGGAATCCACCAAAAGGTACAGACCGACGGCATACACCCTCTTACCACCCAGCACTGGACGGTGATCTGACAGAGGGAAAGTAATGAACGAGAATTTCAACTCCGCAACCTGACTGAGGTGGATCTGAAAAGGAGAGGCTGCCTTGATGCCTTCCTCCTAATCTCTAAAGTCTCATGCTGACGTGGCACCCGGCAGGTGGAAGAGGCCCCTCACTGTTCCCCAATAACAGAGTCCCCTGTACTGCAAAGCCCTGCTCTGTCCCTTGGCAAGCTAACCTTTGTCCCCTACAGCACTTAGGACTTCCTAGGATTCATATCGTTTGAGAGTGTCGTTTTCCTAAAGTACACCAACTGCTTTCACAGGAGATTGTACTCTACCTTAAAATTTGCCCCACACGTATTTTTCTAATCACAAAAAGCCAAACCCATCGGCATCCCATGGCAAAAGGAATTGCGTATAGTGGACATTTTTAAAGTTCCCACATTTCCCCATCACCAGCAGCTGCTTTGTCTACTGGCTGTTGGACCGAGCTTGGTAGTGCACTAGAGATCTGGGATGGGGAACCACCCTGAGCTTAGTGCTGTTCTACAATAATAACAGTAACTAATCAAAAACACGGATAAGTGAATTCACAAGGGGCCCAGGTGCCTACCAAACTCCAGGATATACTGATGAGCTTCATCCACATAGCGAATGAGCTGCTGGAGGAAACTGTAAGCAAAGCGCTTCTCGATGGAAGGCGTGTCCAGTTCCAGGTCTTTGAATCCTCTAGAATGGCACACCGGAAACAAGCAAACAGGTAAGCATTGTCTCTTAGAAGGGCAAATGTTGCTTAAAAAGTAACAACCAAATCCTAGCTACTCAGGAGGCTGAGATCTGAGGATCACGGTTCAAAGCCAGCCCAGGCAGGAAAGTGTGTGAGACTCTTATCTCCAATAAACCAACAGAAAACTGGAAGTGGCGCTGTGGTTCAAGTGGTAGAGCGCTCGCCTTGAGCTGAACAGCGCAGTGACAGCGCCCAGGCCCGGAGTTCAAGCCCCACCACCAACAAAAATAAATAAATAACAACCAAGCAGGGAGCTGGGGGCTCACACCTGTAATTCTAGCTACTTAGGAGGGTGAGATTTGAAGATTGAGGTTCAAAGCCAGCCCAGGCAGGAAAGTCCATGAGACTTTTATCTCTAACTACGAAAAAAGCAAGAAGTGGCACTGTGGCCCAAGTAGTAGAGCTCTGTCCTTGAGCAAAATAACTCATAGTGCCCAGGCTCTAAGTTCAAGCCCAAGGACAGGTACCAAACAAAACCAAACAACAACAAAAAGCCATGAATATAATTTTGGGGCAAATTTTGAAGATTATCTAATATTCTTTTACCACTTTAAGGTGAGAGAGGTTTTTTTTGGGGGGGGGGTGTCAGTTATGGGGCTTGAACTCTGGACCTGTGCACTATCCCTTAGCTCTTCAGCTCAAGGCGATCACTTACCACTTGATGCATAGCACCACTTCCAGTTTTCTGGAGGTTTATTGGAGATAAGAGTCTCACACACTTTCCTGCCTGGGCTGGCTTTGAACCATGATCCTCAGAAATTAGCCTCCTGAGTAGCTAGGATTATAGGCATGAGCTACCAACGCCCAGTAAGAGAGAGAGAGAGAGAGAGAGAGAGAGAGAGAGAGAGAGAGAGAGAGAGAGAGAGAAAGAGAGAGAGAGAGAGAGAGATTGATTTTAATTTAAATGGAGTCTTCTGAACCAGACCTAACACTGTGGCGAATAACTCGATTACTGTGGGGTGGAGAGCCTGCTAGCCATTCTGCCCACACCGTGGATGATCACGGAAGTTCCCAGAAGGAACTCACGTAAGTAGGAACGGCCAATGGCCTGAATATCTCTGGTGTATTTTGAACACAGTACCCGAAGTTTTGAACAGATCACTGAATTCATGTTTGTGCTGAACTCCAGTGGGGGAGTTCGTTATGCATTCTTTCCCGAGGAAGGCATAGAGTGGGGTTCTGTTACCTGGACACGGCATAGCCATTGATCTGCAGGAACTTGAGGATGTCCTGTGCCTTCTCCCTATCCTTGGCTTTCTCCTTGGCGGTCAGCGTGTCATAGGGCACAAGCAGGGGATGGTTTCCGCCTCCTGAGCAAGGCAAGAGAGGGACATGCGACCTCAAATGACCCATAGCACGCCTCTGCACTAGTTTCTGGGATTCTGGAGAGATACTCATGCCCCTTTACCCCCCCACAGTGCCTGGGACACCCCAAATAACTCAGGAAATCGATGCAAGATGGTGCCCGTGCCTTTCTGAGGGCATTTGCACCATAAGTGTGCACTGACAGGTGACACTGAGCAGCAGGAGGGAGTTCTGCTCAGATCTCTCCTGGATGCGGACAGAGGAAAGCCACACTCAGCTCTACGCAGCAGACCCAGTACAATGAGAGGGCAAATTTCATTTTCTGCCCCACACAGAGAAAAACTATGTTAAATAAGAATGTTTGACTGCATATCTTAAGTCTGTAAGTACTTTTAGAGTGACATTATTAATAAATACACACAACCCTATGTAAATATGCAACTTAAGAGTCTGAGCATTCACTTGGACACCAGTTACACTAGTTACTCAGGAGGCTGAGCTCTGAGGATCGTGGTTCAAAGCCAGCCAGGGCAGAAAAGTCTATGAGACTCTTATCTTCAATTTACTACCAAGAAAGTTGTGAGCTGAGCTATGGCTCAAGTGGTAGTGCACTAATCTTGAGATAAAAAGCTCAGGAATTGCAGCCAGACAGTGAGTTCGAAAGAATGACATTGCCCCATTTGTTAGGAAATAGAAAGACTTTGAAAAAATTATATTAAGTGAAGTAAGCCAGGCCCAAAGAAACATAGGTCCCATGGTTTCCCTTATTTGCAATATCTAGTATATGTCTGAGTCAAGCAGAAAAGGTCAGATAAGGTGATGTTAGGGAAATGAACCCTAAGATATGTATTCAAATGTTTTTTTCTTTCATGCAATTGTTTCTAGCACATTTATAAGATTATTTCTTTGTTGCTTTGTATGTCCCTCCCCCATGGTATAACCCCTGCTTTCACTGTATTTGATGTCAGTATAATTTGTGGAGGGGAAGGGGAAAAACAAATCGTTTAAATAGGGATACAGGTGGACCCATTGCAACAATGAGATGTATAAGTCGTTATGGGAGGGGGTGGGGAGGATTGGGTAGGGGGCTGGGGGGAGGATGGGAAGGGATGGGAAGGGGAAACAAAGGAGGAGGCTACAATGCTTGATAAGAAATGTACTCATTATCTTGCCCATGTAATTGTAACTCCTCTGTACAGTATTTTCACAATAAAAAAAAAAAGAATTCGTATTTCTAGTATTTTTCATCTGTAAGAAGTAACGAAAGCATTCCATTCCTTTGGATTTAAAAACTTCTAGAGTGTTTAATTACTAAAGAAAAATGTCTAGAGGTATAAAACATTAATTTTTTAAAATGGTAAGTTATAAAAAATATGAAGTTCATTTTTACTCTTTCAAGGGTCCAGATCTTGCATAAAGACTGTGGTTGAAGTAGCAGTACACAGTCCATGAAAATGCAAACATCATAAAACTTATGGTGTAATGAATATTGGGCAGCACATTCAATTCCTTGAAGTAAAGCAGCTAAAGAAATTTGAGAAAGAAACAGAACATGACTGTTGTTGTTTGAATTATGGAAACAATATACATAGCACCTAAGTTTCTACAGCAGCTTAGCAGGGATTGCGAAAAAAACTTTAAATACTGAGGTTGCCTTAGCTATAAAATAAGCCAGGAGCCTTGCAAAAGAAGGCTGCTGCTTTCCTGTGGCTGGATACATTGTGAGAAAAAAGAATTCATTGTGCATCGAATGTAATGACTACCATTTAACCAGTAAACCCCAATTTCAAACTGCATTACTACATTCAGTTCTAGATCATGTTCATTTGACAACTAACATGCAATCCACAATGATTCTGGGGTCAAATATCAATGAGTGAGTGAGAGACAGACAGACAGACAGACAAACAGACAGACAGAAAGGGCAGGCAGAATAAAGTCTATTAATTTAAAACTCTCAAGAACATAAAGAACACAAAAATCTCTGACTCAGAAATTCTTCTCACCTCAAGAGTGCTGTTGAACTACACAGGACAGGTGTACACTTGAGATCGGCCCGCAGATCAGAACATAGATCAGAAAAAGAAGACAAACGAACTCTGGCTCTTGACATTTTTTTTCCATTCATTTTGGACCACTGAACCACTCATAATAGTTTGGGGACTTTCACTCCTTCCTTCCTTCCTTCCTTTTCTTCCTTCTTTCACTTTCTCTTTCCTTCCTTCTTTCATTCTTCCCTCTTTCCTCTCCTTTCCTTCCTTTATCCTCCTCTTCCTCTTTCTTCTTCATCTATCTCTCTATCTATCTCTATCTCTATCTATCTTTATCTATCTATATCTCTATCAATCTATCTATCTATCTATCTATCTACCTACCTATCTATCTCCTTTTAGGGAGGGTAGAGATTGAGCCTAGAGCCTTGCACCTGCCAGTCAAAAGCTCTAGCGCCGAGTTACATCCCTACCTCTTGCTTCTTAATGCATATTTCCAGTATGGTATTTGATTTCCTCCAAACCCTTCTGAGTTTCCTCAAGCACAAACCAGAACACTGAAGACTCAATGGCAAAATGTGAGTTTTTCTTAAGTTTTTCTAAAGCAGATTCATTTCTTCAAATAGATATAGGAATGATAAAAGAGATCAGCATAGTTGGGAAAGAAATTGCGCTGGCTGCATTTTTCAGTGTTTCTGACTCTCTCTCGACTCTCTCTCTCTCTCTTCTCCCCCCCCCCCCACAAAATTTAGACATATACCCAGTGCCAAACAAATAGCAAATACAAGTATATAAAAGACAGAACAAAGGGGATTTGTTAAACAGACTGGACAAAGGAAGAAACTGAGATGGAAAATAGAAAGGCATGAAGTAAAAGATATTTAAGTTGGGGCTAAGAACCGAGAGACACTTCTACATAGTGCAATTATAGACAGTGACAAAATGGTTACAGAAAGCCTCCAAACTTCTAAGACATGGGAAGACACACACTAGTAATCAGGAAATTATAGAAGTTTCCACCTGAAATCTTGCACTGTTGAAACATTCTAATAAGCTCTTGTGCTAAAAGAAATAATTATGACATCTGCACCACACACGACTGGAGTTAAGCTATGCGTTTTTTAACGGAGGTTTCTAGAAAATTTTACCTTTGGATTCCAACTCCATTTTCTTTTTCTTTGCCCATATATTATGGTAGTTTTCAGCCATCATTTCTGCCATAGCCTGAAATGTACCAAATATTGAAGATCTAACTTACATTTCAATGAAGAAGAGTATATCTGCTTTCTAAAAATTAATATCAAAATAAGCCTTACACAAATAAGGTCACAGTAATAGCACCAAAATACATTAAAGAACATCAAACACAATTCTCCTTTGGGATGAACATCTTTACTGAACACAATAATGAAGCTTCAAAACAGTGGTGGGCTTCAGCATAAAATATATTACAATTTATAAGTTTCTTATGTTGATTGCAAAAGCTTTAACTGATGGCCTAGACCTTATTAAACAATGAATGCAAAGAACACCAGTAGGGTCAAAAGATTTCACTTCTAGATCATTCTCTGCCCAACCCAGGTAATAAGCTTTGGACTTGCCACATGATGCAATCTGAAGCTTGTGGGTTTTGGTAATCACTTCTATCATTCTGTTCAGTTTGTATTTAAGTTCACTACATACTTCTAATACATTCCTACAGAAGAAAAAGCTAAGGGGAGATCCACAAAATTTAACCAGAAATAAAAGTTACATTTCTCCCCTTACTCCTCCTGAGCTAACAATGTAATTGTACCAGACTGACGCATTCCCTTACATTCTACAGAAACAAGCTTTATCGTTCGTTCAAGTCAGCTGTTTCACAGTAAGTTCCTTAGTGACAGATAAGGCTGTGGATGACACAGGGAAATGCCACCCATTTCTCCAGGTGAACAATCTAATTACATGTTCTTCGGTGAATAGCTCATGGTCACCTTAGGTGGCATGTTACTACTCCTTATTATTCTCTTCTCACACGTAGATCATCACAGTGGATATCAGTTTTTGAAGGAAAATGTGTTACAGGAAGAAAGCATCCTTGAAAAGCTTATACAGCCAGTTACCTGTTATCTGGGGAGATGTGTTTCAGGATGCTCAGTTGAGAGCTGAAAACTCAGGTAGTACTAAATCCTCTATATGACATATATATAGTGTTTTTGCATCGTACCAGACTGCATCTGCCCTTCTGTGTTTTATGCACTGTCAGCTTCTTTGCATCTATCTTCTCCTGCACTTTGGGGTTATTATGAAGGTAAACTGAGGTTCACTTAACACAAGCACTATAAGCCATGGAAAAGGATCTACTAACTGCCAAGTGGTTAAAAGGAGGCTAGCGCATACAGTATGGAAACGGTAGACAAAGGAATGATTCCCAGCCAGGGCCAAGAAGAACAGAGCAGAGCAGAACAGGATGGCAGGAAGCTCTGTCTGCCACTCATAGTGGGATGTGACTTCAAACCTCAGAACTGATCACTCCCAGAACTGCCCGTTTAATCTCATAGAATGCAGTGTGGGTGGGAATAACTGAAATCCCAGAGGTGGATCTGTAGCCAAGTGAGACTAACTGTCGCAATTTTTAAGATACTAAAAGTGACCCAACATAGCTCTCAACTAGACAGAGGTCCGTTTGAGGATGGCTGTAGTCAAAGACTTCAAGTGGCAGAGATGATGGGATACCTTCTAGAACTCAAACTTGGTGATCACTTCGAAATCTGAGCAATACTTACATGCAGATCTCTGGAGAGTGTGACGTTGCTCATGTCAATGGCCCGGGGGCTGTAACCATGGGCAGTGTCCACAGAAACCTACATCATTCATGTAAACAAACAAACATTTAAACCCCTGTGGAGAAGCATCACTCTAGAAATACACTGTAGACAAACTTCCACACACGTATTCACAGAGAAAAGCAGCGAGTTATCTACATTAAATGATCCTACAGACACATCCAGAAAATCACATTCTATTTGGGTGTCTAACAATTATTTATGCTTAAATAACTCACTTGAGTATCTTAGGGGTTGGAAAATACCACAGCCTAACGGTCAGAGTTCACCAGATTGTACGGTGAATTCCGAATTCTGAAATGTTCCCTTATATAAAGGTCATTATATTCTTGAGTTTCTTATAAATCCTACTTAGCTGTAATGAATTACTCTGCTTCAACCAAGCAATAAGGAGTCAAAAAGGTCAGAATTTACCAGTGTCCTTGTGGGTTAGACCCTAGGACAAAACAGATCAACTTTGAATTAGGAAAGGAGAACGCATGATATTCTGTAGGTTTTTCCCTTCCTTCCTTCCGTCCTTCCTTCCTTTCCTTCTTTCCCTTTTATTTTTTGCACTGGACCTGCGGACTGAACTCAGGGCCCCACATTCTAGGAAAGCTTTTTCCCTCACAGCTGGTATGCTACCACACCTCCAGTCTGCATTTTTGCTGGCAAATTTGGAGATAGAAGTCCCTTGGACTTCTCTGCCCAGCCTGGCTTCAAATTTCCCATTAAATTACCTCCTCCCCAGCTTCCAGCCCCTAAGATTGAGTCCCAGGTCAAGTCTCGACTTCGCCTCTCCCACCCTGAACTTGAAGCCACCAGGCTTGAGAGTCAGGATGCTGGTTGCTGGCTTGAACATGGTTCCCGTCCCTAAATCCTTGTGCTACCTGCTGGTCATCCATCTCCCTTGGTGCCAAACAGGTATTCAAGGTGTGCAGACAGCCTGGTCTACAGACGTGGGGCCCACTGTCTCATCACCCCGTTCCTTTGGAAGCAGGCCTCACTGGTGGCAGGAAGCCAGCAGAAAGTTCTACAGGCAACGCACTACAGCGATGAGAGCAGTGTATCCATCAAGCTCCAGGACAGGGAGCCCTATCTATACCAGCCAGGAAAAGCAAGACTCAACGCCTCAACACACACTCACCTCACCATCAAACACAGCTGAGGTATTCTAGTCTTCTCCTCTGCCTTGTAAGTTTTGTTAGGCTTGAGACGTTTCCGTTTCCCTTTGGAAACACTCAACCATTTCATAAATTATTGTCAACGTGATGGTGATGGTTAATTTCAAGAAAGTCTGTCACTATGTCTCGGCTAGTTTCAAATTCTGGGGGAGGCCCACATGAGCCTCCTGCCTCGGGCACCGGAGTGGCTGGGACTACAGGAAGTCTCACCATGAGCACTCCAAATGCCGTTGAAAGTGGCGGGGGCAGCCCCTTCCCTGCGTGGGTCTCACCTGGCTCGTCTGGGAGATGCGGCGAGTCCGGCTGTACAGCGCCATGCTGTCCCCCTCCCGGGTCCTCGCCACCCGCCAGCCCCATGCCAGCATGGTTTTCAGAGACTCTTTGATTGGCCAGCGATAAATTTCTTTTTCCTAGAGGGGGAAACAAAAACAAAAGAATGATCAGGGATATGATAGCTGCTGTGAAAATTCCAAATAGCTCTTGTGTTCGTCTGAAATAAACTGCCTTCATAAAAAAAAAAAAAAAGCTGGCATTAGTGTCAGCTACTTAAAAATGAAAAGCTGAAGTATAAATGGCAAAGAGAAAAGAGCGTGTGTGATGTGGCTGCCCAGAGGGGGTTCCGGCCCGTGCCCACAGTGGGACATCAAAACCCTCTAGGACCCCCCATCCTGGGACCTTTTACAGAAACCAGAAGGGAGAGAGCACCCTGGGGGACAAGATCCCATGGTGCTGCTCTGGGGGAAGGCAGGGCGCCCTGCACACACAGCTCACTCTTCGTACAAAGCTCCATGCTAGAATCCTTTCCCTCCATGCAGAAGTATTCATATTCCCTCACAGAACCAAAACCACAGACACGAGGCATGTCCTATGTACCCCTCTCCAGAGACTCTCAGCTGGGATGAAAATATTGTCTAAGGTCCTTCAAAATAGGAGGCAGGAATGAAATGGAAAAAAAGAAAGGAAAAAAGAAAGGAACAGATGAAGCGCTGGCATAAAGTGAGAACAGAGCAGGAAAACAGGTAGTAAAACACAGAGTGGGCAGAGCGGCTCATTTCTATGATCCCAGTGATTTGTGAGGACTGAAGTTAGAGACCAGCCCTGGACACAGGTGAGAGGGAAACTATATCAAAGAACAAGCCTAGCATGGTGGCTCACATCAATAATCCCAGTTGCCTGTAAGATAGACATAGAAGATCACAGACTAAGGCCAACCCGAGGTAAGTAGCAAGACCTTATCTGAAAAGTAACTAAGGCAAAAGGGAATGGGGATATGACTCGAGTGGTAGAGTACTTGCCTAGCAAGCATGAGGCCCTGAGTTCAATCCCTAGAACCACGGGGGGGGGGGGGGGGGGGAGTATGGGGGAGAAAGAGGAGAGGAAAGAGGGAAGAAAGGGAAGAGGGAAGAAGGGAAGGAGGGAGGAGCAAAGAGAAGAAGAAAAGGGGAAAAGAAAATAAAAGAAATTGGAAAGTTAAAACATACATATAAAATAAAAGATATTTTAGTAAGTAAATATACAATGAAAAATCATTTCCAAACAATGAAAACTTTATGAACTTAGAAAAGGTCCTTACCTTTTCCGATAATAGTTTATAAGGCTTCATTAATGGCTGAACCTTTGAAGAGTCTGAATATATTTCTCCATAAATCCATCCATTTGCCAACTAAAAAGAAATACAAAGATTAGAACCTGTTTCACAAGTATCCATTTTAGAGAGTTTAGCTAGCATATGTTTAGCTAGTTTAGCTAGCATATGTCTTAAATATGTTTAATAAAATAAACCTAAAGTGAACCAAGAGAAGGATTAGAGTTTACTTTTTTTTATTTTGTGCCAGTCCTGGGGGGCCTGAACTCAGGGCCTGGGTGCTGTCTCTGAGTAATTTTGTTCTACCACTTGAGCCACAGCTCCACTTCCAACTTTTTGGTGATTAATTGAAGAGTCTCATAGACTTTCCTGCCCTGGCTGGCTTCGAACCATGGTCCTGAAATCTCCACCTCCTAGGTGGCTAGGACTACAGGTGTGAGCCACCAGCGCCGGGCTTGAGTTTACACACCACCACACACAGCTCCATCTTCATCAATGTTATGTTCAGTAGTAATCTGGAGTGAGTCTCCTCATCCAGATTGGACACTCTGCGTCCCCAGTGCAAAAATCCCACAAAGGACAGGCGTCCAGCCCCGCCCCAGTGTGGCTTGTCTTGATGTGTCTGGGGACCCCACCTAGGTCTACTCAACACTAATTGAAAACAAGAATATTGGAGTATGCAACTCAGGAGCTTCCCGAACAGTGCTACATCTGCCATGCCAACACACCTGGTCCCCCATCACTGCACCCGTCTGGACACATTGCCATTTCCCTGGAGCATTCTGTGCCAAGGGATCTGGATAAGGGGACTGCTACAGCTCGGAGCTACCTTACTGCACTACACCTAGTCACCACCAACTCCGGCCATTAAAAATTTAGTGGTGTCAATATACAAAAGAGCCCCTTATGCCCAGGGGCCTGTGGCTCCTGCCTATAGTCCCAGCTACTCGGAAGGCCAAGATCAAAGGATTGCAGGGCCAAGCCAACCCAGCAAGAAAGTCCTTGAGATTCCAACCAAAATTAGTGAGCAAAATGCCAGGCTGGAGGTGTGGCTCATGTGGGACTCATAGGGGAGGAGAGGGGGAGGAGAGAAGGGAAAAGGAAAGAGAACAGAGGAAGAGGAAGAGGGAGACAGAGAGAGGAGCCCCCTAGTTAGGAGATGTTGATAGAAGAGCCATGATTTTTACCTTTAACTCCATAAGCAATGTGTTTAGAAAACGCATCCGTGCTATTTTTAATTGCTTTTGAAATCTTAAAGTCATGCTTAATATCAAGACAAATGTTCTTATTCACATACACTTCTTTTTGCTATGGCTGAGCTAGCTAAATATTCTATTAGCATGTTGTAATGGAATCTGCTCTCCTAGCTTAAAGCTTTCCCTTGAACTCAGAAATCTGTCACTAGCAGACACGTGTAAGCAGTGACTGATTGGTAGTAAGGACAGCCCTGAACAGGCTGTATCTCGCACTTTTACCTTGTTCATGGACCATTTGTCATGAGAACAGACACATGTAAGCAATGACAGATTACTAGTAAGGACAGCCTGAACAGTACGTAGTTCATACTTTTACCTTGTCCATGGACCATTTGTCATGAGAATGCTCTGCATATTTGTTAATGAAGTATTCCAACTTCTCAGGAATTGTAATACTATGAGAAAAAGAAAGGAAAAGCTTGATCTTCACAGAATTTACAGGAAATCAAAGTCACAATTTACTCACAAGTAATGAATGCTTAGAGCCACTGAGTGCCTAACTGCTAAAAATAGCTTTGACAAAGTATTACTTCTGGTTTCAGAAAAGAAAAAATTGAAAGTCAAGCAGATAAAGTTTCATCTGCTCTGAAATTGATAACTCTCTTATTAGGTCTTAATGTAACAAATGGAATATAATAAAATATGCATAGTGTATTCAAAGATGAAGACAATAGATTATCTATTTTTTAAAAACCTTAAATCAAGACATAATTAGACTCAATGAGCTTAAAGACACGTTTCTCTCCCATACTTTCTAGGAAGATACTCTCTGTTTGTGACTCATGGTTTCTGTTGCAACAATAAACAGACAAAAGATCATGGACACTGGACCTGCTGGACTTTTTAATTAATTTCCAGTGCTGTGTTAATAGTACCAAATATCAATGGTCTAGAGATAAGAGGAAAAATGTTACTGATATTGACTGCAGGCAACAGTCATTTCCTAAGTCATGCCTCGTAGTTTCCACAATGTTACTCCTTTCCTGTTTAAATTACTATTTACTCCCCTGTGTAGATACCCAGCACATTTGAGGCATGACACATCTGGTAGCAAATGTAAGACTTGTGAATATCAAACCTACTCATGAATAGAAAATTAGATAGACACTGAATTCCATTCATTAGTAAAGGTAACTCACTAAAGCAATTAACTTTGAGATTCAAATTCTAAATGAAGCCTGGTGTCCTATGATGGTTTTCTTTGGCAGAATTATCAGTTGGTCACTGACACACAGATATTTAAGAAGCAATACACTCTTATAGGAATGATCACTATCACCGTATAAATCTATACCTGTTAACTACTTCCCAAAGAGGCAAGCCATGCCTAGTTAAATCCATACACATGCCCAATTCTTGATCATTAGTTGGATTTAAATAGTCAACACCAACCCCATGTCACTGTTCCTGTCATCTGAAAATCCTATGGGTGAGAATGTTGAAAGGGTTGACAACGATCAAGATGCATTTTCAAATGGCAAATCCTTTGTACCACTCCTTAAAGATGGCAATAAAACAGAAATAGAAAGCCATGGGTTTACACTGCATGTGAGCAAACCACACACTTACCCTGGTAGGAGTTTAAACCTGTGATGTTTTGGTCACTTGCTTTGGAAGACACACAGGGTTAATCACATAAGCCAAATACTGGGGGTGTGGGAGGGGGAAATTTTGACTTTTTTCTCCTAAGATTGCTGTCAAATATCAAAGGTGTCATTTTAAGGCATTATCAGATTAATGGCTGGGCATGTGGGTTGGATCCTGATGTGATCAGAAGGTTAAAGTAGGGTAAACCAGCTTGGGGCTACCCTAGAGGCTCAAAGTTGAACCTAAGTAAATCCAATAGCAGTGGATAATAACCACCACTTGCTAACTGGAGTTACCAAGTCACCAAGGAATTGGCATGATCACGTAGCATGGGAAATCAGTAACAGCATGAAATGCCATGACACTTCAGACACACGGAGTGCCAATGCATCCTATCTGTAGGAGAAGGCACCCAACTAAGCAGACATGAGACGTCTCATAAAGTTAACTGATGTCTGGTCTCCAGTTGTCAGAGTATATTTTGCATGCTTCCTCCCCCCCAAAAAAATCCATGTCTTGTCTCTCCGGTCTCATGATGAGCTTTCTGAGGCAAAGCGTCCACCACACACACTGGGCCTGGCTGAGATGGACGAAGCCAGTCCCTGTCACCCAGAATCAGCCTCGCGGTTCACGCTGGGATTGCCTATGTTAAAGAGCACTACACAGTGGTCACCTATGGATACTGACAAACACACCACAGGCAAACTTCCAACTCAAAGCACGGCTAACAGCTGCCTCCTTGGTTCCCAATATGATGAGCTATTGCCACATAGTTATAGAGTATCATCATCAAGTGAAAACTATCCTCAAAAGCAACCCTCATCTGCTCCTGATATTAGAGTTACTCTCATTGGATAAATTAAAGGGATTCCTAATTAAAAGGATACCAATTCAAAGGGGGCAGGTATCAGAGAAAGTTCACATCAGTACCTTATTCAATTTCAGACTTCACACATCATTTACAATAAAAATCTGCTGCAATAGAAAGAGTCCATACTTTGAGGTATCAACAGGTTGGGGGTTAAAGTTCCCTTCAGAATCCATGGACGACTGTTTTTCCATCAGATTCACATAGTTTGACTCCATGTAGTCGGGAGGCAAAGCCCCTGCAACGGCACTCAGGCAAGGCAGCGCCAGTTTGAAAAGTTCTTGTTCATATTTCTGGGAAGAAAAAGAGACAAGTCAAACCAAAGTCATGACATGACCTTGTAACAAAGGCTGGCATCATCATGGCCAGTACAATGCTGAAGGAGAAAAGGTGAATGGACCGGGGACTATCCTTTCTCCCGCAAACCGAACACAGCAAAGATGGGGCTTACTGGAGGGCAGCTAGAGGGTGATAAAATCCTCACTTCTCAAAAGTCTATCCTCCTATATTTAACCTCAAAGATATTCTAAGTTTCGGGCTGGGATGTAGCTCAGTGGCAAAACGCTTGCCTAGCAAGTGCAACATCCTGGGTTCGATCCCCAGTACCAAAAAAGAAAAGACAAAAAAATACAGTTAAAAAAAAAAGATATTCTAAGTTTGTATAAAACAACCTGTAATACTAGCTGCTTGGGAGGCAGAAGCAGGCGGATTGGGGTGTGAGGCTAGCCCAAGGGAAAGTTCCAGGCTTTCATGACTAAACTAAAATGGACTGGAGTTGGGGCTCAAGTGACAGAGCATTTGCTTAGCAAACTTAAGGCATTGAGTTCAAATCCCAGCACCACCTCCATTTTTCCCCTCAAAAAATACCTTTACAACGTGGGCATTTCAGTCAATGCTGATTATCTCCCACATAACTATAGATTATTGTAATGACTACACAGGAAAAATACAGAGTATAACACCCCAGAGAGTGAGAAACATTTAACTGTGTTGCATTATAACCTTATGAAAGTGAAATTCCTACACTGAAATGCTATTCTAGTATCCTTGTATGCTAGCTACGGATCTATAGCCAGTATGAAATTTGCTGGGAAGAGGTATTTGTATATCAATGACACATTTAGTTGACCTTGAAGGTCTTTAAAAAAGCAGTATGAATATTTAAACCATCTCACTTAAAATGTTCTATTTTTAAGTTAATGTCATAAATGTACTGAAAAATGCCTCCACATTATTTTTAAATGATTCTCAAGCTTACCAAACTAAGAAAAAATACCATGCTGTAACTATTCAATGTAAGCACAGAGTTTTCTCCCCAAGCAAACCTGTGAGTGCATCGCTCCACAGGTCCTAACAGTACCTGCCAAAACCCAAATCGATTTTGCTCAACTCAAGTGTGTGCTTACCAAATATGTTGGTCTCACTCCCTTCTCAGTCATCTGAAAATACACGAAGTATTCACCAGAGACCTGGCCGCTGTAAGCCAACACTACACCATGCCACCCTGAACAGAGGTACTTGAATCTCTCTGGCACAAAAGCAGGTGTCAGCAGGCCATGGCAACATTCCAATTCCCTAAGATTGGACAGCCTTTTGTTTTTTTTTTGATCGGTTGTGGGGCTTGTACTCTGGGTCTGGGTGCTGTCCCTGTGCTCTTCAGCTCAAGGCAAGCGTTCTAGCACTTGAGCCACAGCGCCACTTCTGGTTTTCTGGTGGTTCATTGGAGATAAGTCTCACAGACTTTCCTGCCCAGACTGGCTTTGACTTGTGATCCTCGGATCTCAGCCTCCTGAGTAGCTAGGATTACAGGTATGAGCCACTGGCACCCAGCTATAGCCTTCTATTTGATACAAGTTCTTCGGGCTTTGTAAGATTTGACAGGTAACTGGGGACGGTTTGAGTCCCAAATGCATCCAGATGCACTCACCACTCAACAGCCATAGATGAAACTCCCTGAAATGTTTTGCTACCTCAAATTCAGAAACAACATTATGATCACAAGCCCGCCACAGTGTATTCAGGAAGCTGAGAAAAAGGAAAACGGAAACTACCTGAAATCTTGATTGCTACAGAGATTATTCCACGCCAAGGACGTTCTTATCAAGAGCCTGCCACTTTTTATCATTTTTATCAAAATACATAAATCCACAAAACATTCCATTACCTTTTGAGACAAGGCATCAAAGATGCCCCAGAACAGCTTTCGTGATAAATGCAGTTCTTCTTCTGAGGTAGTACCGAAATTGCCCCAGCCACCGGGCAGGCAGTAGTATTTCCAGCATCTCTCATAGTGGTTTGTCAACAGCTGTGCCAGAGAGCAACCGCAAAATTACAGTGAGCTAAGGCACCTCTGCCATCTCCCATCCTTCCTCATCAGTCATGTTAAGGTGACCTAATCAGGTCAGCGAGAATTGTCCAGGAGTACTTCTGCAAAATAGGACTGCTTACATACTCTCTGTCCCCTTAAAATATAACGCTGCTCACCATACACGTGCCAAACTTCAGCTTCACTAATGACTCTGCCTTGAACGGAGGCTCTCTACTCTCAAGCATACCAGCTCTCTCTCCAGGAATTCAAGCATGAAAGAAATGATGGCAGGGCGACTCAAGAGGAAAGCAAAGGAACGCTGTATCTGTGATTACTTTTGCTCTCTCTCTCTCTCTCTCTCTCTCTCTTTTTCTCACTTTCTGTCTTTCTTTCTTTCTCTTTCTGTCTATCCTTAACTACCCTTAACTTTGAGGAGTAAACTCCCAAAGTTAATTGAATTGAATTTACTGTTTAAATTAATATACATTACTGGGGTGGCAAGAGATGCCATTTATTACCTTCCTAACTTTCCGACTATATGAAAAACAAAAATAAAAATCTTCAATTATTTGATAGCTTTTTGGCAAATCTATTCTATAAGGCTCAATTATATTTGAATTTTTTCTACACCCAAGGAGGAAAATACATTTACAAAGATTGTCATGATTTAAGAAACTATGGAAATAGCTCTTCTTGTTTCATTTCCCTTCTAGTTACAAAACACTGCATATGTGGGCTGGCAGTGGGGGTCCAAGTGGTAGAGTGCCAGCCCTGAGCAAGAGAGCTGAGCAAGAATCGGAGGCCCTGAGTTCAAGACCTGGTAATGCCACAAAAATAAGAAAAAAAGTATTCTATATGTACTGTGTATATACATACTATGTATGAACATACTGTACATACATATATTTACAGTATATATACTGTTAAACATATAAACACACATGTGTATTTTAATATATTTATATGTATATATATTTTATGTATCATATATATTTGTACATGTGTTATATATAAATATATACAATTATATATGTACAAATATACATAAATAAATACATAGGTATATATTATATACACAGTTTAGGAATAACAAGTGATATAATATTGAGATTTTAATTTGCTTAGAGTAACACAGATATACCTATGATATAAAAGGGTTTGCATGGGTTCCTTCATTTGTGGTAGCTAGAATGTGCTTATAAATCTGCAAATAAACACAAATGGATGGCAAAAAATACACTGAAACATGATAAATTATACAGGTCTCTAGGCATTCACACAGTGAGTTCAAAGGAGGAAACTCTCAGGAGAGGCACAATACCTATATGCATCTGATCACATATAATATTTGTCAAAAAGAACTCCAGGAAATGGAAACAAGCGGGTTTTGTTGTTGCTGCTGTTGCTTTTTCTGTTTTCCTTTTGTCTTGTTTGTTCATTTATGTGTCTTTGGGAGGGTGAGGGGGTACAGGAATTGTGGGACAAAGGATGAACAAATGCAGCAGTGGTACTCACTGGACACTATGGTGAAAATGAACTGTACAAATTGTGAATGCGGATGGGAAGAAAAAACAAGGGGAGCGCAAAGGAAGGGGTGACATTGTCCAAAAAGAAATGTGTTCTTTATGTGACCTATGTTATTGTCACATCTCTGTATGTCACCTTCATGATAACAATAAGAACGCATGAAAAGGGGTTTCAAAACATGTTACTCCAATTTTTTTCAAGTAATTTTAACTCATTTGTTCATGACAAAACCTCCCCCCATTCATAATAAAGGAACTAGAAAAATGAGATTTTTGTAAGGTTGCAATTTACTGTATTTAATGCTTTCACTCATCTAGATTGATTAAACCAAAATCAGTATCCTTAAAGAAATGTTATCTTGCCAATTCTCAAAAAATACTTTGTATAAGAATTTTTAAAGAAGAGTATGCCTATATCCCAGCCCTTTTCTTCTACAGGGCTGTCACTGAGTCGAGAGTGGAAGGAGACACTTACTAGAGGCCACTTCAGGTGGTCATCTGAAAAAGCACATGTTTACCATAACCTGGATGCACAGACTATATCATCCTGAGTCTAGTTCGAACAGGAAACATTTGGAAGTCAGTTGGAAAGAATGAGACTTGGTAATGAATGAACTGGATAGTAAAGCTAGATGGGGAAAAAATGTCATATTTCTATCTAGGAAGCTACAACTGTATATACCGAGAAGTTATCTTTGAGCACTACGACATGCTACTTGAGAACTGCCAAGTGGCTAACAACGTCTACAACATTGGTTCGTAAAGACTACTAATCATATTTTAGGCCAGGCCTGTGACTGGATTTTTCAGTCTAAGAATGTCTTGGTTTAATCACTTCTTTGTGGTTCATGCTTGTCTTTTTATTTTCACAGCAATCGATGACTTTGTTTCAGGTTGATAGTCCCATTTCTACAAACTTACACGGTCACTTCAATAATTGGAAGAAACTTCCCAGTAGCCAACAGCATTCACACTAAGTCTAAGAGATATCGTGTAAGAACAAGAAACAAAGAGGAAAGAGTGTTCAGAAAGCTACAAACTGTTCTTCTCCATACCTTCAGAGGCATCTTTGCATGTTCATTTAATAATGGGACATCAAACACGAGTCTTCTGAGCAAGTGTTGCATCATAGAAGGTCTCAACTGGCTATTAGGAGGAAAAAACAATTGTAAGGATGAAATATGTCTAAAATAAGCAGATAACTGTTAGACTATGTAAGCCACCAGCCTGCCCTTTTGCCTCTCTTCACACCATACCCATTACGTGTTTCTAGTCAAAGATTCAGCAATAGTTAAGACAACGACATAAAGTCATTTCAGTGAACACAGAATGAACCAAGAAGATTATAATAAAACCCCAAATTTCCCATTCCCTAGTGATGTCCTAACTGGAGTTAACTTCGAAGCACAAACCTTCCCTGACACATTCTGGTATTGCTGATACACTCAAAGCTACTCCCCTGTTAGTTAGTTGTAGGTAAACAAGAGCAGGTACAGTATAGTATGGACGGCCTGTAATATCTGATGAAGATAGGTAAGGGAGGATGGGATTGGCTTAAGTATTTATGATCTGACACTTTTACTTCAATATTCATGTTTGGCAGCCGTACCGTGAAGCCCCTTAGTACCGTTCATATATGCTCATCTACAGAACCTGCATGTAGAACGTGGGAAACGGTGGCCATGTTTCAGCAGCAGCAGCCTCAGGATCACCTTGTCTGTCTCTTTTGTTTGTTTCGTTGTTCGTTCCACTGCTATGGGGGGAGCCCAGCACCTCACATGTGTTAGGGGAGCAGTCTACCACAGACATCTCCATTTCGGCCAAGTCTCTTGGCTTCCTTGAGAAACCACACCGAGTGACCGACAGGTACCACCTAGGTGTGTGCCAGCACATTCTCTGACCCTCATCCATGAACAAAAGCCCAGAGAACACGGTGTGAAGCACACAGCGGGGCAGGGGCTGTGGGGGGTAGACTGAGGGCACCACTTGGGTGTGAAGTAAGGCAGGAAACTGGCTTTGCTTCCACATGAGGGAAAGAAAGCTAAGTCTGCATGAATGCCACCATGCCAGTAAACACCAGGAGTTCCACCTCACTGGATACTAGATACTGAGAACTCTGACGGGCCTTCACACAATCTCAGGTCACGGAGGCTTTAGAAAGACTCTCCTGAACCTTCTCCCACAGCTCCACCTGGCTGTTTCTCCCATCCACTCCATCATGAGTGAAACCTTCCTTCACTGTGGACCGTGGGCTGTGGGGTTCACCTCTTGGGGTTCCCATCCAATCAGAAAGGGTCACCCCCTGGTGAAGGACCTGGGAAACTGTCATTCCCACCACTGAGATTTGAGCAGACGTAGGGAGGGCGGGCCAGGCCTTCCCATAGGAAGAGGCCTGCCCAGCTGGAGGGTCCGCCCTCAGCAGGACCACACAGCGGGGGCTCTCATAGGAAGGACGCTGTAGCCTTTCTAGGGTTAGTAAGAACCTATTTTCCTCTCTTCTTCTGGAAGAGGAGTGGAAGCTATCCAACACAGGCAAAAAAGGAGAGAGGATTCATCTTATCCCCATTATGGCCAAGGAATCTTGACCAGTCCCTACCTCCCCCAACACCCAAGACAATATTCTAGACCTGGTCAGCACTGGTGTTTACCAATCAGATACCCATGGGGAACCTTGAAGGGATATTCAGATGTCCTCTGACATCAACAGGAGTTAGCATGCTCCAAGTAGCTGCAAGAATCTCAACATGTAGAACTACTCATAATGAAATAACATTGTGTGGGGGTGGGGGGCTAGTTACCAAAATCATCTCAACACTCCTAAAATGTCACATCGTCTTTCTTAAAGAAGGCTGCTCAAGAGCCGGTCGCCCTACTCACCCACAAATGGAGAGCAGGCACACTTCTATGGAGTCCCGCTGGGCTTTGGTGAGGGAGCAGCCCTTGGACAGTCTATACACAGTGTGAAGAAGCGAGTCGATGAGGGAGGCGTGGTGCTCCGTGCCCGCGAACAGAGGAGCACATCTGGTTAACAAAGGTAGGACAGCTGTGCAAAGGTACCTATTGAGGGCCAAGGCCATGTCTGTAGCACTCAGAGCGGCCTGCAAAGGAATCAAAATCAGCACAGACTTGTTTGTGTTTGGCGGGAGACAGCTTGCCAAGGGCTCAACACACGGACGGGTCGTTTCCCTCTCTAGCGAATGACAACACCAGGGGACAAGAGATGCCCTCCTCAGATATGTCTTTCAAGTGTAGTTTGAATGGCCTTTGCCACTAAAATCAATCAACTATCAATTGCTTGCAAGTAGCGTCAAACACATGAATTGATAGCTGTCTTGGTCAAACAGCGCAAATGGTCCAGATCCTATCATAAACAATTATCCGCATAGGATCCACGTAACAGGAAGACACACACAGTGTCCAGGATGGGAGCATTTGCACTGTTACTGGAGGAGAGAGGAAAGACCTGACTCTCACTCCCATCACAGGTTCACAAATGCCTTCCGAACTGGATGTCTTCATTTCACTCCTATTTTGGCTCCTGCTCATCGGTGTCAAGCAAGCTTCGAGTCAGTTATATTAGTGTGGGCTTGCCATTTCCTGTGAAAGTAACACAATACAATATCCGGCTCATTTTCCTAACTCCTCAGTCATGGATATCATGAGAGGGCTATGGTCAACTCAAGATTGGATTTCCCCTGGGCTCAAAAGGGGGCATTTAACTGATGAAACAAATAAGTACTACTGCTCCAAGAGCATTTGGAACCTTGGCTATGTTTACATGGTAAGGGCACATCCAGAACGTAGGACACCCAGTACACAGGACAGATCCCGGACAAGCTGTACTTTAGCAGGCCAAGGACGACACCAATACATAATTATTAGTTGTCTGAGCGACAGTATCAATTAAATTGTCTTAAAACTCTGATTGATCCCATGGATCAATGACTTTTTTGACTGAATACTCAGCACCAAAAAGACTAACAGGAGCCACAGTGAGCCCCAGATCAGGACCACCTCATGGAAACTCCTAGCACAACCCTGAGGTGTTCATTTCTTTCACTCCTTGGAGATACTGGTCTGTTTCCCGTTTACCCACCCCTGGCTTCAACTTAAGCTGAGGATGCAGTAAATATTTGTGAATGAAGGCCCGCAGGTGCGGGATGACAAAGTGGGAGGCAGAGGCCACTCCTTGTCCAAACCATACCGTGTCTAGAGAGGCGGCGGCCCGGAGATCTGGCAGAAAGCCAACCTCAAGGAGGTGGAGGAGGAAGTCTTGCACCTCAATCCCATAGACCCTGTCAAGGAACAAAACCATGGCTGCCTTGTGATCTGGGCAAAACCCCGCGGACATGTCAGGTTCCACCACATTCCCATCTAAAAGAGAGAAGGTGACATGTTGGTGTCAATGGCCTGGCCGGGCCATCTGCGGCTTGATAACACACGGCTTCCTCCCAGCTGCCTCAAAGACATGGCTTCTTCCGCTAGTGCCCTCAAGCAAGAGGGCATGTTTGCTGAGGGAATATGGCAGTGTCATTTACATCCAAGGTCATCGAAATGTCCTTTGGCCATCTCTTCCCTGACTGCGTGCTTGATCATGACATAGCATTTAGGCATCCTTCTGAGAAGGAAACATAGAAGCTTCGCATACACCTCAGAACACATGGAGTAAACATTAATAACGCTCCTTCACGCCCCCTCTCTAATGGCAATGTTGACATCTTGACACTGCCATCACTTAGAATAGTTACAAGCTTATAAATCAACATGGGTAAGACTAGTATGGCATTCACACTCAATATGTGCAAGTAATCGTAACAGCATTTTAAACATCTCTGAGTTAGAACATTTTCTGCATCACCACTCAATTCTTAATGACTACACAGATCAGTGAATCCTTCATAAACTCCCCCATGGGTTCCCAGTTTGGGGGTCACTGGGAAATGATGAGATGATGTGTCAGTTTAAAATACTGAGGACTGTCAGATGCCAGTGGCTCATGCCGGTAATCTCAGCTACTCAGGAGGCTGAGATCTGAGGATCTTAGTTCAAAGCCAGCCTAGCCAAGAAAATCTGTGAGACTCTGATTTCCAAAAAAAAATAGCAAAAATCTGGATGTGGGGGTGTGGCATAAGTGGTAGAGCAAAGTCAAAAGATACCCATGATATCCAGAGGCCCTGAGTTCAAGCCCCAGTAGCAGCACACGTAAAAAAAAAACACCAAAGGCCTTATTTGTTTCCTATTTCAACCATACAGTAATTATGCCAAACCAGTGCTAAGAAAACATAGTAAGATTCTTTCTCTAAATGATGATAGGGGATTTTTTAAGTATTTAAGTACAGAGGCAATCTGAGGAAAGGAGGACTGAGGAAAGCTAACACTTGGCCACAATCATCTCAAGGGAAGAAAGTAATAGCTTTTTTTCCTTTGTATTCACTAAAGGTGCTACGCTATGAATGTTACATATGGCTGTGCACTGCCACACACATGATCTGTGCTGCTGAACACATCACTGCACACTCACATACATGATCATGCTCTCACACATGTGATCACATTTATACACTGATCCCACTGCTGTACACATGATCACACTATGTAACCCATGATTACACTGTGTTACACACATGCTCACACTGTGTTACACATGTGCTCACACTGTTACACACATGCTCACATGCCATTTCTACAATGCAAGTAGGTGGTGCTCATGTGGCTGAGGATGAGAACTGACCTTGAAAGAAGCTAAGCAACTGTCCCATGGCTGTATACTAAGCAATTGGCAAAGCTGGATTTAAAGCAACTAAAACTGGGATTAAAATCCAACTGAACCCATTAAATGCACTAAACACCCTTGTCAAACGTCAAAAAAAATCCAACTGTAGCTGATGTAACCTTTTGTTTACAACTGCATGTCCTAATTTTCAAATAAAATCAATACAAAATTCCACTGGGCTTCCCCTTAAAAGAAATCGCATTACAGGATACTTAAATTTATAAGGTCCTATTATTTGAACATGCACCTGTACCTAGAGGTAAAGATGAGCCACTAAATCAATGACCCAGATGGGAGCATTACTTCCAGTGCTCATAGATGTCTTCCTGGGGCTGAATCCCCGCCAGTTTGGAATGGTGGCTGTTTGATTTGGACCCCCTCCTATGTACACTGGAGACCATGGCACTGAGGACCGCCTCCTTCCAATCTCAAGGAGCCTCTGTGCTGTACCAAGCGAGGCCAGTGAGCTGACCCCACGGCTACTGGGAGCATGCAGACTCTTCATTCGCCCCAACTGACAGCCCTGAGCAGTGAGCCAAGCTGCTGCCGGGCTACAATGAGCTTACTGCTCACATCTGCTAACCCTCCCTTTTCATTAGTATTCCAGGACCCTAATTCTTGCAGAAATATAATAAAATATTTGGGGAAGACTTTCCACATGACCAAGAGGAGAAGAATCTTAGAGGCGGTCTTCCTATACTCAATGTAGAGTGTGCAAGAGCTAACAGCACGGTCACCTAGCAATGCTTCCAGGGCCAATTGGCTGAATGTAGAAATCAAGGGCATCCGTTGCTGCTTGAATGTTACAGGTGAATGTCTAGTAAGCCACAGTAAACTGAAACATAGGTTTCTCCCTGTATGTGCCACATAATGTCTAGTGAGTCACAGTAAACCGAAACACAGGTCTCTGCCTGTATGTATCACATAAGAAAGCAATAAAAGAAATGTTGTAGCCACTGACCCATGATTGCTCATTTTAAAAATTAACTTGTACTGTGATTAGGGTGGCTTGAAAATGAGACAACCCTTCAGGTCTGGGTGCAAATCACATGCTGTATGTGTATGGAGCACCGTACATCATCAGAGCACAACTAAATAGAAGAAAGGAAAGAAAGTGAGCTGAAAATTCACATATATGTACATATATCATATATAATATATGTATATATATATACATATGTACTATATAATACTGTTATATATAGCATATATAGTATATATATGTATATTTGTATATATGTGTGTATGTGTATATATATATATATATATGTATGTGTGTATATATATATATATATATACATAAGTCCTAATACTAAGACTTGAACTTAGGGCCAGGGCACTCTTCCCTAGCTTTCTGCTCAAGGCTGGCATGCTACCATTGGATCCACAACTCCACTTCTGGCTTTTTCACTGGTTAACTGACTTTTCTTCCCAAGCTTGCTTTGAATCACAATCTTCAGATCTCAGCCTCCTAAGTAGCTAGGATTACAGGTGTGAGTCATCCATACCCAGCTTCCTGGTACTATTCTTAAGTTTGTCCTCACAGTGTCCGTTTTGGGGTGCTCAAGTAGAGGAACAAAAGCTCTTTTCCATTCGGGAGCGAACGTGAGTTAGAAGGAAAGTGCAAAGGAGTCAGGCGAGCATGACCCAGGTAGGTCAGACCAAGTCATGGAGCAGTTCTCAAGTTCCAGTGCTCCCTAAAATGATCATACATTAACTTCATTTATGGTTGAATTATGGTGCCAGTTTTTGTCCCCTTGTAGGTTTGGTGATAAGGTGAGCACACAGGAGGCTCACTTCCTCCACAATATGTGGCTACAAGCAGGAGGGCTACCTGTGGGTGCATGGTGATTGTTCAGTCTTGAGCTATTCACAGCTCACATTTTCTGTGCAAATGAAGTATAAAAAGTATAGAGAGCATGTGCTTTCTACATAATACAGTTCTGTTCTAAAATGAGAACCCTAGGTAATATTTGGTTTATACAGAAATACCCAGTGAAGCACTGAAAACTAAGCAACACAGAGACTGAAAAGAAGCAAAAGCCTATTTTGTGGACCTATTCATCTTTTAGTTGTCACTAATGAATCACTTAACCTTTTAAACATGTTCTTCGTCTTGAGAAGTGCTTTTCTTTTAGTGCACAGAGAATATCTAATTCCCAAAGTCAATAGTTAATGACTCTTTTAAAAGAAAAATGTTAAAAAAAAAAAAGGGGGGGGGCTGGGAAGGTGGCTCAGTGGTAGAGCGCTTGCCTTGCATGCATGAGGCCCTGGGTTCGATTCCTCAGCACCACATAAGCAAAAAGAAAAAAGCCGGAAGTGGCACTGTGGCTCAAGTGGTAGAGCACTAGCCTTGAGCTGAAGAGCTGAGGGACAGCGCCCAGGCTCAGAGTTCAAGCCCCACGACCGGATCCAAAAAAATAAATAAATAAAAAGTTAAAAAAAAAACTATGAAAGAAAAACTGAAAACTATGACACAGTTTGAAGTACTGGAGTGAGTTCTAGAAAGACTAACAAGGGGGAATCCCAGGACTGGAACAGAGACAGGAGATGAGAGAGACAGAGGCTGTTTACACTTGGGTAAAGGAATGAAAATCCCATCGAAAAGACAATTGTTTGAAGACAATGAGACAGAAAGCAGGTAATGCTGCAATAAAACACTTCCTGATTTTTTTTCAATTATTTAAAGGAAGCTAAATGGTGGGGGCAAGCTGTGAGGGTCAGGAGAAGAGATTTCGAAGTATCCTGAATCTTACTGAAAACACGGGCGAGAGAGCCGGCCTTACCTTTGGCGATGGTTGGCATCTGAAAAGCGATGCTAATCACACCCACCAGGTCTCCCAGTGGAATGAGAGATCTCAAAATAGACCTGATTCTGATGGCCTCTCCCTTTCCAGCATGAATCAACTACACGGGAAGAAAGGGTGATGATTAGAATACGTTTGTGGAACCAGGATTAGAAACTTGCCTAGAAAAACCTGAATTGGGGGGATTTCATGTCCAAAACAACTTTCTGCATGGTATAAATACAAATTGGACCACTTTCTCAGACTCTTGTCTCAGATGTGGAAATAAGACAATCACTTGCCCATAGATTTCAACATACAACAAATGATAGGCTATGATCAGCTGATTCACCTCCAAGAGCCATTGTTTTGTTTTGTTTTTAATGGTCTTTGGGATCTTTAAACTGAGGGTATGGTAAGCCTGTGAATGTTTATACCCTCCCCTCCAAATACTGAGAACAAGAGCAAGATCACTAAAGAACAGCTATTCTCTTCAGTAACTAAAAGTACACTAGAGTTTATGATTTAGCCTGCTTCTTGCCTGGTGATAAAGCAGTGCATGTTTCTTCAAGTTCTACCCACTGCCACTGAAGCTGGGCGGACAATGGAGGGAAAGGGTAAACGTGAATCTCCACGGTTCCTTTAGCCTGCCACTGACTGACTGATGGAGCTCTTCTTATGGGCCAAGGTTCAAGGAAAGACAGCAGCAAGCCCCAAATTCTACTAGTCTCCCAGAGCCAGTTCAGGTATCTGTTCTTGCACCATTGAGAAAGAAACTCCAGTATGATTTCTGGCCCCTAGAGGACCTCCACTCACAGGGGCAAACATGGACTGATTCCAGAAATACCAGGCTCAGGTCTTCATGAGCACTCTAGTGTTTCCCCAACCTTAATCTAGATGTGCTAACAGAACAAAAAGCTTTCTACCATTCCTTCCTTAGTTTCCCTGATCTCTTCACCAAGATTGGAGGGAAGCATATATTTTCTCTCTGATTCCCTCCAGGGCACAAGTCTCCCACACTCTTGTTCTGTTTACTAGAAATCAGTTCCTGCAACACCAAGAAATATGTTTTCACACACACACACACAAACGTTAAGTTTTTAGACATGTTAACATCTATCTTGTGATTTCTCTCTGCACATAGCAGAAGAATACAGTAAGTCAACTTTAACCCTTGGGTAAGAAAGATAAATTTAATCGGTAAGAAAGATAAATTTTAATCTCTGAGTGTAAAAGAGAGGCAAAAACTAAAACCCTACCAAACCCAACCAAAAATAAACTCAGATACCAGCGGTAGAGAAAGGAGTATGTGTGCGGAAATAAATTGGTCTGGGTTTTTGCTTATCCCTGTTTGAAAGTTCATTTGCAATTCTTAACCCTTCAACCCCACCACTGGTCAACGTGCATCAAACTCTATCCTTTCTCCACCACAGGTCATGAAAATTGTTGTGTACCAGCTGGTTAGTATGTCTTAAACACGTGCATTGGAATTAAATAGAATCACTGGGAATAGAACAACAAAGAGGGTAACGAAGTATTCTCTTAATGACTCATACTGAAATCTCATCACTAACTTTAACAACCAACCAGACATCACCAACTGAACAAACTCGTGTTCCACAGAGGCAGAAGCTCTTATTTTTAATGGAGCATGAACGTGGCTCTGTCTTATCAGAGACAGACAGGCCTGCTCCACGGGCCTCAGGGCACTCACGTGCATCTCAGGGGCGCAGCGACCTAAGAGGTCGATCAGGGCCGCATAGAACGTCATGATTGCATTCCCCATGTGGATGGTGTCATCTTCCTCCTCTTCTATGTCTCTTTTTTTGTGGATTTTTTTTCCAAAAGAAACAGAAAGCAAATGGGTCAGCTGACATTACATGCTCATTAAGCAACTCTCAGAAGACCAGGCACCAGCTGGTGTGGCCTCAGCCTGGTTACTCTGAGCTCTCTGCATGTTTTCAACTAAGAGAAGCGAAGGGCACCCTGATTCTTCTCTGGCCATCTGATAACAAATAGAAGCTGTGATTCTCACTCTGGGGCAACCTCAGAGTGGAAACCTGGACGCATGTCAGTCTCTAAATGGGAGCATAAAGGTCTGTGGGATTCTGTATAGGCTACTGTGTTTGCTCCAAAATTCTCTCCCCCCCAATGGTGATCAATTTCAGTCTTTACCAGTGGTACTAGCAGTGCCGTGCTGGGCAGGTGCATGGGCCATGAGGAGCGCATTTACCTCTGCAGAGAAAAGCCGTGAAGGCACAGGTGCCCTGCACACCTGGGTTCACTTGGACCCATGCTGTGACACCTTTTAACAACTCGACTGTGGAGAATGGGGGAGAGTAGCTGCTGTCCCAGAGTCCCCAGCACCGTAATCCAGAGCTCTACTCCTCAGGGGGAAAGCTGCTGCTCTGGATTTCACTACTGAACCCATCTGGTACATTCCCTGTCCTCTTAAGATCATCTATCTGTCTATCTACATATATTATATGTGTATATACACACACATATATGAATATATTTAGTATATGTATATATACACTTATATTATATGTACATTTATGTACAGTATATTAGTATAGTTATGTGTATGTGTGTGTATATATATATATATATACACACAATATATATATATATATACACACACACATACCTATCAACATTTTAAGAACTACCTTCCCATTGGGCCCAAGTCCAAAGGCTCACCTTCCATGATGGGTAACACCCTGCTTTGCCTAGCTCCCCCTAGGAGCATCCACAAGATGCACCTCCTCCTTTAACCTAGAATTCTCTCTACTAAATCCACACCACACCCTCCAGCTTGCTGTCTGTTCATTCAACTACCCATCCTTCCACATCTAAGACACAACGCTCTGGCCAAGGATTGAGACCTTTGGTGTCAGACGCCATATTGCAGCGAAGACAATTTCAGATCTACTTTATGAGCGTCAGCCATCCTGCATGAGGGACAAGTGAGGGCAGGAACTCTGGACCTACAGTGTCCGGCTGGAGCCACCTGTAGGCGAGGGGCCATCGCGGGAAGGGTCCTCAGCTATTTTTATGGCTTCTTCCATGGCAGCAAGGAGTCCGTTCCCACCTTCCCCTCTCAACGCAGGCCCAAAGCACTCGGGCCTCCGGATGAGCAATCTCACCACGACATTTGCGTTTTCTTCCACACTCTCCCCTGCAGTCAAAAGAGGAACATAGGCAAATATGATCATGCCAGGTTTCTGAGCACATGAAGGCTGTAATGATAATCTCATTTGGTGAAACAAGTAAAACTCAAGAACCTATTCTTGAGGGTTGGGAAGGTGGCTCCGTGGTAGAGTGCTTGCCTCGCATGCATGAGGCCCTGGGTTCGATTTCTCAGCACCACATAAGCAGAAAAAGCCAGAAGTGGTGCTGTGGCTCAAGTAGTAGAGCACTAGCCTTGAGCTGAGAGCTGAGGGACAGTGCCAAGGCCTAAAGTTTAAGCCCCACACTGACAAAAAAAAGAAAAAAAGAACCTATTTGTGAAACAAAAATTCAACCCAAATTTTACTAGTTTTATACTAGCCTAGTATATTTCTTTCGTTTCATATCTTCAAAGTGAAGAAAAATATTATGAATTCCCATTAATTTAGGATGGGAAAAGACATCATAATCGAAATCACAATAATCCAGTTACAAAAAAAAACCTGGGGATTTTAAGGTAAATAATGAAAATACTACCCATGTAAATATTTATAATAAACTAGGGCTATAAACAAAGCCTGATTACAAAATATACAGTTCTTTAACTGGTATTTGGTCCCTTGGCGAGGAACGCTGACTGGACCTTATTTGAGTGCGTCTTTATCAATGAACAGGCAAAAGCTTCACACGAGCAAGTCCTACCATTGCAGAAGACAGCAAATCGGAGGAAATCAAGGTATCGCTCTCCCTCTACAGGATTCCAGCCAATGTCCGGGTAACCCTTTGACACCAGCATCTGGCAGCTCTGCAGCCCACAGCCGGCCAGGTAACGCACGACCTACACACAGAAGAGTAGGCCAAGAGGTGCCCTTCAGATACTGCAGGGGAGGACAGAAACAGCACTTGGATGGGGCATGCCTGGTATATTACAGTTACAGGAGGCCCATGTGCCAGGGGCAGAGAGAGAAGAATGAAGAGTGGAAGGGCACAAACTCAAAGCAAGAGGAGAGATGAGAGGGCATGGGAACTATTGGAATGCATTTACTTGGAGTGACAGAAAATCTTCCTTCAGATGTGATCCTTTTAAGAGAATGGCTCTATTAGCAAAGTCAAAAACAGGTGCTGGGGGTTTAGCTCAGTGGAAGAGCGCCTGCCTGAAGAATGCAAGGCTCACAAACAAGAGGCTCCTTATATACAGAGGGCAATGGCTTCATACATCAGATCACTAACACCTTGCCGTTGAAGAGATAAGCTGGGTTCCTAGGTATGCAGAGGCTGAGGTCTGAGGATCACAGTCCAAAGTCAGCCCAGACAGGAAAAGTTTGTGAGACAGTTACCTCCAATTAACCACAAAAAGCTAGAAGTGGAGCTAGTGAATAAGTAGTAGAGCAACAGACTTAAGTAAAAAAATTAAGGAAAAACACCTAAGCCCCAATACCAGCACAAAATTAAATATATATATATGGAACATTAAAGCAAAAATCATATATATACATATACATATATATGGGACAGTAAAACAACTCTTAAAGAAGTGGGGGGCTGGGAAGGTGGCTCAGTGGTAGAGCGCATGCCTTGCATGCCTGAGGCCCTGGGTTCGATTCCTCAGCACCACATAAGCAAAAAGAACAAAGCTGGAAAAAAAAAGCCAGAAGTGGCGCTGTGGCTCAAGTGGTAGAGCGCTAGCCTTGAGCTGAAGAGCTGAGGGACAGCACCCAGGCCCAGAGTTCAGGCCCCACGACCGGACCCAAAAAAAAAAAAGTGGAAATGGTACAGTTAAAGCAAAATTGACAAATGTCACAAAGACAAAAACATCTAAGACCACGGATCCAGTGAGTTGATTCCAACTATACACAATCCAGTTATTTTAAAAATCTGTGACGAACCAGTGTACCTAGGATTCAAAAGACATATGTGATGGTGGAACCAGGAAGGAAACCTGAGGGATTAGGACAGATTGGGAGAAAGGGATGGAAGAGATGAGGTGGATCGAGATGCATTGTGCTCACAAACTGACATGTTGAAGTGAAACCCCTTTGTACCACTACTTAAAGGTACTTTGTTTTGAAAAAGAAAATGCTTGTAATCAGAGGAGGTACCTTCTTCACATTGAACTATAATATGCAGAGAATTACAGACAGCATAATACATACTACATAATTACAGGAATGTATTTTATTTTAATAGATCTACAGCAAAACTGCAGAAATTAAAATAACTGAGAGAGCAGTACATGAAGTATACACAGTCACAGAGCCAGAAGGCCCACCTTACCTTCTCTAGATCCGGCTCACGCAAGGCTAGGGCAAGTTCGTTATTATCCATCACCGATGCTGCAGCCACGTCGAGTGGGGTGGAGCCTCTCATGGCGGGGGAGGCTAATTCAAGCAAAGGCAAAGACACACCCAGGTTGTGCTGTAACTGTAAGTCCCCCACAAAAACACACCACCATTTGCATTTTATGTTCCAAATGACATACATACAGCCCTGGACTAAATCCATTTCACTTTGTCTAAAGATACTTTTGACAAATAAAAAGTGTATATCAGGAAGTGGTGCTGTGGCTCAAGTGGTAAAGCGCTAGCCTTGAGCTGAAGAGCTGAGGGACAGTGCCCAGGCTGAGTTCAGGCCCCATGACCAACAACAACAACAAAAAAGTGTATACCATTATTGTGTGCATTTTAAAATATGTAGATGATGTGGAATAATGCAATTGGTTTAATTATCAACACTTTAGATAATCACTTTAGATATGTAATTGTTCCTTAAAACCTATTCTCTTAGTGATTTTTAAAAAAATACATTGCTATTTCTGGGCACTGGTAGCTCACCCCTGTTATCTGAGCTACTGAAGAGGCTGAAATGTAAGGATTTTGATGGGGATTATATTGAATCTCTAGCTTGCTTTTGGCAGTATGGCCATTTTCATGATACTAAATTTGCCAATCCTTGAGAATGGGAGCCTTTCTACTTTCTGGTGTCTTCTTTAATTTCTTTCCTCAAGGTTTTATGGCTTTTATTATAGAGGTGGTTTGCCTACTTAGTTATGTGTATTCCTGGGTTTCTGGAGGCTATAGTGAATGAAATCGGTCTTCTAATTTCTTTCTCAGCCTGTTCACTGTTGATTTACAGCTACTGGTTTTTATACATTGAGTTTTGTATCCTGCTATACTGCCCAACATGTTCATCAGATCCAGGAGTTTGGGAGTATAATCTTTGAGGTCTTTTAAGTATAGTATCATCTCATCTGCAAATCAGGATTTTACTTCTTTCTTCCCTATTTGGGCCCCTCTTCTTCCTTCTCTTACATGATTGCTTCGGAACCATGTAGTCATAATTACTGTCTAGGAATGTCAGTTCCATACTGAGTGGACAGGGCAGACACCCTTGCCTTGTGCCTCACTGTCAAGGAAAATCAGTTCTCCTGTCTACTATGGTGTTGGCTGTGGGTATGTTATAGATGGCCTTTGCTTGTTGAGGTGCATTCCTTCCATTCCTACTGTGTTCACTTAACATGAGGCTCAACTTTACATGTAATATGCACATTACTTTTTTTTTTTTTTGGTTCAGTCGTGGGGTCTGAACTCTGGGCCTGGGCGCTGTCCCTCAGCTCTTCAGCTCAAGGCTAGCGCTCTACCACTTGAGCCACAGTGCCACTTTCGGCTTTTTTCTTTTTGCTTATGTGGTGCTGAGGAATCGAACCCAGGGCCTCGAGCATGCAAGGCAAGTGCTCTACCACTGAGCCACCTTCCCAGCCCCATGCACATTACTTTTTACCTTAAAAAGATTAAGTTCAAGCCATCCACTTACTTACCAAGACCAACACTGCTGTTTTCCAGTAAGTAACTGAGATGATCAAACATAGCTTTTTGATTCTGTCTACTTATACGACAGAAGTAACAGAGAAAACGGCAACAATTGGCCACCATCTTGGGAAAGGTGATCTCCTAAATGAAGAGCACTTGATTAGCTGTTGAAACAAATCATCTTCCTGACACTGAATAGGGGAGGTCAAGTCTCAGTGACATTGTCAGCCCAGAGTCAGCAAATCTAGGTGCCATATGGACTCACCTAGACCTTGAGCCACTGGAAATCCAGCCAGAGCCCCCACTCAGAAACCCCACTACCACCAAGAAGCTGGGATTGAGAGGTAAACAACAGCCAGAAACTCCAAGGTACAATGAGCCTGGCTTAGGAATCAGGTAGCCTCAGCTACAGATTACAACTATTAGCTGTGCTTTCCTGGGAAATTACACAGTGTCTTTGACTCAGGTCTGGAGAACTGAGATCATATGAATAATACCACGTAAATTAAGAAAGGGAGAGGAGGGGCCAAGACAACTTCAGGAAAGCACAGTTCAATACTTGGTGTTGTTACCTAAATGGTTTGCAAGCTCCTTGATTTGTATAGGTCTTTCTTCCTGAGCCCCTGACAGGAAGGCCTGCCTGCAAAGCCATCCCACTTCAACCACATACCTCTCCCTAAACAGAGTGCATTGTGAATTTTTAAAACAAAACTATGCATATGCTATATGCATTGTTTTATATTAACTTTTTTAATTCACGTGTTTCATTTATGTACAATATACAGTTAAACTTAGAGACAGAACACTCAAAGAGAATATAGATTTATTTCCATATTGTGAAAATATTAAAATTTTAAATCCAGAAGTACATTTTGTATCTCAGACATTATATAGAATTACACTAATTTATCTGAATTACTTACTATGTTGTACCACCTGTTTGAATTTCACTGCAGATTTTGTCAGTTGTAGGGCTTGAACTCAGGTCCTGGGCACTGTCCCTGAGCTCTTTCACTCAAGGCTAGCACTCTACCACTTTAAGCCATAGTTCCACTAACACCTATTTGATTTTCAAGGATTTTTTTAAAATTGCAATTACATAAAAGTTCTTTTGAAGCCAGGCAACCAGTGGTTCAATGCCTGTAATCCTAGCTACTTAGGAGGCTGAGATCTGAGGATTGCAGTTTGAAGCCAACACAGGAGAGCAAGTCTGTGAGGCTTATTTCTAATTAATTATGCAAAAAGCTGTAAGTGGAGCTGTGGCTCAAATGGAAAGCACTAACCTTAAGCAAAAAAGCTCAAGGACAGTACCCAGACTCTGAATTCAAGCCAAGAAAGAAAGAAAGAAAGAAAGAAAGAAAGAAAGAAAGAAAGGAAGGAAGGAAGGAAGGAAGGAAGGAAGGAAGGAAGGAAGGAAGGAAGGAAGGAAGGAAGGAAGGAAGGAAGAAAGGAAAGGAGAGAGAGAGAGAGAGAGAGAGAGAGAGGGAGGGAGGGAAAGGAAGGAAGGAAGGAAGGAAGGGAGAGAGAGAAAGAAAGAAAGAAAAGAAAGAAGGAAGGGAGAAAGAGAAAGAGAAAGAAAGAAAAAAAGGAAAGAAAGAAGGAAGGAAGGAAGAGAAAGAAAGGAAGGAAGGAAGGAAGGAAGGAAGGAAGGAAGGAAGGAAGGAAGGAAGGAAGGAAGGAAGGAAGGAAAGAAAGAGAAAGAGAGAGAGAGGGAGGGAGGGAGGGAGGGAGGGAAGGAGGGAGGGAGGAAGGAAGGAAGGAAGGAAGGAAGGAAGGAAGGAAGGAAGGAAGGAAGGAAGGAAGGAAGGAAGGAAGGAAGGAAGGAAGATGGGTTGGTTGGTTCTCTTTAGGGCCTTACAGTAGAACATTCCAGAATATCACTGCTGAGTCCTGATTTGGTTCAGGAATTTGGGGAATGTGTTCTCTGAGGCATGTCTGAATCAAGGGGATGGCTAGGGTGTATTTGTATCATGAACTCATGGTAAGATCTGACTGGTAATAGAGAACTTCTTCAATAGCTTCTAAATTAGAATAATTTAGGAGACAACAAACCATACAGAGTAAGATAGAAACCTGTAGCAACAGCCAAGAAAAAAATCCAACTCTCAACCTCAAAGGCACGCCACCTTTGTTTGTGTAAATGGTGTCCTTTAAAAAATACATTCCTCCAAAGAGCATTTAGGAAATTCTCATTCTCATAAATGCTCTGCAATCCAGAACCCCCCAAATACCACCCCGAGGGTCAAAGGCTTCCCCTTACCTTGGACTCTCCCCCGCCCAGGACGTTCACCATGACCTCCATCACCGTCTCGTGCATACCCAGGGCCCTCATGAGGTTAGGGTGTTGGTAAAACACTTTGTTATTCATGATATCTCTGGAAGGGACAGGGGATGAACAGAGTTCAGAGCCAAGTTTAGGCCAACAGTTCCCTGAAATTCTGACAAGTGTTGTGGAAGTAATTCATGAGCATGGAAAAGTAAGAGCATTTGATAGCTGACCCAGAAACGTGAATGAATATTCCTGAGATTTCCTTAGAAGTATTCATAGTCTACCAAAAATGATATACAAGTTGTCTTTTCTTTTGAATGATGAGAAATGTGTTATGGAGATAAGACTTAAGTTTTAATAAATGACTTTTTGGATACTTACTCATTTTGTGGATATTCAATCATATATCCAACTTTTCTTTTGCACAGAAATGATATAATATGCATATATTCTTACATAATTATTTCATGTATTATCTCTTTTTCATCCACATGCAATTTTAAGCCAACATACAAAAGTTGCATAAATAATTACATAAATAAACACTATTTTCAGCAATGTTATCATTGTGGTAAAATGTTTGAAAAAATTATTCTTTTCCAAGAGAAGTTCAGGTACAAGAAACCCAACTCGGGGCTGGGAAGGTGGCTCAGTGGTAGAGCGCTTGCCTTGCATGCATGAGGCCCTGGGTTCGATTCCTCAGCACCACATAAGCAAAAAGAAAAAGGCCGGAAGTGGCGCTGTGGCTCAAGTCGTAGAGTGCTAGCCTTGAGCTGAAGAGCTGAGGGACAGCGCCCAGGCACAGAGTTCAGGCCCCACAACCGGACCAAAAAAAAAAAAAGAAAAAACAAGAAACCCAACTCATTAAATGGACATTCAACTTAAATATCATCAGATGATAGTCAACATAATTCATACTGTCATTTCTGTATCAAATATTATTAAATATTATTGCAATAGTATTAATATTAATATTGCCGGCAGTTGTAGGAATCTTAATGTTCGGTGGTAATTACCATATATTGTAAGTAAAAAATCTGGTGATTGTTTTAAACATAAATCAAATCAGTGTAAGAATCATTCCTTATTAGACCCATGGCAAAAAAATGAACACATAGCCTGCAAGAAAATGGAAACCTCCAATCTGTTTCCCTAATTGAATCACTAATTTATTCAGTTAAGCATCTGATATATTTTAGTTATTCAGTTTCATATGCATAGATTTATCATTCTATCATCCAGTTGGGAGGTTATTTGCTAAGCTGTTGTATAAAACATTTCTTTTTGTGTGTGTGTAAAACATTTCTAATAGCATAAAAGCTGCCTTTTATTTTTATTATCATTGTGTGTTTATCACTAATGAACCACTGACTTATTAATGTACATATTACTGTTGGTTTATTTCAGAAGATGTAATCTATTCTGATTTTTTTCTTAATCAACTTCTTATGAAATGATTCCTTAGGTTAGATTTAAATATTAGCACTCAGATATAATCCAGGCTCATACAATTATAAACAAAGACCAACTATTTGCTGTTGTTGTTAGATTTTTTTTTGATCATAAGCTTTTCTATTTTCCTTTGTCTGAGTAGTACCCTTACTTTACTGTGATCCATTATTATAAATTTGGAATATAACTCTTCCAGTCCATTTTTACAAGTTTAAAAACCTAACAGGCCTGTGAATAATATATGGTATTGCCTCTGAGTTCCAAAGGGACATACATGGAATTACACAATCTGTATTGTCCCCGGATTCTTTTTGTGACTCAGAAGAATTGTGTAGTTTTATTCAGAGGACCAACTGTAGGTTCTTTGATCCATGTGGTAATTTCTGTTTCTTTTAATTCACACAATGGCAGCCTCCACAGTATCATCTGTGTCCCTCATATTTATAAAATTGAATCAAGCTGTTTGCCAAGTATTGGCCTTTCATCAGTTTTTAATAATCTACAGTCCTGATTTCTACATCTTTTTATGTCTTCCTAGGAACATCATCCCTATTCATCTGTACAGATTTTATTTTGTTAATTCTTTTGGTTCTTTCTTAATTTAACATTCCCAACACTGGAAAGTCTTTCAATGATGATGGTAAGTAACCACTGTCTGTTTTGCCCTCCTTCCTGAACATGAGATGTAGACTAATTCCACATCTGTATAAAACATCAGCTTAAACTCAAAACACACACACACACACACACACACACACACACACAGATTTCAATGTATGTGATCGTGTGTTTCTGAGGGGTTGAACAATACTCAGCTTGTTTCTGTGCTGTGTGTGCCACATTAGTCTCTCACTATGAAATCTGTCAGCAACTCCAAGTTAGCTTAAAAACATAATCTCTAGGAAAGCATTAACTTCATTGAAAAATCAAAAAACTGTACACACTTTATCTTTACTAATACTCCTATGGCACTTAGGCTGAGATAAAAGTAAGAAAGGAGACATGTACAAGACAAAGACTTATATAAAAGTCGTTTACCCCAATCCACGAATCATCAGCTTCTCCTCCTCTCTGCCCATCCTCACGCTTAACAGGGAACGAATCTGCCCGAGAGAGGCCAGCAGGTTGATGGTGTCCTCCACAGACACCCCGTTGATGGTATAGGTCTTAGGCAGGGCCCGGACTAGGCCTCCAATGCCATCATACTGCCGGTGCAGCAGCACGAACATGGCCCTCACCAACTCCGGGTCCTCGATGACAGACTCCTGAGCCCACCGAACCATGGTCTCTGAAATCAGCTGCTGGAGGCTGGCTGCAGAAACACGAGGGGGATTTCTGAATTTCCCTTCCATCGTCCCAGAGCCCTAAACCGGTGCCTCTATTTGGACAAGAACTGAAAAGGCTAGGATATTCTACAGGGGGAACTTTTAAGTATTCTTTGAAGAAAATATAGTGCGTTATCTCAGTAAGAACCAGTTATGGATAAAAATAAACAAGGAGAAACACATAAAAATCTTTTGTTTAAAAACCGCCCATAACTAGTGGGGCAATGGCTCACACCTGTATTCCTAGCTACTCAGGAGGCTGAGCTCTGAAGATCATGGTTCAAATTCATCCTGGGCATGAAAAGTTCAGGAGACTCTTACCTCTAATCAATCAGCAAAATGTCTGAAGTAGAGCTGTGACTCAAGTGGTTGAATGCCAGCCTTGAGCACAAAAAGCTCAGGAACAACACCCAGGTGCTCAGTTTAAACCCTAGGACTGGCACACACATGCATATATATGCACGCACACACACACACACACACACACACACACACACACACACACACACACACACACACACACACACACACACACAATTAAAAATGAATTAGCCATTTCAAACCTATAACAACGTTTTCAGAATTTCTGTTCCCAGGTGATAATAAATTAAGATTATAACAATTCACATGAGGTGTTCTAACTTTCACTTTTTATATGTTCGGTTCTATTATTTTCCTCCAGGAAGGACTGACATCAATATCCTTAAAGACGTGGGCTATGGACACATCAAAGTGCTTATGAGTCTTTACAGTTATCGTCTTAATTAAATCATTTCCAGTCGTGACCACACAATTATGATCTTACCTACATTTGGATCCTGAACTAACTCTTAAAATGTCTTCTAAAGCCTTGCAAGTTGGGCTTGTATTAAAATAAACTATGAGTTAGACATACGTGATTAATTGTGGTGGAACATGTAATAAATACAATTCACTTAGAAGTAACAGAAACTTCTGGCCTCTTAAAATAAAAAGCAGGGTTATTGTAAGTAAGTGGGGCTGGTATATGTACAGTTCATGTGCATGTACAGTGAGGCCTTAATTCCTAATTTAATACATAGTGTGGTTTTCAAAAGTGTCTTACACTTGGGAATTCACCCAGCAAAAGCAAAGACCATCGATTTTATCCAAATGTGAGATGCAAAGCAGCAGTAATTTCTATTTAGCTAAAAAACCCTCTGCCTTTATAACAGGCTTTCATAAATCTTACAGGGATCAAGGTGGCTTATAAGGAACTTTGGGTTCTGATTTGTTTTTTGTCGGTTATGGGACTTGAATTCTGGGCCTAGGCACTGTCCTTCAGCTCTTCGGCTCAAGGCGAGGACTCTACCACTTGAAACATAGAGCCACTTCTGGTTTCTGGTGGTTTATTGGAGATAAGGGTCTCACAGACTTTCCTGCCCAGGCTGGGCTTTGAACTGCAATCCTCAGATCTCAGCCTCCTGAGCAGCTAGGATGACAGGCATGAGCCACCAGCATCGGCTTGGGTTCTGAATTTTGAAGATGAGTTTTTTGCCTGTGGAGTGGCCCTGAGGACTGCACACAGAAGCCACTGGGCGAGTACAGACATCATGGTATGCAACAAAGAAAGATTACATTGTGTGTCACCAGTCTAAAAAAAAACTAAAAAATCCTAGTGAATTTTTTTTATAGTTTAAAAAATGCTTTTAATAAACAAGTACTGCTTCTTAAAAAAAAATCTTACAAATGAGGTCATAAAAAATCTGGGTCTCTCAGGCCTGCCTGTTACCCCTTTACGATGAGTGCGTTGTGCCCTGAGACACGGGCTAAGTGCGGGCCCACGACATTCACATTTGGTTTTCAGGACTAGCCACCATTGTTCTTAAGTAAATAGATGTGGATGAACCACAAATGCATACTGTTAGGAAATATATATAGTTATAAACATTATCTATTTAACTTAATGTACTAATTAAATATAGTCACAGACATTATCTATTTAACTTAATGTACTAATAAATAATCTGGAATCAAGTGCACACATGGTATTTATATATAAAGGCCAAATTACTTCCTTTATATTCTCTCTCTCTCTCTGCCTGCTGCTGCTGCTGTTATTGTCAGTACTAGGGCTTGAACTCAGAGCCTAATACACGTGCTTGGCTTCTTTGCTCAAGGCTGGTACTCTAACACTTGAATCTACACCTCTATTTCCAGATTTTTGATGGCTAGTTGGAGATAAGAGTCTCACAGAGTTTCTTGCCTAGTCTGGCTTTTAACCACAATCCTTGGTTATCAGCCTTCTGAGAAGCTAGGATTACAGGCGTGAGCCACTGCAGCCTAGCTGTATAATTTCTCTTGATAGTCTTTGTTTCTTTGTCTGAATTGTTGGTTCTCCAGGGAACTCCTTCCCCTTTATCCGATGCTACCTCTCAGCCTAATTCCTCTACACTACTTCTGGAAGCTACAGACACCCGTGAGGAACCATAGGCCCAGAAGCTGGGACCACCGTGGCTTCTCTGCTCATCTGGCATGATACCCGTTCCCAGGATGGGTGCCCATCCAAAGCCTGCTCACTGTGCCCATGCTGTCACATGCTTACAGGACTTTGTGGCGTCACTGGCCACTGGCTTTTCTGCTTGCTTCTTCTTCAGGTATGTCACCTTTTCTACCAGGGACAACAGACGTCCCCTGATGGTTAAGTCACTGTTTCCATCCAAAGAGCCATCTTCATCCAGCTCAATTCCTAACACGGAGACAGTACAGAACACAGTGAAGGAATACATTTGAAACAACAACAAAAAGTAATAATTCTCAGTCTCTGCAACTCCATTCATGTCTTCCTATCATGTGATGGCTAATAAAACATTTGCCCCCATGTGGATTCCCTTGTGAGCCTCTGTCCCTCTGTCCCTGGGTCTCGGGGCTACTGACAATCAGGATGGAGACAAGACTAAATCAAAGACACCCTGAGAAGCTATGACCAATTCTGCTCTTGGTGGAGCCTTTCCAAAGTGCTTCCTTAGGATGCAAGGTACCCAGAGCTACAGTCCCACCCTGCCTCAAAGCAAATCAGGATGTCAGTGTTCCTCTCTTCCCTCCAAAATTGTCAATAATACCTTGATAACTTGTAAGACAGAGAGAATTGGTACGATTAGGTACCCTAAACAGGGACTGGTTAATATCTGTAGCAATGAAAGTCTATTGCAGTGTCATTTATTGATCATGAATATATAGTATAATATCTGTGCTTTCATTTAGTGCCTCTTCATTCATAAAATGAATTCATGTGCAAGGCAGCGCTTTTATTCTTTTACAGAATGAGGTAAAAAATAATCTTAGTGGAGCTCTGTCTACTCAAAGGATAATTTATGCACCTTTTCCTCACTAAACCGCACACCTCCTCATCATTTTGTAAGGGAATAGAGAATCACACAACCAGAACCTCTGACCAACTCCACGTGAGAGGCTCTGCGAGTAGAGGGAGAGGGGTTTTTCCTCACTAGATTTGAAAGGCTAACACACAGCTATGTAGGGTTTCCTCAGGCATGCTCACTCAGAAGACTCATTATTTCTTAGGCCAGTCCTTAGAGGTGGTCTTTGAACTGGCTTAAATACGACTGTTTGCGATCAGCAAACAGACTCGTTGGAGTACAGCTCACAGAAGAAAACTGCCAACGGTCAACATGCATGGTTGAAAATGTTTGGGCACATGTGTTTACCTATGAAACCAGCATCACTACCGTGAAGGGACAATATAAACTGTCACCTCTAACGTTCCCCTGCATTCCTCTCTTTGGTGTTGTTTGTTGGTTGGCTGTTGTTGCTGTAAGAACATTTAACATAAAGCCTACCCTCTTAGAAAATTCCAGTACACAACACACAACTATCAGCAACACACAGGGCTTCTCAGGGCTTCTCATCTGTGCGAGGGAAACTATGGTTAATGACCAATCGATGGAACCCACAGCCTCTGCCCAGAGCGCCTGGCCGTTCCCAGCCACTGCTGAGGGTTTAGCTCATCTTCGCTCAGTCTTCCTGCCCCTCTGGCTCAACCCTCCCGATCTACTGCAGACACAGTTAACCACTGCATCCTGATAACATTACATGAACATCTAACAGAGCTGCCCACACGCATACCCCATTGTGTACGGGTATATGTGAGAGGGACACGTTCAGCCCGAGGGGTGGGTTGCCATGACCTTACCACAATGTGTCATCAAATCCTCATGGAAATCCAGGAGTTGGTCACGGATTTCTTCAGGACATGGACATTCACTTTTGTCATCTTTGAAGTTGAGGAGCATGTTGATCTGGAAGAGGAAAGGCCGGAGAGAGGAAAGATGAAGGAAGAAAGAGAAGAGAATTCGGGATGGGCAGCACAAAGGTGAAAGCAAAGATGTTCATAACTAATTTGGGGATGTTCCCAATAACTGCCTGAAGAAGAGACCTCCTTTAGCTTTCTTGCATAGCAGGTCTGAAGACTTGCTAATGTCTTCATCTCTCTTCCTTCTGGAAAGGTATTTTCATGGTGTATGGAACTCGGGGCTGACAGAAGATGCTGTGCCATGAGTCATAAATACAAGAATGACGTGAATCTAACGTTTCTAGGTATATGTTATACCCTGTTTATGTCTTTCCCTCAGATGGAGATGTTTTCTTACCTCTGCTCTCTCCTTTCCACTGTTAAGCATGCTTATTGAGCATTTTGTTTCAGACATGGCATTTTCTCACTTCTGGAGTTTCCATCGGGTTGTTCTCTATATCTTACATTTCTTTGCTAAGATTTCCTATTTCCGTTTTTTTTTCCCCTTTTTGGAAATAATTTTGTAAGGGTGGCTTTCGATGCTTTGTAGTGAGTTTAACCCTTCTGCCCTCTCAACCTTAGTAATTATTGTCTCTTCCCATTCAGGCTTTTCCTGTTTCTTGGTTTTTTTGTCTTAAATGAAAATTTTAATATCTTATGACATGAAATGAAGAGTCATAAACAGGCTGATCCCTCTTTCGAAGTAAGATGGCCGCCATCTGGTACTTCTTTGAGGTGCCAAATAGAAAGCAGCTAGCATGGAGCCTTAGGATGCCAGGCAGTGCCCTGTTCCACCCACCTGTGGTTGACTGCCTTCCTATCTGTCAGGCCTTTCTCTGACCATGATACATTTAACCAAGAATATGCTTGAGGAGAAACTAGAAGTATTACCCAAAAAAATGTGGGCAACGTTAAATGGAACAGGAAATTCAAAAAGGGTATATAACATGTATAATTTTGCAACAAATTCCAAATGTGCAGAAATCAAAAGCAGAAAGGCTGGGGCATCCGTGCCACTCTGGTACCTGTTCTTGGGGGGGTGAGCGGAATTCCTTGGTTTTCCTGGCCGTGAGTGCCGCTGACATGTTTAAGGCCTGCATCACTTCGTTGTAGCGGAAACGCTGATTGTCCTGGAGCTTGGCCACAAAGTCATCTGAGAAGGCCACGATCGCTTCGATCCGGTGCCGGACCTGGCAGTCACAGAGGTACTGAAGCAAGAGGCACATCTAAAAAGGCAATCAAGGAAACATAAGAGTTCAGCATCTGCTCTTGCAAACACGAACACACAGCAAAGCATGATCTGTGTTACACAGGCGGCGCTGCAGAAGGAATGAGGTGAGAACTCAGGGGCAAACCGCAGGCTCGGGGTCACAGCGCAGAGGGCTGTCCTTGAGTTCCGGTGCCAGTTCCAGACTCCAGAACACTCACGCATGTTGGGTAAGGGATGAATGTGTCCTCATCCAATGCTCAGCTGGGCTATTTTTTTTTATGGGTAGAAACATGTCTGTGAACGAATGCCAGGAAAACATAATGACACCTGTGACAATAAATACAAGGGAGTATAATGACACCTGTGACAATACAAGGAGGGGGTATAAAAGAGAATCTTACCACCCTGTGTAATACAACCATTCCTGTCAGCGTCTCTGGAGGAAGTTCACATTCATTCTCTGAAGCTGACCTGGCCATCCACCCCTTCCTTCACCCCTGTCCCCAACCCAGCGGAGTGGCACCAGTCCCTCAGGGCAGGACAGCACTGCAGCTGCTGAGTCAGACCCTGGACCCCTGCCCACCCTGTCCCCTTCCCTCTCTAGGCCCAGAGTCACCTGTGAGTCCCACAATCTCTGTTTCCTTGCAGCTGCCATGGTGGCCTCTCTGGCCAGGGAACCCAGGCTGGGCTGTTGGCCTTGTGGGTGAAGGCCACCTTGCCTGACTCCATCTTGTTTGCCCTTCTGAAATCCAGTTCTTCCATCTGACCTGGTTTCCCCTTCCCTTCTTAACAGTCTCCACATGCTCTTTCTTCTACGTGTCCATTCTTGTACTTCTGAGTACCAAAGGCCGTGAAAAGGAATGCACAGAACCTGTGTGTTTCCCTGGAGTGTGCATGCGTGTGCAAGATGGGCTCACACCTCTGACACGAGAGAATAAGAAAACCCAATCGAGAAGCAAACTCAGACTGGGTCTAAGGAACAACGAGGCGTGAAGAGGAGACCGTGCACATAGCCTCCAAGCACGGGGCCGGGCAACGCCTCCCATTCCTTAGGAACAGGCAGTATCAGGTAGTAAATGTGGCTGGTAAGAAAGCATGCATGTCCTGAGAGAAGGCAGGATGGAAAGGGGTTCTAGTGCCTGAGATTGAGTATCCCTACATCACATAGATGAAATATATTTAGGGACGCAAGAGATACAAGGAAAGTGCTAATGAGTAGGAGAAAAAAAACAGGAGACAATGTAACCTCATTAAGTCTGGGAAATTGCCTGGCACTGGTGGCTTGTGCCTATAATCCTGGCTTCTCAGGAAGCTGAGAACTGAGGATCATGGCTGGAGACCAGCCCATGCAGGACAGTCCATGAGAGTCTTATCTCTAATTAACTACCAAAAGAAAAGCTGTAAGTAGAGCTTTGGATCAAGTGGTAGAGCACTAACCTTGAGCAAAAGAAGCACAAGGACAGCACCCAGGCCCAGAGGTCAAGCCCCAGGACTGGCAAAAAAAATGGAAAAGAGAAAGAAAAGAGAGGGGGGGGAGGGAGAGAGGGAGAAAGGGAGAGGGAGAGAGGGAGAGAGAGAGGGAGAGCAAGAGGGGGGGAGAGAGAGAGGAAGAGAGGGAGAGAAAGAGAGAGAGGGAGAGAGAGAGAGAAAGAGAGAGGAGGGAGAAAGGAAAGGAGGGAGGGAGGGACAGGTACATTTTCACACCTCAGCAGTGATCAAGTCTGAAATGCTCGCCAGATTACCTGCAGTTTCACCGGCTCAGGCAGCTTCATCTGCAGGAGGCCCTCCTTGGGCCGCATGCCCACCTTGGCCTCGTCTTCACCCGCCCCTTCCAGCCTGGAGTCCTCGGCACTGAGCTCCTTCTCCTGCCGGTCCCCATCCTCCTCCAGAGTGGCGGCTTCCTTGAACACCCGGGGCTCGATCAGCTGCAGGATGTGCTTCAGGTCCTCGTTGTGGAAGAGTCCCATGATGAGCAGGGTGTAGAAGAGCTTGATGAGGGGCACAAAGAGGAATTCTGTGGTCCCCCCAACGGGGTCGCGCGCGTGGAGGCTGCCCTCCTCCACCGCCTCCGTCAGCATCTGGATGGTCTTGGCCTTCAGGATGTCCAGCGGGAACTCGGGGCTGTACTGGTAGCACTCACTGCTGACGCCGACGAAGCTGGGCGAGGAGAACCGCATGCGGGGCCGGAGTGAGGTGCTCAGGCCGATGCCGGGGAGCCCGTGCCTCTTGTTCTCATCCGGGAAGAGCGTGATGGTCTTTGTCTCCTCCGTCATGGGGACGATGAACTCATTGTTCATCATAAGCCTGGCGGTGGCGTAGGAGCTGAGGTGGATGTCGATCAGCAGGTCGTAGTAGCCCGTGCGTAGCAGGCCAGGCATGTACTTGTTCTCGATGGCATAGAGCAGCTGAGGCTCGTCCACGTGGCTGCACAGCGCGTGGGCCACCCGGTGGTTTCCGAGGGCGCACACGGCCGAGTAGAGCCGCAGTGTGTGGTAGTGAAATCGCAGCAACTCCTCCTGCTCCGTCAACTCTAAGATGTCCACAGATCTGTGCGAGAGCAGGAGGGGAGAGGCAGCCAGGTCAGAAACAGACCACAGAGAAAAAACTGTTAGCAGGGAAGAAAGCTGTGCACAGCACAAAGTTCCAGAAAGTTCTGACACGATTCATGGCTGAAAATGACCTCTGGGGGAAAAAAATCACTTTTGATTCAGTAGACACTATGTTGAAAATGGACTATCCAACTTGTGGGTGGGGATGGGAGGGAGGAATGGTGAGTGAGCAAGGGATGGGTGACACTGCCCACAAAGAAATGCATTTGTAACCTGAGTTACAAAACGGTAACCCTCAACAATAAAAATATGCTAAAAAAAATCAATTCTGAGTGTTTTACAAATTGTCGTCCACCTACAATTTGACACTGAAATTTTCTAACCACAAGTTAAAAAAAAAAGTCTGATGCAAAATTCTGATAAAACTTAATCTCGGGCTGGGAAGGTGGCTCAGTGGTAGAGCGCTTGCCTTGAATGCCAGAGGCCCTGGGTTCGATTCCTCAGCACCACATAAGCAAAAAAAGAAAAAAGCCGGAAGTGGCACTGTGGCTCAAGTGGTAGAGCGCTAGCCTTGAGCTGAAGAGCTGAAGGACAGTGCCCAGGCCGAGTTCAGGCCCCACGACCGGACCCCCCCCAAAAAAAAAAAAACTTAATCTCAATCTCACACAAGTATGAACCACACAAATTCAAACAAAATCATCTAGAGGCCATACTATGAAAGACCTATCTCATTACTTCATATAAAGTAGGTAGACATGCAAAGCATGAAGCAGCTAGCTGGAGAACTTTCTAATTTAATATTTGCATAGTTTTAGTCAAAATGTCATTTACAAAGTCAGCTACTGTTGGCTCATATCTGTAATGCTAGCTAATCAGGAGGCTGAGTTCAGGAGCATTAATGCTCAAAGATAGCACAGGAAGAAAAGCCTGAGAGACTCCATCACCAATGAACCAACAAAAATGTCAGGCTGGGGGCATAGCTCAAGTGGTAGAGCAAGGGCAAGGTCCTGAGTTTAAAACCCTAGTATTAGGAAGAAGAAAGAGGAGGAGAAGGAGAAGGAGGAGGAGGAGGAAGAGGAGGAAGGAAAAGGAGGAAGAGGAGGAGGAACAGGAGGAGGAGGAGGAGGAACAGGAACAGGAGGAGGAGGAGGAACAGGAACAGGAGGAGGAGGAGGAGGAGGAGGAGGAGGAGGAGGAGGTGGTGGTGGTGTACATACTACTCAATTTACCTGTTTGAAACACTGAATTCAAAGTTTTCATGCATTAATGGAGATGTGTACACCTTAACCATAAACTACATATAGGACGTTTCCATCATCCCTAGCAGAAACCCATTTAGCAGTCAATCCTCAGTTCCTCCTCCAGACCTAAGTAGCTATCCATCTACCATCTCTCTTTAGAGATCCACAAGAAAGAAAAGAAAAACAAGGGAAAAAAAGACAGAGTTCTGATACAAATGAAACTTCCAGGTCCTCTGTAACCAGCTTCTTGGGCTCACTGTGCTTTCAAGCTTCTTCCACTTTGCTCTCTGATTCAGTATTTCATTCATCTGTACTGTCACACCATCTATGCTGCATTTGATTTATCCACTGCTCCCCGACTGGGGGCCACGTGTGGACCGTGGTCATCCTCGCACGAGCGTGTGTGCACGCGGGGCTCACCTGTTCTCCTCAGGGATGTGGAGGGACATGAACTGCAGTGGGTCCAAACACTGCACCAGCCAGCCCTGACGCTCACTGATGCGAGACACATCCACCTTCAAAAACTGGTTGGGCATCCGGCTCCACAGGACATGCGACAGGAACTGCACGTGCAGGCGTGGGGGGCACTGGGGCACGGGGTTTTTGTGCTCGCTCTTGAACAAGCCCGCCGACAGAGGCATCACATTCTAGACCAGGAGGAAAACGGGGGAAAAAAGAATGAATTTACCACATCCCTTGAGGTTCCTAAAGCCATGATGCAATTCTTCACAGGAAAGAGCCAGTGGAGGTAAGAGACTGAGACTCCCTAAGGGGCGTGAGAGAAACTGAAGAGCTCCTGAAAGGAGAGAGGAGGAGGGGAGAGGGGGAGAAGAGGAGGGAGGGAGGCAGAATATAATGCAAAACCCTCTGAAAATGCAGGGCAGGCAAAGAGGTCTCAGAATGTGCCCTTTCTAGGATGTTTTCTGCAAATGCAACTGCCCACAGCCTCGCGGCCCTCCAACCTCCTTGCCAGGCAGGGCCCCTGAGGAATCAGGCAAGGCTGTTGGACAGAATTTAGTACCCAACCCCTGCCACACCCACCCCACGCTCCTGGGTGGGTCAGCTCTTCCCATCCTTAACCATTCCCTCTAATCAGCAATTGCACCAACTCAACACATAAACCCACTCATCAAAGAAAGTCCAATCGGTTTGGCATTGACCAACGCAGTTTTTGTTCTTCACTTCCAATAGGCGATTTCAGCCAGCCTGTGTCCTCTGGGCCCAAAGAAAGAGAGGCCTCCGCTGTGCTGACACATATTAGCTCACAGTTGAGGTGGGAACCCCACCCCCTCCCAGAGGAAGGGATCTGCCCCACAGGTCTGCGTACCCTCCCACCTCTTTTCCTCTGGTGAGCACTCTCCTGCTCTCTCCAGGCTGCCTGTCCTCAAGCTATTGCTGTTCCCTTTGTGAATGGGAGGCAGTGGAGCCAGACGCTGCTCAAGGCACTAGAGTGCACACAGAATCCCTGTCCTCCCTCCCCCTTTCATTGTTCTTGTTGCAGATATAAAGCAATACTAATAAGTAAGTTAAATAGTATACCAGAAACAGCTGTGAACAGCATGCAGCTATGATAAGCATCGTTGAGAAGGTGACATTTAAAGAAAGACAAACAGAGAAGGACCACATGGATGGCAGGGAGGAGGAAACATGACCTGCAGAAGGTCATGGCCAGTGTGGCTTCAGTACAGCCAGATGGGAAACCAACAGGAGAGGACATCAGGGAGGGGAGAGGACGTCAGGCCTCGTGGTGGCCCATGGACCACCAAAAGCATCTGATCTCCATCCTCATCAGGGAAGCAGGGCTTCTTCTGGCCCTCTCTGTGGTAGAATGATCTGGCCTGAGCCACTGTAAAATAGTGAGGATTATAGTCCAATAGCCAGATGGACAAGGCAGAGTTACATGAGAGTGTGTAGATTCATCCAGAAGGAAAATGAAATGGTAGGGTTGAGCATGAGGACCAGCCAAGGGAAAGGCTACAGGAGTCATAAGCATTAGACCTGCCTTGGAGAGACCTTGATATAGAACATGAAGGAGGGAAGTCGAGGATGGCACCAAGATTTAGAGCTTCAGAAAACAGATCAGGGATTAAGGGAAGTTGGCAAAGGAGCCCTTTGAAAGAGGGAGTGTGGAGAAACAGCTGTTCAATCGGGACATAGCACTTTCCACAGCAAATGGAAAGGCCAAGAGGTAGCTGAACTATCACTACTTCATATATATGAACACATATGTATATATTCATACTCATATTCATATATGTGAATAGATACACAGCATATAAATGACATGTGCATTGCTATATAATATATATGTATACATAAATACTATTATATACTATATATTTAGATGATGATGATGATATGTGTGTGTAAGAGAGAGAGAGAGATCTAAGCTTCCCTCCTCCTTTTTCTCATGCTGTCTTGAACTCACTGCCATATGACTTCTCCCATATTCTAGAACCATCCACAAGACCCTCCACAGGTACCCTCCATCACTGACCCTTCTGTGGCAGGAGCTATCTTCAACTGTCGGCCCCTTCAATCCTGAAGCCTTCCCTCCCTTGGCTCCACAAGGCTTCTCCCCCTCTCAGCCCTCCTCCCCCATTCCTGGAGCTGTGCCCCCCCTCGGCCCCTCTCTGCCTCTTCTTCCTGAGACCACACAGCAGGGTTCTCCCATCCACCCTACCTCCCTCTCACCCACTGCCTCCAACATTCCCTTCACTCCTCTCAACCAGGAGTCACAGCTGACTTCTGGATGACTGACCTCACCATTCCCACCACAGTTCTCTTTCCTTCCACACAGGTGGATTGTGCATCTAGATCTTATCTATGTAATGTGAAAATCTACTGAGCAGGCACCATGTGTAAAGGGTGAATCAATATTTTCAGGAATTTTTTAAAAATTTATACATGGCTCTCTCTGGCCATATCCTGGAAGGCATCTCTTGGTGCACACTTATCAAATTACTTAACTTCTATATTCTTACTCCCTCTACCAAGAGTGCTTCCCCCTAGCAAACATGGATCCCAATGTAACAGCAATCAACCTAAATATACCTCTTCTTTCTGATCTCCTGGCTCTTCCCTACCTTCTTTGCTGTTCTTTCGTTTATGTTTCCAGAGATCTCCAGACATGCTGCTGTTTAAGTTACAACGTTTTAAATCTTTATGTGTGTTCACTAACTCACGTTTGAGTTCAGAGGTCACTGTACTTGTAGGGAATTTGTCATTTTTTTTTGTTCTGTATAGCCCTACTACTCATGAATAATATACTGAAAATCAAAGATAAACTCATTCAGTTACTAGAAAGAGATTCTCTAACACAGCTACAGTCCCTTGAAGAATGATGTGTTTGATCTATGTTACTGTATCATACAATATAATAAGATACTAAATCCTTTTCAGGAGTACATGCTAGGCCTTTACAGAAAAGAACACGATGCAACACTAGGATTGAGCCATCCTTACCTTGATTCTTCCCAACTCAAACTGGAAAACATTGGGGCTTGTAGCTTGTGCAAACACAGCGGGGAATAATTTTGTGCTTGGCTCCACCTTAGACAAACAAATGCATTTGCCAATGTTAGTCAAGAGGGGAGACAGAACAACCAAGAAACATTTTATACAAGGAAACATTTTTTCCTTCCTCTCATAGCAATATTGATTTTCCCAGAATTAGTTGGAGAACATTGTGATTGTGCAAACATCTTTGCAGGCACATAGTACTCTGAAAGGTCATAGCAATGCAGAGGGTTGACAGACATCTAAGTATATATCATTATCTCCTTTTCTGCTTCCCTATTTTCTTTCTAATTTTTGACCTTCCACTATGTCTTCCCCTTTCCCTCCCTAGAAGCACGAGGCCATCCCTGACCGCTGCCACGTACCTGGTAGTAAGTGCTCAGCTCCTTGCCATTGGCAATGAACGTGAGCAGCCCGCTGGCTGCGTCCACTACACAGCCGATCTCCAAGCCGTTGTTGTTACGGCCTTGCCCGGGGCTCATGCTCTCGCCTGCACACACCATGTAGCAGTTGCTGCGTTTGATGCTGGTTTGCCACGTTTAAAAGAAGAATACATAGAAAGTAAACTCACATTTTCATCTTGGCATGACCAGTGGGTATGAGGGAAAGCATGTGTATCTTGCAGAACTAAACCTAAAATATGCTGTGCAAGCAACAAGCTCATGCGGCAATGGGAAGGTGCACAATGGGCCCGGTTCTGTGATTCTGAGCGAAACTCCATCAACTGCGGTGGCCGTTCCAGATCAAGTCTGATGCGGCTCTAGATTCCACATTGTTCTAAGGGACACAGGCCAGTGGGCTGGAACCCAAGAAGAACTGACCTGCACCTTCTCTCTAAAAATATTCAAACCAAACTGGACCTTTGTCTGAGGTTCAAAAGAGTTTTAACTATTTCATAAGCATCCAAATTTGAGTGTGCATCTCTTTCATTTTTTTAACCACTTGCTCTAAGAAATATTCATTTCCTTATGCACATTCTTCATGGGCTGTCAATGATTCAAATAGATTTAAAATTTGGCTAAAATGATGCCCTTTTATGGCTGGCGATCTGTTATGAGAAACAGGGTTAACTTGAAGATGTACAAAATTGGTGACACTAGCAAACATTCACCCGTTTTTTTTCAGGTTTACCAAAACCTTTGTTCAAGATGGAAGTGAAGTGACATACTTTGAGCCCAACCTGCCTCGTCCTCCACTGCCAACAACTAACACCACTGGCAAAGAAAGGCCAACAGCAGGCAAGCAGGAGGAAAGAAACATAAAGGCCAAGGTCAAGTCCAAGTCAAGGTCATCAAATGCAGGCTGTTTCTTTGCGCGAGCTCTGTACAGTCCACTGGTCCTTCCTGCTCTAAATCCCCTACACAAAAGCACCTGTCCACTACTCCATCACTACCATGAGGTTGTGTTTTTTTTCTCCTTATACTGTTGCCATCTCTGAAAATTGAATGCACTCCCAAGAACTGTCCCAGACCGCGCTGCCTGGACCCTGCTACAAATATGAAAGCCAAGTGTCCATCACTGGAGATGGCACCGAGGCTTCCATCTCAAGCGCGCGGTCCATTGTGTTGCCTGGGTTACAACTGGAGGGCGGTCAGCGAGGTTCCCTGTCACCCACAAGGATGGTAGAGAAGAAAAGCAACGTTATGGAAGACTGATTTCTGAGGCCTGCCACAGCAGATCAGAGAGGAGGCATGGCACACAAGATAGAAGCAAACGGTCAGATCTTCTCTTGTCTCATTCTGCAAGGAAGATAGCCGTCTTCACTTTGGCCAGGGTTTGGTTTCAGTTTGGTTTGTTGTACAGATGGAAAAAGGATGGCACAGAAAGTGTAAGTGACTTACCCAAAGCCACACAGCGAGTCAATGGCAAAGCTGAGGAAAGAACCCACTACTCCTCAGTCCAAGTTCAAAGGTGTGCACCTTGTCTCAACTACCAGCCCACGCTCTTTCTTCACAGTTCTCACCCCCCCACCCACCACATCCAGGTCCCGGAGTTCTCATCTCCACCCAACTTTGATCCCTACAGCCAAGGCTAGACAGACTTTGATAACCCATGTCTCTAGTCATGACACCTAAGCAATACTGAACTTTGCCCACAGAGGGGCAGTGGTGGTAAGATAACAGTTCTTGCTTCCCATATTCTTACATTCCTTGCTGGTTTGTAGGACTAACAAAAATGACAGTGATATCAATAGTTCCATTAGATTATTTCTATACATATCTTGGGCACAGAATCCAAAAAGAAAAGTACCTAAGTTTAACCAGTATTATCTTGCTTTGTTTTGTTTTTCCAGAGGTCATTCATTCAGGATAAACACTGAAGAGAACAAACCTTTCATGGACTTTTCCCTTTTCATCTCCCAGTGTGACGGTCACTGTCCGGACTCTATCCAAATCAAAGCCAGGGTCGTGCTGGTGGAAGTCAGACGTGATCCAGCCCACCCAGACATTTGCGGGCTCCTGCCCAGGGAAGATCCTCACCGAGTAATAATACTGTTGAGATAACAGGGAAAACAAATACATCACCACCGAGTAATAGTACTGTTGAGATAACAGCGAAAACAAATACATCACCAAGTAATAATACTGTTGAGATAACAGTGAAAACAAATACATGAAATTGTGTCATCGACAGGGAAGTGGGTAGAAGTGGCGATCATCCTGTCCAGTGAGATAAGCCAGACTCAGAAAGCTAAATACCTCGTGTTCTCACTCACTGGTCCATACAGACCTAAAATAATGATGATTATGATGATGGTGGCGGTGGTTGAGGCAGTGGTGATGATGACAATGGGACATAAATGTACAAGGGGAGCTGCCTAGGAGGGGAGAGAACGAGGGGTGGGAGAGAAAGAAGAGGACACTGATTGGGAAAAGAGTCCGATGAATTGCTGTGTGTATTCATGTGTGTATACATAAACATACATATCAACACAGCATAATGGAACCCTCTCAACACTAAACACTGTGAAAAAAGCAATGAGGAAGGGAAGGAACGTTCACGTTCAGGGGGTGTGAATTTGCTCAAAATGCCCTGTGTGTAAATGTGGAAAGGCCACAATGAAACCCCTGGTCTATACATTCATTTAGAAATAAAGAAAGATTTCAGCTCTAGTACGTGAGCTTCAAACATGGGAATTACATACTTTTTTTTCATTTGGCATGTCAGGATTTGAACATTTTAATGTTAGTAGACAAGAGCTGACTTCTTAGCGAGCATGATAAATGATCTGCTTTGTTGAGACAACTGCATAAAATGAAAGAAATGAAATGGACTTAGAAAAGACAAGGACAAATTATAAAACTGTATTGCGGAATAATATTAGGGGTGTCATTAAGGATATTTTCCCCAAGTTAGCTCTCTTATGACACAGCAGACATCGTGGCACAAATATTTCTGGGTTTTATATCCTAAAGGTATATCTAAAAGTACAAACAAATAATTATTTTAAGAATGATGCCCGGCTGCATAGTGGCACATGTTTATAATCCCGGTGCTAGGGATGCTGGATCAGGAGGAGCTAGTGCACAGCCACCGTGGGCTAGACTGAGACCCTGTCTCCATAACAAGTATGTTCCTAAAGGCAACAGATCAGATTATGGTGTCTGAGGTGGAGCACAGAGTGAGTGACAGGAGCTGGAGAGCACAGGGATTGGTTGACAGGAGGTGATGGGTGGGAGGTGCTGGCTCATACCGTGGAAGTGTTCATGAGGTATTCATAGTCATCCCGGTCGTCGGCCAGGACGTCTTCAGTGAGCCTGGCAGAATGGCTGGTGCTGTAATCTGGCTTTGTTCTTCTAAGTAAAAATCTGCAATATATTAGAGGACAAAGAATCAAGAATGGTTTCTTTTGAATGTTCTGCTTACTTTGACTAGGATCATGTCATCAGTTTCATGGTTCTCAGCCTGGTCCACACTGCCACCCCTTCCCCAGGGAGCAGTGGGACCCTGCAGTCAGACTCGGCTGTCAGAGCTGGGGCTGGAGCTCTGCCTGGTGTCCAGCGGCGGGAGGCAATGGAGGCTGCCCAGTGGCGCTCGGTGCCCCCACAGCTCCCACCACAAGGACTGACTGTCCATCATGCAGAGTGTGGGAGGCCCTGACTTACTACAAGATAACAGCCGGCCTTGCTGAACCTGAACATACAATGTGGTGAGCACACTCTCTAAGCTTTAACCAATAAGGTCCACCTGGACATCTTAAGAAGTAACTTGAAGCACATTACATGAGGGCTAACAAATTAGGAGGCCAACAGGCTGTTTTATCTTCCCCTATAAGAAAAAAATTGGGGCCAAAGAATTTTAAATTAATACAGCAAGAAAGGAAAAGAAAAAAAGGGAAGAGAGAGGTGGGCAGGAATACTACTTGGGAACCTTGTCTCCTCTACTGTAACTCTGCACACACAATTACCACATATTAAGAATCACTGTCATAACTGCTAATGACCTTTGTTTCAGGCGGGAGGGCTTTTCCTGAGCGTAGTCTTTATGGTTATTAAACTCAGACTTTGTGGCTTCTTTGTCTTTATCAATGCGGTCAGGCACGAGATGGCCGTGAGCCGTCTTCATGAGAACCTCAAAGTCAGAATCCGTGTCGTAGTCTTCCAGATCATTCTTAGGCACAAAGAGGCCAGCGCCCGAGAGCCCCCCAGGCACCGTCTTGGAGAAAACCTCAGCACACTCAATGGGCATGCTCAGGCGGTAAAACATGATGTCTGAGGTGCTGTTCTGAGAGCCAAAGGACTTCTGGGTAACCTTCAGGCACGGGGAGCTGTCCGTGGTGCCGTCTATCCTGGTCACCTGGCAAAGGAAGAGGAGGCGTTAGTTCACATTAGTTCATCACCATGCCTCACTGCCTGATCTTCAAGAGGACTAGTGTGTCTCCTGACTCCCAAACACGGCATCACTTTGTCAGAGACAAGGAAGCACAGAGGCCTCTGTTAGGGATGTGCAGTCCGCCCTAACCAGCCACAGTTTCTGCTCCTTCTGCAGATTTAATGCATTGCTTAAGAAAATGTTTGTAAAATAGCGCATCTGTGCTGAATACGGTCAAGACACTTTTCCATGTTCTCATTCCTTAAATGATAGACAGAATTGGCATTCTGTTAGGGAATGACTGAGGAATGTAGAAACTTAAACTTGATGGAAGGACGTGCAGAAGTTTGGGGCAAGTACAACGCCATTTTATGTGAAGGACTGGAGTACAGGTTTTGGCATGCCCAAGAGTCTTGGAACTAATTTTCTATGGACCCTAAGAAACAACTGTATTCACAGTTCTTATCCTAACTCTAAAGACAGCTTGGGGGAATTTGTGCTATCATGGACACAATGGAGCCAGCCTGGCCTGGCCTCCATATCAAAAGCATCAAGCTGGGTAACCTGATTTGCCAACATGATTGTGTTGAGAGATGCCGAGGACTTCGGCAACACACACCTCAGCATGCAGAGACAATGAGACCATGAGGCTCTGACCTGACGCCTTAATCCACTGATGGATTCAGAAGTGGAACAGACTATTGGGTGGCTTTGGAACTGTGGAAGGCATGGGCAAACGGAAGGAAGTAGAACCCGGGGCTGTGACTTAGGAGGCTTTATCTTGGCTGTGATTCCTCTTTACTTCCTGGCTCCCATGAGGACAGCTTTCTTCCACCAAGTCTTTTGGCTGCCATGATGCTCTGCCTCACCACAACAAAAATCCATAGCAATGGAGCCAACCCATCATGGATCGAAGCCTCTGGAACCATTAGCCCAAATAACATTTCTCCCTTAAACTGCTTTGTTTTGTTTCAGGTATTGGGCACAAAAAGAAAATTGTCCATCCATCTAAAAAGGTTCTGGTAGAGCACCTATCCCAATTCTGCTACACATGAATGCATCACGGCCTCCATGTTGAGTGGCAATAACTGACCCCCCAAAGACCTCTCATAGATAAAGGAATCTGTTGTTGTTTTTTTTGCTCTTGGGGGTCTGATTTTTTAAAGGAAAGGCAAACCTCAATGTGCTCATGGTTGGATGGAACCTGTAGAAACTGAGGCAGTCTCTTGCTCAGCCACATGGTGATGTCCCTGTTTGTGTTAACGGCGAATGGCTCATAGCCCTCCTGCAAGCCACAGATGGTGAAGTATTTCAAGGTGCTGACGTCCTTTCCGAAGTTCATCCTGCCCACCTGTCCCACTCCGAGGCTACACACAGGAATGAATCCTGGGAAGAAAAAAAGAAAAGTCACAATCTTCAGGATAGTCATTCCAAGAGCCTGTTGGCACAGAACCCTGAGCGGATAGTTCCAGGACTCTGATCTATGATACAGCCACCATCCTAGGAAGATGATAATAACAGAAGGAAGAGACGTTGAGCGTTTCACATCAGGGAGAGAAAACAAGATTTGATATTGACCTCATGATTTACTAGTGTGGCCTTACATAAGACCCTTCTGTCAGCTAGAGGGGTGGCTGCCTTTTGTGTTGCTCTTCAAGCTGCTAAAAAAAGCTTGATTTGTGGGGACACCAGCGAGTCTACACTGTCAGCTCCTTCTTAGGTAACTCCAAGAAAGAAGACTATGGGCAAGCATTTAAAACCATTTCACATGCAAATAGCTGTTTTTGATCTTTGAGAAGCACTTTGATTGTTTTACTTCTGAATACTCATTCAGAAGTATATGCTTATATGTACATGTTATCTACATGGGAAGTTTAATACACACACATGTACACACATTGCAGCAAGGACCATGGGAAAAACAGACAAAATAGTTCATAATATAACAGAGGACCAAGTCAGCACATCCTTCTGCTCCTGAGGCAGGAGAGGACCAACACTAATGCTCCTCATTGTTTCTTTGAGTTCTTTAGAATCAACAGTCACCAGGGGGTGAGAGGTAATTTGTCATGACAAGGGTGAGAAGGTGTTTTTCTGGAGTAAAGAGAGCATTTGTGTACTCTTCATGTTGTTCTACAATGTTTCACACACATGTGAAACAATAAGAACAATAAATGGGTGGTCCACAGACTCCAGAGGATCTAATTGGATTCTCTAATGTGTAGATCAACTATGTAGTGGCTGCTAAGAATCAGCCGATGGCAGAACTAAGATACTCAGTTCTACTGTTATCCTTCAAACTTCTGCCCTTGTTAACATTTTGGCCAGTAAATGACTTATGCCACGCCACACAAAGCAGAAGACAATACAGATGACACCTGCTTATCCCAGTGTTTCCAGAAGTATGGCCGTGACTTGTGGTGGCCCAGGAGGAGGGAGGCGTGCTCCACCTGGGTTCCAGGAAGTGGGGACAGAAAGATTCCAGTTACAAGGAAAGGAGCTGAAGCTGTGTGTGTGCAGCTGTGCCAGGAAAGTTGCTCTTAGTAAGTACCCACTCCCCGCAAGGAAAGAGACTGTGTAAGTACAATCGATCTGAGACAGCTTGGAATGCATCAGTATCGAGTGGTAAATCTCCAGTCATCTTGCATAATCGAAGGGACAGGGTTAGAGCCACTCCTCAGAGAAGGGCTGTGAGAATGGTGAAGAGGCAGACGCTGATCAAGAGTATCTGTATTCACACACTGCTCTGTTCAGTGGTATCTCCTTTGTATGTCTACATCGAGATGATTTAAAGAAAAAACAGCTTCTCAGATGGTGAGCACCCACTAATTTCTAGTCACTCTATCTGCAGAGGGTTCCAGTAGCTCATACTCATCCATGAATGCTTCTGTACATTTCAAATACTTTTGGGGGGATAATGAAGGTTAAGTGACTAGAGAAATGCACAAAGATATCTTCTTCCAGACTGGTTACCTGTACTGGTTACCCACGTACAGGTGGGATTTTTTTCCTTAATAATATGCCTCCTTATAAGATGAAATGAGTCTCATGGACTTTCCTGCCCAAGCTGGCTTTGAACGGTGATTCTCAGATCTCAGCCTCTGAGTAGCTAGGATTACAGGCGTGAATCACGGACACCCAGCAGGGAGGGAGGGGTTGATAGAAAAAAATGTTTTTGTTTTAATTGAAGTTTCACAGTGGTAGGACTTTCAACATTTTTTGTTGTTGTTCCTTCCATTTAACAAGTTGCTTTTGGTGAATGTGTAATTTGAAAACAAGGGATAGCTTTCATTAAAAAAACATCTTATAAAATTAAGAAGAGTGACAGAGGGGCAGGTGGGAGAGGCTGGTGAGCGGGGTGGGTCAGAACATGGAAAAAGGCTACCTTGCCCCAGATGCACGCATTCATAAACTGCTTTGTGAAATGGCAACTCTTTTGTACAACTGAAAGTTATAATAAAAATTATTTCATTCAAAAAAAAAGAAATGCAAGAGGGTAAAAGCAAAAAAAAAATTATTTCATTCAATATGAAAGGACATAGCTACATCCTTCGCCTGAATAGATGTCTAAGACACAGAGGGATGCGAAACATCTCACACAGCACCTTCAACCCTAAGTGTCAACGTGTGCTAAGTCCAGAACCAAACATCCATCCCGCTTCTTACATTCGACTGATACAATTAGGACAGTTTGTTGTGCATGCCGTAAACTTTTAACCTTTGTTCTTCTGGTGGTACTGGAGTTAAGTGGTCCTCCCACTTGCTAGGCAAGTGTTCTGCCACTTGAGCCCATGTCCCTGAGCTCTTTGTGCTTCATTTTTCAGGTAGAATCTTGTGTTTTTGACTGGGCCGGACAAGTGATACTAACCAGACTAAGTTACTCATAAATCTCTGCTTTCAAAGTAGCTGAGGTTACAGGCATAACCCCCCACGCCCAGCACAACCACTCATTTATTTGATTAAGTATCTATTGAGCAGCTGCCATGTAGTAAAAAGTGGTTAATAAAAGGTGACGGACATATACCCTGGCTCAAAGGTGCTCAGAGCCTAAAAAAGGGAGGGAAGACAAGAAGAAATTTGAGAGAAAAAACAAAGCCCCTCCCCCACCTCCTCACCCCCAGCCATTGCACAGGAAAATGCAAGCAACAGAGCAAGGGTGGAAAGGCGGTCAGTCTCCAAAGAATTACCATCCAAGAAGAGGGTAATCTGGGCCTGGTGCTCCACCTGCAACCCCGCACACCAAAGGCTGAGAAAGGAGGATTGGGAATTCAAGGCCAGCTTGGCCTATATAACAAGACCTTGTCTCAGAAAACAAGCCAAGAAATAAAACAAAACAAAAAGAAAAGTAGAGGTGCAGCACGCTATACAGAAGAGAGTTCAGTGTCCACCAGGTTCGGATCAAATCTTAGCCTTAATAGCTATTTGATCTTTTCAGGGTACTTATACTCTTTAAGCTTTAATTCCTTTAAAACACCCATTGGTGTTTTAATCCCAAAATACCTAAGCCATGGGATTTTTAAGGTGAAATCCCATACAAAGTATTCTGCTTTAGCACGAAGGTTCAGAACACTTAATTTAAAAATTGGAAAAAAAAAAAAGTAAAAGGAGAAAGTAAGCTATGGATAAATAAGAGAATGGTGGTAAGCCATGATATGTATACACGCTAAATACATGTAGGCAAGTAAACTCATCCTTAAGATGCCCAGAGTAAAGCTGAAAAGAGCAACAAAACTCATACAAAAGAATTCACAAATGCAATCATTCTAGGTGAAGGATACAAAGGTGTTACTGTCCTCCGCTTACATTTTTTGGAAGAACTTTGATTTCTCAAAATACGAGGTGTAGTAGAAGACTTTAAAATCCTGTTAAAAGCACTTTTAGGCCTTTGGACAATACTTTCAAGTTTCAAGAGGGCTTAATTCACAATATCATGCCAATTCTTTAGAAAAGAGAGAAAGAGAAAAACACAAGAAAAGCCAAGGGTTTTTCCCCTCTAGGGAGTAAGAGTTTATATCTATAGCTATATCTATCTAAATATCTCCATCTATTCATCTATAGAGATATAACTTTAACAATTTTCATTACACAAATATAGATTATTTTCCTCAGCTTACTCGATGCACACTAGTAGATGACACATTCTGTTGCTTCATTATTCGGGCACCCAACCTCTAGTTATAGTGCTAGGTCAACCTTAGGCATTACGTAAACAAATGAATGTAGCCATGTCCTAATAAAACTTTATTTATAAATGCACATAGTGGGCTGGCTGGGACCTGGGGACCTCAGTATATAAAATGCTGTGCTAGGTTTACTGTTCTTCAATTCTCTTGGGAATACGAGATGCCTCCTGATACTGCGTGGAGAAATATTAAGTATTTGCCTCAGTTAATATCTAATAAATACACACCAGGTACAAGGCAGTGTTTGACACAGTAAGTATGGATAGGAACCTCTGATAACTGGGAGTTTAGCTTTAATTATAAAACACATATAGTAAGTAATTTAGGAGACCATTATATCAACATAGGTGATGAAATGAAATATCAGGAAATAATAAATACTATTAAGCTCAACCAGCACAAGTTCATAAATAACATCAGAATAGGATAACCTATTTATGTCTAACCTATAGGTTCGATATTTTTTCACAAGTAGGACCTAAGCAGCCCACACATAGTTCAACACAATAAAAACAGATGTCCACATGTCCGTGCAGCCCATGTAAAATACAGGCCCTTACCTTTCTGACCTTTGCACTATCTTCCACCCCAGTTACCTTAATTGACACTCTACAAATAGCAAAGCCTGCCGATCGCTAAGCAAAACTCTCTTTCCTGGCAGTGGAGCTTTAATCCGTGCACAGGAGCTCAATTGGTTACTTGGGCATAAGCCAGACCTACCATATTTGGGGGAAAAAGTTGTTAAAACATTAGCTAGAACCTATGGTGACGCTGCTGCTTCTCCACCCCAAGGCAGATGGCTTGGGCACTTTCTAACTCTCTCTAGTGCTAAGCCTCCGTGTGTCTCAGCAGGGGGCGGTGTTGGGAGCACACAGGTTCTGCCAGGCTGGGGACATGCCCACCGGCTTGGAAGGGAATACGCACAGGAAATCTAGGGATGAGAGGAAAGTAAAGCAGCTCACAGGCAGACTAGATTCACTTTCCTAAAGACATATAATTTGAGATTTTTTTTCCCATTTCTGAAATGCAAAGAAGAATTCACATCTAAAAACCTAAATGAAATAGCCCCAAACAGAGTTTTCAATAGTCCACATCATATTTAATATACATGCAAACCTTTTTAGTACACGAAAAAGAAAGGGTAACACTTCAACACACACAAGCCGATGAGTTCCGCTTTTTCTTCCCAGATGAGAAAAGAAGACATGAAATCATTTTGTGTAGAGTCTTACATCTGATCAAATAGATGCCACCATTGAAATAAAAAATGCTGTGGGCTGAAAGCCAACACAAGCTGACAATACATGCTCGTTTGGATTTCTGGGATCTTCCAACTGAAGACACCATCATCTCCAAATACTACTTTTATTTTCCGGAAATGAGAACAAAGAGGCTGTTTCCCAAGGCTACACAGGAAAATGGACAGAACCAGGTGCCGTGGATTCCCCTACTACAAAATGATGGTAGCCCCAAACTACTTCCCAGTGGAATACCACTGTTCAGGTGGTTTTTGTTAAATCCTCATAAAAGCCATTTCTGTCGGGCACTGGCAGCTCACGCCTATAATCCTAGCTACTCAGGAAGCTGAGATCTGAGGATCATGGTTCAAAGCCAGCCTACGCAAGAAAGTCTGTGAGATTCTTATCTCCAATAAACCACTCAGAAAATCGGAAATGGCACTGTAGCTCAAGTGGTAGAGCACCAGCCTTGAGCTGAAGAGCTAAAGGACAGCACCCACGACTGACAAAATAATAATAATTTTTTAAAAAGCCATTTCTACCTCATTAACATCCTAGCAAAGAAGTCCACGCAGCATGGCAAAGGTGATTTCCAAGGTCTCTCAGAGGTCCTGCGCACAGACAACTGCTCTGCTTCACCCTCACACAGAGACAGCCACCTTGGACAGACAGTCAGACCTCTGCAGTGGGTACTGACAGCCAGAAATACCAGCACATGTGGCCCACTCACCATCACCCACGTCGAAGTCCTTGAACGCCAACTCAGAGCCCGAGTCGTCCAGCAGGATCTCCCCGTTGAGTGTGAACACCATGGTGTGCTCGTTCATGTCCACCATGCAGCCCACCACATCCCCAGCCTGCCACGCGCGGCCGTAGTGCTCATTGCCCTGGTGCCACCGCTGGGCCTGCAAAGGACAGAAAGGCCTGGGCCACTGCCAGCCGGGGACACCGCACCCGCCTACTGCCCGGACAGCGTGCACAGGCAGAGGCCCCTCAGCCTTACAGCAGAAGCTGAGCGGAAACGTGAGCGCAGGTTTGTGAATGTGAGTCTAGTGTGGTTAAGTATCCGAGCAACCCCTCAGACTTTCGGTTCAAAGAAAAACGATCCGCCTTTACACTCTACTTAGGTCATTTGCTTCTACGAAGGCTTCCCCCGGGATTACAGTCTGTTTTGCTCAACTCCCACAAAAATAAAATAAAGATTTAAGAGCTGAGAATACGTGATTGAAAATAACACACTCTAGTTTTCATCTATTTCAAAATAAATCCAGTTCCTTTGGGGAAAAAAAAAAAAAAACAAAAGGTTTCTTAAAGCTCTTTGGTTCCATTTTAAAACCACAAAAGCTTCAACCCCAACCTAAAAATATTCTTAAGCAGTCTGCTAAGATCTAGCTAGCCAAAACCGGTCTCTTCTGGCAGCAGCCCTCCTCTACACACATGAGGGAAATCTCAGTTCTGAAGTACCTTGGAAACACAGCTGTGATAAATGTGAACTGGGGTCCTCAAGTCTGCTTCACTAATTGGCACAGACGACATGAGACCCTGTTCTGTCAGATTAATCTTTCCAAGATCTGTCCTCACTGGGACCATGGACCAGTGGAACCACCAGGTAAAACAATGTTCTTCTTCTTCCACCCCACTCCCACATCTGTCTATCTGTTGGTCTCCCACAACCATCTGTCTCCCACATCTGTCTGTATGTCTTCCACATCTGCCTATCTGTCAGTGTCCCACATCTTTCTTCCACATCTCTGTCTCCCACATCTGTCGGTCTCCACCCAATGGCTCCACCCTTGTCTGTGGTCTGCAAAGCTAACAAGCCCTGTGCTCCCAGGGGCCTCTCCCTCCTGCTGAAGATCTTAGCAGCTTCCATCAGTGAGAAATACAGTTCAAAGTCAGGGGCACCTAACCCTCTGGGTTTCAGAACTCAAGTCTGCTCCTGGGCCTGCTCTGGGGTGGGCAGGGGTGACACTACCTTCTGATCTGTGCAGCTCTCCGTGTGTCTCATGAAGACATTCACATTATCTAGAACCTCTCAGACAATGCAATCAAAACAGAATTACACATTTTCCCTCAGAAATAAGAAACGGGATTCCCAGCCCGCGCAGCTCGGGGCCACGGCCTGCGCCTGGGCAGGAAACAAGCGCTTTGCACACGGCCAGGCCTCCGCCAGGTCCTCCGGCTAGGGCCTCCTGGGCCGCCCCCTCCCCTGCATGGTGGTAGGGCTGGGGACGGGGCTGGAGGGGTTGGGGGTTCCGAGGTGTCCCCCTCCTTCCCGGGTCCCCCTCCCGCCACGGTACCCTGCGCCGCCCCGCGCCCCACCCCATCTTGCCTGCGCATGTGCACTAGCTCACCTTGAAGCGTTCGAAGGCCAGCGCATGTCCCTGGCCGCCCTGGCCGCCCAGCCCTCCCAGCCCCGCCCCCAGCCCCGCCCCCCGCCTCGGAGCATGTGCTCTGGCTCACCTTGAAGCCTTGGAAGGCCAGGCCTCGCCCATCCCAGGCCGCCCCGCCCTACACAGGCCCCGCCCCACACAGGCACCGCCCAGGGCTCCGCCCCCCGCCCCAGGCTCCACCCATGCGCGCTGGCTCACCTTGAAGCCGTCGAAGGCGAAGGCGCGCTCGTCAGAGCCGAGCTCCAGGTCGGGCTGGCAGCCTGGCCGGCTCCAGCCCACGCGCATGTCCCCGGCCGACACCGCCTCGAACTCAAAGTACCAGCGCCCGGCGCGCACAGCATACGTCTTCTCCGCGCGGAAGATGCGGAACCGCTCGCCGGGGCCACTGCCCGCCTCGTTGCGGGCTGCTGCAGGCGGGAGGAGGGGGGGGGTCACCATCCAGACCCGAACCCCACCCCGCACCCCGAAATCCGCACCAGGCACCCCACTGTGCTGCCCTCTGACCCCGCCTGAGCCAAGCCCTGGGGGGCCAGAGGCCAGGAGACCCCAGGGCTGGCCTGAGAACGGGGGGGGGGGGGGGGGGCGGGGAGAGGGAGGAGATCACAGAGGGAGGACGAGGGGAGGGGGTCTGGAAGGAAGCCACAGAGCGTCCCACACTTCCTTTCCCACGCAGCCGCAGGGCAGGAAACACAGTGGCCCGAGTCCACGCTGGGGCCCAAGGCACAGCAGAAGTGTGTGTGTGTGTGTGTGTGTGTGTGTGTGTGTGTGTGTGTGCGCACGCGCACACACACACATTGGTTGGCCTGGGTTGGTTGGCCTGTGTCTGTGTGTGGTGTGTGTCTGTCGGTATGTGTATTGTGTGTGTTGGGTCTGTCAGTCAGTATGTGTGTAAGGGGGGGGGGGTGTTGCGTCTGTAGTGTATGTGTTGTGCTGTATCTGTCAGTGAGTGGGTAAGTGTTGGGCTGGGCCTGCAGTGTGTGTTGGGTCTGTATAGCGTGTGTGTGTGTGTGTGTGTGTGTTGTATTCGCAGTGTGGTGTGTGTTGGGTTTGCAGTGTGTTGTGTGTTGGGTCTGCCTATGTATGTGTGGGGTTGGGTCTGCCTGTGTGTGTTGTGTCTGTCCGTGTGTGTGTTGGGTCTGAGTGTCAATGTGTGTGTGTATGTGTATGTTGTGTTGGGTCTGCCTCTGTGTTGTGTCTGTGTCTGTCAGTGTGTGTTTTGTGTCTGTGTGCTGTGTCTGTGTGTCAATATGTGTGTGTATATGTGTGTGCTGCATTGGGTCTTCCTTTGTGTGTTGTGTCTGTGTGTCAGTGTGTGTGTGTTAGGTTGGGTCTGCAGTGTATGTGTGTGTGTTGGGTTGGGTCTGCCTATGCATGTGTTGTGTCTATATTTCTATCAGTGTGTGTATGTGTTGTGTTGGGTCTGCCTCTATGTGTGTGTGTTGGATTGGGTCTATGTTTCTGTCAGTGTGTGTGTGTGTGTGTGTCTATGTGTGTTGGATTGGGTCTGTGTGTCTATCAGTGCATGTGTATCTGTCAGTACATGCATGTGTGTGTTGGTTTAGGTCTGTGTGTCTGCCTGTGTGTGTATGTGTATGTGTGTGTGTTTGTTATGTGGTATCTGCTGTGTGTGTGCAAAGGTTGGATTGGGTCAGTGTGTCTGTCAGTGTTGTGTGGTGTCCGTAGTGGGGTGTGTGTGTATATGAGCAGAAGCTCTCATCAGGGTCTGTGCCCAGCCCTCAGTGCCCACAGTTAGGTCAGGCGGGGTCAAAGTCTGAAGCCTGGATCACCACACTGACCACCCCAGCTTGACACCACTAGAGGGCAGTCAAGACTTAGTTATGTATGAAAATCTTACGCTAAGCAAGGAATGCAAACTAGCCCCTAGAACGTTCCCTGTACATAGAAGACAACATAAAAGTGTGTGTGTATATACTTTTACATGGATTTCAGTTTCAGCTTCCATGTGTTATTTCTAACAAAGCAATGCAAACTGTGACGAAACCTGGTAAGTGAAGAATAAGCTCCGTTTTCCAAAGCTTCAATAGATGGTTGGGAACTACACCCAAAGATAGCACAACTCAGACACCGAGCTCACATTTGATGTGGAATATGTTAGCATCTTCCTAAAGACTAGAAAATAAATGATAGCTCCAATTCATCGCAGAGGACAACTTTCAATTTCATCCACCTTTTATGCTTTTGCTTTCAGATGCCGGCAGCTACAGAACAGCCAGTTGTAAATGAGTACCTTAAATCTTATCTCTGTCTATGACTACAAGACTTACTTTGCTTTATACCATAAAATCTGTCATATAATTTGTTTATGGTTTCCATTCCCACCATCCTTGTTCAGAAAACAAAAATTAAAAATCCCAGTGTTTGCAAAACTTCCCAATGGTCTGTCCATCTCCCCAAGCCCTCGTCCTCCAATTTGTTCCTTCCTGTTCCGGTTGCCATAGCTATATTGTCGTGGTAAGCTGCGATCACACATCAAGCTCTTGCTTTAAAACTTCTGGAGCTGGTACTTCCTCCATTTTGTGGCCCAGAATGACCCAGAGCTCAGCTGGGTTTTGACTCTGACTGATTGACATTCTGATCCCTTCTCCACCTAATCAGAAGACATTTCCTCTGGTTCCTGATGTCACTTGTCAGATACAACTCTACTTTCCATGATGTGCAATTGAATTCCTAGTATGACACAGGGCGATGCTGGGTTTGGGGCCCTGGCTGTGGACGGAACATGCCGCATGCCCCTCCCTGCCCATCTGACTGCATCACTGCAGCAAGACGAAACTCATCAGCCAGCTGCTCCCTGCCCTAGCCCTACGTGCTTCAAGTGCAGCAGGCTGGATCAGCGGTAGGTAACTCACAGGCCATCTCTGTGGCAAGTTCTCACACATCACCAGGCTGCAGAAACCCTCTCTCCCAGGGCTCTTGGACATGATGACTGGACTCTGTGACCCTGTCAGCAAGCTAGTCTACCTCCACATACACCCTTCAATGCCCAGCATGAGTCACAGTAGAGTTCAAGGTCTATGTATAAAAATCAAATGGAAACAGGAATTTCAAATAGGTTAGCAAAATGGCACCCAACTAAGAACCTTCTCCTCCTTGAAACTCATCTAGTTCGCAAGAAAGAAGGTAACCATGAGGGAGCAACACACTGCCCACAGGGCTGCCAGGAAGATGTAAGAACAGCTAAAAACAGAATAAACTACCCTATGTCCTCAGAATAGCACCATACTCATCTAGCATCATTTGCGGAGTAACTGTCCCTGAAAGGCAATTGGTCAAAGGTAATTGAAAACAGATTAAATCTTTAAGCAATTATATCTTTAAAATGTAAATATCAATGATTGTTTGAGCATATAACACACATTTTCATGTGGGGAGAAATGTATTCTCCACTTCATTAACTCAGACTTTCAAGGTTATCATTAAAGCCATCATCAATTGTTTCTGTGTATATACATCTGCTCATATAAAAAGGACACATAACCATCTCCACTGGGGATGTGGAAATAGAATTCCTCAGTACTATGTGCCAAGGCTGTGGTGACAACACAGCTCACTGGACATGATGCTTCCGAAAGGAAAAACAACACACTGCTACTCAGAATCATGGGAGTTTACTTATCCCAGCCCCTGAGATATGATGGGATAAAGTAAATACGTGAAACCTTAACCAAAACTTCACAGTGAAGATCTACTGCCTCTTCAAAAAGAGTTATGAAATTGATCCCTAGGAAGATTGACAAAGACAAAAGAGAAAACACAAAATGATCAACATCAGGAATGAAAGATAGGGAGTCACTCCAGACATAAAAAGCAGAAGAGAAGGGAGATGAGAAAATGCCACATTTTTGATATTTTAAATACCTCTCCTAAAGAAGACATTGCCAGACTCAATGGATTAAAATGATAAACCCTAGCCAGGAGCCTGTGGCTTACGCCTGTAATCCTAGCTACTCAGGAGACTGAGAGCTGAGGATCGCAGTTCAAAGCTGGCCCGGGCAAGAAAGTCTATGAGACTCTTATCTTCAATTAACCACCAGAAAACCGGATGTGGTGCTGTGGCTCGTGATAGAGTGCTGGCCTTGAGCTGAAGAGCTGAGGGACAGTGCTCAGGTCCAGAGTTCAAGCCCCATGACTAACAATAACAACAAAAAATAGATAAACACTTCAAATATTTAAAGAAAGCAAATAACACAAATATATTGAAAACTAGAGGAAGAAGGAATCCTTGCTTAACTTAATGTTAAGAAGGCAACTTTACCCTAATATTAAATCTGATTGAGATATTGCAAAAAAAAATGCAAATAAAATTAATTAATTAAAAGAACAAAATACACAGGGACATACCATGTTCATGAACTGGAAGACTAAATACTATTCAAGTATCAATTCTCCCCAAATTAACAGTCTATAAATTTAAGCATAATTCCATAAAAACAAACTGACAAGCATAATCTAAAATATATGTAGATGCAGGAGAGAGAGAGTTGGATGACTTTATCTAGTATGAAAATTCACTTTGAGGTGATACAGTTTGATCAACTCTTAAAGACAGCCATGATATAGGTAAATGGAACACAGTACACTGTTTCAAAATGGAAGTCACTTATCTATTTTGATCAAAATACCAAGATAAAGATGGGAACTGGCAGCTCATAACTGTCATCCTAGATATGCAAGAGGCTGAAATCTGAAGATTAAGATACAAAGCCAGCTTGGCCTGATCAATCTGAGAGACTCTTGTCTCCAATTAACTAGCAGTGAACCAGAAGTGGAGATATGGCTCAAGTCTTAGCCTTGAGCAGAAAAGCTAAGTGACCGTGTGAGGCTAAGAGTTCAAGCACAGGGGGAAAAAAAGACAAAGTAAGTTAATTTGAAAAGAATAATTGCTCCGATAATGGGTGTTGAACAAGTGGACATCCATCTGTATTTAAAAGAAATAAAAATAGAACCTTGGCCTTCATTTCACATCCTGAACAAAAATTCATTCAAACTGGACTACCAACCTCAATAAAAACCAAAATAACAGAGCTGTGAAATTCTTCCTGCTTACAACAAGGAAACTCTAGGCAACGCAGAACACATTGGCAGTGGCTGTGTGGGTGGCCGTGTGGGTGGTCACGTTGGACATGTGGGTGGAAGTTCCTTTCATGCATAAAACTGTCAGAATCCCTCAAACTGAACATTTAACCTGCGGGCCTTGCTGTCTGTTAATTATACTTCCATTACAAAATATAATCATAAAGGACTAGTTCATTGTCAGCATGTATTCTGCCCCCCAAGAACTTTCTGGATGAATTTTCTGGTTCCTTCCATCCCTACAGCTCTTTGCGAAAGCTTTGGAAGCCACCAGGACCCCTGTACCCACTCCATCTTCTATTCTTTAGCCTTAAAGAACCACCCCAAGGCCTGACCGCCCAGGGGCCAGGCCAGGGCATACCGTGGTCCTGATCCGGGGCCTCCAGGCTGTAGCCGTAGCCCAGCAACGTGCGTACCGCCTCCCGGAGGCTGTCCTTGTTGGATTTTTTGGTCCGGTCATCCAGGAGGGCATAGGGCACCAGGCGGGGATTCCTCCTGTTCTTTACATCCTGCGGGGAGGAAATAAAGGCAGATCATCACCAAAGATATGCCAGAAGCTTTGAGACGTGAGGTGGTGATGGAAACATCAAAATGCAAAGTCTCCCAGGGCAGAAGCAGCCCCAGCCTTGGTTTCCTTCATCTTCTCAACTTCCAGAAGTTACCAAACACCATAGCTATTACAGTTGTAAGCAAATGGAAAAGAGCATGGACTTGACGTGGTCTCTCTCCAAAAGGAAGGGAAACAATGAAGGGCAGTAACAGAAGCAGGCTTGCTGCCTGACAACAGCTTCCCACTGGCCACCAGCACAGGCAATGGGTCAGCTGAGAACATTTAGCATCATGGTGTGCTCCCTGACAAGCTTTGCTACAAGGGGCCAATTAAGGACTGGGCCCTCTTCTGAGTCACAGGGTACACACACACATCCATGTGCACACATGCACACGTGCACACGCACATAGAGGTTCAGGGAATTCTGAGACCATTTAAACACCAAACAAAAATGTCATCTGGGGGAAAAATAAACAAGCCTAGTTAAGTCACTTTTATTCTCCTATATGGCAGAAGCTACTGGATTAGAAGAGTTTGTGATATACGCTTTTTTTTTTTTCCAACTAGCTTTTTAATTCTAGACAGTGTCTTCTACCAGCGAGGAGCAGTGGTCCAGTTTTGGCCTGAAAATATTCAAGCAAAGCTTTCACATCATGAGCTGCCAGGGGTTGCACTCAGGACATGAGGACCTTTGGCCCTAGCATCAGGCAGCTTTGTGCCAGCCCTGGGTCTGTGGTCTGTGGAGCTGTGACCTGTGGGTGGGGCAGTGTTGGGCAAACTGATCTCACTAGAGCTGTGTGCACACCAGGGGTAAAGTAGGAAGAAGAGTCGTTTATCTGCATGAGTCGAGAAAGGCCAGCTGGGGAATTTGAGCCTCTAATGGCCATAGCAAACTAATCCATCAGGCACCAGTGACGGTGGACACCCCTCTCTCTGCAGATGTAATAGTATCTGGAATTTGTACATCTACTGTTATTATTTCATTTTAGTATTTCAAAGCCCCATCCGAAAATACCATCTCTGAAGGAGAAACACCATGCTGTCTTAGAACAGCAGTGTCCTAAGAGCTCAGATAGTGTAACTCCTTGAGTCTAGCCCTAAGAATATGAGGTTTGATCCAGTCGTGATATATTAATCTCTCCTGTTGCAAATAAGAATAATTCACATGGGAGGTGAAACTCAGACCTCATGCTGAGACCTCTCTCCCCCCTCCCTCTGATACCTGCTGAATGCCGTATGTCCAGCCCTGCCGGATTCGATCCCGGGCCCACACGTTGTGAGCATTTTCTGCCAACTTGTCCACCATCGCTTCCTGAGAGGGGGTGAGCTTTATGAAGCTCAAGTCCATGGGTGCGGGCTTGTAACCACTCGTCAGCTGGTAACTGTGAGGCAAAAACAAACACGTTTACAAATAGTTCTTTCCTGAAGACCCCAGGACAACTTTGTCCTAGTCCACATCCTACCAACAATGCCAGAGCCACAGTCGGGGCTGGGGATAAAGGATCAGTGAGCAAGCCTGGCCCACATATCAACAGTCCCAGAGCCTCAGCAGGACTGGATAAGGGATTGGTCAGTAAGCCTGGGATGTTTTCCCTATGGTTGATGATATGGATGAACCGCATGAACTCTGTTTCCATCCATGTGTCAATAAAACAGAGGTAAGACATTTTTCTTTCCTCTCAAAGATGCAAAAGACCTAACACCAAATGTGTTTCTTTTATTGTGATCTTTAAGTAGTTACACAAAGTTGCACAAAAAGTAGTTGTAACAAAGCAGTTTACAAATACAGCGTCACCCTTCCCTCCCTTCTGTTAATTTTGTGGTATCAACAATGAATTATTGACTGCATTTCACCCCTTCCACCACTTCAATCCCCCTTCCCCATCTTGGATATACCCATTGCCTGGTATTGATTGTGTTGGGCTTTGACCTGATCTTTCTAAAAAGTTATTCTGTTTGAGTTCTCCATAGAGTCTATGATCCTTCAGTTAATTCATCCGTAACCACTTGCACACCACCCAGTGTGTTTACTTATAGATTTTTAGGCACATTCTAGCTACCACAAATGAGGGAAAACATGCAATCTGTATTTCTCTGGGTCTGGCTTACTTCTAATAATTTTTTCCATGTCTTTCCATTTCTTTTTGAATGATACCATATCATTCTTTCTAATGGATGTATAAAACTCCACTGTGTATGTATACCACATTTTCTTGATCCATTCAGTTTTCTCTTCAGATCATACAAACTTTTTTGCCTTTTTACTGAATGTGTTTCTAATAAGCGAGAGTTTGGCAAAGTCTCAGATCAAAGTATCTATTTTTGGTTTATCAACCAAAACACTTAATTAACTCTTCTTCCTAAAAAGTTCCTATTTTTTCCTCGTTATAATGTTACAGTCACATAGTATTTGTTTCATAAATTGGAGAGTTCGTCCTATTGCACAGAGAAATTCTGACTTCTTTGTAACTCATCACCCTTCTGCCATCCCTAGTGACTTCCTCAGAGCTTCCAAATCAGGAAGGGATTAGAAGAAAAAAAAAATCTCAGCTTCCTAATCATCTCATGTATGATTCCATCATATTCCCTGGGAGTTCAAGGAACTCTTACCAGAGCCCGCTTCCATGTACTGAGGGGAACAGGAAGCTCCTAAAACAGTTACAAGTTTTAATCTTTCCAGAGAAGTATAAAATCATTAAATATTCAATACCAATGTATATAATCAACGATGCTTCCTCAAAACATGCATGCATGTACACACGTGTGCGTGCGTGTGCACAGACACACACACACACACACACACACACACACACACACACACACACACACACAGAGGAGTCGCCTCTTTCTGCTTCCGATACCGGCACAGCGCTTAGGTAACAACTGTGCTACGTCACTGCTGTGCAGGGTCATTTCTGCCCACCACACTGTGATCTGTTTCCAGTCCAGTTACCAAACTTTCATCACACCACACCACAAACAGCTGCCAGTAGGTATGGAGCCTTTGGCTGAATACTGTGTGAAGGAATGAACTTTGTTCACTAAATAAATGCAAATAGCCATGATTTTTATCACAAAGCTTAAGAAAAGCAAATTCACCAGGTAGCAATGCTAGCTTAAAAAATGATCAGCACATGGGAGAAAATGCTGTTTCAAGCCAAGTCGAATCATTTTCCCCTGGACCACCGCTGTCACACGGAGGCATGAAAACACTCTTGCTCACCAGGGAGTCACCACTAGCCATGGATCCCCAGGGCCACCATGACAGCCAGGCAACAATGATCCCAGGAAATCCTCTTCACAGTGAAATAAGGGTGCCTCTACGTAATTACTCCTATTTCACTGCAAAATAGCTCACATTTGGTGAACAATTTTTCTATAGGAAAATTTACAGAAATACTTGTTTTGTATATATGACAATTCAAGGCAACTCATCATGGCTGGTTGCTAGATGATATCATTTGATTTGTGCTAAATTTATACACAGACCCTGCATATTAGTAATTAATAATTCCTTTTTTTGTCTATCATGGGCTTTCAACTCAGGGCTTGGGTGTTGTCCCTGAGCTCTTTTGTTCAGGTTTAGGGTTTTGCCACTTTTGAGCCACAGCACCACTTTTAGTTTTCTGGTGGTTAACTGGAGATAAAAGTTTCATGGGCTTTCCTGCCTGGGTTGGCTTCAGGTCTCAGTCTCCTGAGTGGCTGAGCCACCAACACCCAGATTTCATTCCTTTTTCCTTCCTTCTCGTTTCTTCCTTCTTCCTTCCTAGACCGGCCTTCCTTCCTTTCCCTTCCTTCCTTCCCTCCCTCCCTCCTTCCCTCCCTCCCTCCCTTCCTTCTTTCCTTCCTTCCTTCCTTCTCTTTCCTTGCCCTTCCTTCAGACTTGTGGTTCAAGTGGTAGAGTACTAGCCTTGAGCACTAGCTTGAGCACAAAAGCTCAGGAGTAGCACTCAAACCCTGAGTTCAAGCCCCAGGAACCACACACATGCATGCACACACACCAAAATTTTGGGGTGTTAAATGGCAACTCCTTTGTATAGCTAGTTAAAGGTAATTTTTAATGCATTAAAAACAAATCCTGGCATTCTTCCAATTCCATCTGTGTCAAATTACCAAAGCTATCAACATCAAAAATAAAAGAGCATGGATGGCACTTTGCCTAGCTGATGGGTTTTCATGTCAAATAGTGATTCACATTGATGCTTCATGCCCATCTGACCTGTGTTCTTCCTGTACAGGCATATCCTAAATGGGCCTTGGGAAAAAAGAACGTATATAACCTCATTCAAGGGCCAATTTAAATGATGCCACAAACACAAAGTGGCAGGATACAAGGGATGCTAAGAAGCTGGCGCTCCCTGGTTTTCTGGCTGGCCCCACCTTCCCACATGGCTTGCTGAGCAGGAATCAGGTTCAGTGGTGCCTGGGAATCCTTGAAAGGCACACGGGAGAGACTTGGGAAGCTAATGTGCACTTCGAGGAGATGTGAGCTGTGAATTTCAACACCAGACCAGCCCTTCCAGTGCCTTAGAACCAACACGGTTACCACAGAAGATGGGAAAAGCCCGCCTTGCCAGAAGCATGTTTTGTGGAAATGACTATGGGGATGGCATTTTCACACAGAGACGTGAGAGAGAGCATCCTAAAGCTACCCTCCAGAAAGCAAACATGGCAGAAGACTTGACTTTGTAATGGAAATTAAAACAAGAAAGGACCAGGGATATTTTTCCTCCATGATTTTGCTTGTTTTGATCTGCTTCAAAATCACCAACTAATATGAGCTGTGCACCCTGTGCCCCAGCTCTTTGCTTCAGTCTCCTCGACCCAAGACCCTTCTCTACCAGGAACAGCCATTTCCAGGAAGATTTCCCTCATAAAGCTGTCCTTGGTTTGGGATGTTTCAAAGGTAATACCTTTGAGATTTCAGGGCAGAGACAGAAGCAGCCTTTTGTAAAGAGTCTCACACTAGGACAAATTTTGCCTCTGAACAACCAAGAGAGGACCCTGTGGCCCTGGGATGGAAATGAAGGATAAAGAAGCGAGGGTTTCTCGTCCTGGATAAGCTGATGGCTTCAGAGTCTAGGGGCATCAAGAGGGAGGGAAGGCCGGACTTCCCACCCCTGCCCAGGTGGGACCAGATGGACCCCTGCAGAGCCAAGGGCAACTCCTGCCCTGCCTCCTAAATCCTACTCCAGAAAATTCCAGTCCCTTCAGTCCACTCCAAGCCCTGTGCAGGGCACTGCAGAAGAAGAGGTGGTAATGGTCCAAGTATAGGTGGGCAGGAAGCAATCCTCCCTTCTTCCACCCATGCACTGCTACCACCACACTGCCAGTTCCCAGAGGGAACACTGTTACACTCCTACTGGTCCCCAAAGACAAATGGGTAAAGCCAAGATGGTGGCAGTGATCTCCCCAAGAGGAAAGAGCCCCCTATGTGGACCTTGACCACAACCGAGCAGAGAAAGCACAAGACCACAAGAGGCCAGAAGAGGTGGACACAGACGCATCTGTCCATGGTGGCCAACTCAAAGGAGCCTTCCCCCACCCACTGGCCCACAGGTTCACCCACTGGCCCACAGAATATGATTGAATTGTCACCTTAAAGAACATTTTTCACAATAAACAACTCTACATTTTGGCACGCCAAACTGAATGATCTTTCTAATTATAAAAAATTATTGATGGGAACAAAGAATATAATTGATCTTGCAACTTGTTTCTTACCAATAAATATGTTTATATGTGGAGAAATGAGGTAATTGGAGAGAGAAAAGCTAAGTACATCTGATTCTGAGGTATTTCTAATATAATCTAACTTTTTAATTATAAAACAATCATTTGTGTCACTTTTAGTGCTGGTATACTAAAATAATTATAATGGTAATCAAGTAAACAATTTTACACATATAATTATAATCACAGAAAACAAAATTTTAAAGTTCAATTGAGAAATATACCTTGATTATCAAGTATAAGATCCAGGATTTCTCAGCATATTATTAGCATGACATGCATGTGGGAAATATACTGGAATTATTCCCTGTTACTGATCTTTTTGTGTGGTTTTAAAATAGCTTCTGATGGTGGATGGATGTCTAATCACTGTGGGTCTGCTTCCACTGGATGCATTAAGAACTGATGAAAAAGTATAATTTCAAAACTGAAATATGTGAAATGTACCATTCAAAAAAATCACATGATTTGGAACCTTTTAAACCTTCAGACAAAAACTTCTTAGAACCCCAAATGTGCAAAAGTAATAACATAGCCTTCATAAATTCTTTCAGGGATCACCTGAGAGAAGTCTAAAACCTGAGAGACTCTGAGCTTTCTGGGCAAGAACACATTTTTCTACTTGGACTTTATGATTAATATCCCAGCCTAGGAGGAGGCCATGTGGTACCCAGACCTGCTACCTACAATCCGTGAGCTCAGAAAAACAGATTAGGTACTCCAGGGGAAATTCTGAGCAAGAGCAATAAGGCAAGAGAAAAACATAAAGGGATTCAAATAGGGAAAGAAGAAGTAACACTATCCCTCTTTGCAAATGACATGATCCTGTATTTTAAAAACCCTATAGATTCCTCCCCAAAGTTACTTGAGCTGATCTGAAACTTTGGCAAAGTAGCAGTGAATAAAATTAACCCACAAAAATCTGGCTTTTTTGTATGCCAACAATAAAAGATCAAGGATGATATCAGGAAATCAACTCCATTTGTAACAGCCAAAATAAACAGGCAACTTTAAAAAAACAACAACAACAACTAGAACTAACCAAAGATATAAAGGACCTCTATTATGGAAACTTTAAAAATCTGAAAAAAAATACAGCAGATTTAAGGAAATGGAAAAACTTTCCACGTTCCTAGATTGGAAGGATTAACATTGTGAAAATGGCAATACTGCCCAAAGCAATTCAATGCAATACCCACCAAAATCCCAACAACATTCTTCAATGATATAAAGAAAGTAATCCAAAAATTCATATAGAATTATAAAAGATCCTGAATAGCAAAAAGAGCAGGAAGAACAGTGTTGGAGACATTTCAATACCAAACTTCAAACTCTATTACAAAGCCATAGTAATAAAAACAGTTTGGTATTGGCACAAGAGTAGGCCTGAGGACGAATGGAACAGAATAGAAGATCCAGAAATGAACCCATAGACCTACAGCCAATGTTTATAAGGAAGCCAAAAGCACAGGTTGTAAGAAAGACAGCCTCTTCAACAAATGGTGCTGGCAGAATTGGCTGTCCACGTGCAGAAAACTGAAGGTAGATCCTTATATTTCACCCTGCACTGGAAGCAACTTTAAATAGACCAAAGGCCTCAATGTAAGGCTAGCTACCCTGAGAATATTACAAGAATGGGAGGGAAAACACTAGGGCTCTTAGGCATGGGTTGAAACTTTGTAAGTAAAGATCCAGAATCACAACAAATCAAAGAAAGACTGGATAATGGGACTGCATCAGATTAAAGAGTTTCTGCATGGCAAAGGCCATAGCTAGCAAGATAAGTAGAAAGAGCACAGAATGGAGACTATTTTTACTAGATAAGCATCAGACAAGGGCCTCATATCTAAAATATACTTAGATCTCAAAAAAATAAAACTCCCCCAAAACAAATCCTCAAAGAAACAACTACCCAATTAACAAATAGGCTAAAGGCTTAAAGAGAGACTTCTCAGAAGAAGTAAGAACAACCAATAGACACATAAAGAAATGTCCAATATCTTTGGCCATAAGAGAAACATAAATCAAAACAATGTTGAGGCCACCTCACTCCAGTTAGAAAGGCTATTATCAAGAAAACTAACAGTAAGAGATGTTGGCAGGATATGGCCAAAAGGGATTGCTACCACAATGTTGGAAGGAATATAAACTTGTTTGACCACTCTGGAAAGCAATATGGAGGTTCCTCAAAAGACTATACATAAAGCTTCCCTATCCACTCCTGGGCATTTACTCAATTGACCACAAACAAGGTCATGTGAAAGCTACCAGCACAACCATGTTCATTGCAGTGTTGTTTACCATAGCCAAGATATACAGTCCACACAGATCCCCCTCAGTGGATGATGATGTGGTATACACAATGGAATTCTACTCATCCATCAGAAAGAATGATATTGTATAAAAGGAAATAGAAAGACTTGGAAAAAATTATATTAAGCCAAGTAAGCCAGACCCAAAGAAACATAGGTTGCATAGTTTCCCTCATTTGTGGTAGCTGGAATGTGCCTATAGATCTACAAGTAAAAACACTGGATAGTAAAAGATTTTTTAAAAAATACTTAGACATAATAAACTATACTTATCTCTAGACATTGACACAGTTTGAGACAAAAGGAGGATATTCTTAGGAGTGGATCACAAAGGCTCAATAACTATGTCCATATGAGCATATAAAATGATGTTTCTTGAAATAAACTTCAAGAAAAAGAAATGAGGTTTTTTGTTATTTTGTTTCTTGGGTTTGTTTTTGTTTTTCTCCTTTGTCACTGATTTTTCTGTACCTTTGTTTTAAATGTAAGTTTATCTTAGGGGAAAGGGGTAAGGGGGGAACACAGAAATAGTGGGACAAAGAGTGAACAATTGTAGCTGTGATACTAAACACTATGTTGAAAATGAACTATACAATTTGTAGGGGGGAGGGGTTGGGAGGGAGAAACTGGGAGAAAACCAGGGAAGGGGGTAACACTGTTCAAAAAGAAATATACTCATTACCTGACTTGTGTCACTGTAACCCCTCTGTATATCAGCTTTACAATAATGGTTTTTTAAACAAAAGATAATCCAGGGGAAATAAAAGAGGAAAAAAATAACAGCATGACAGAATCACCATTATTTAACTCTTAGTCATTAAATACTGAGATGTCTTTAAGAAGCAAGGGTCACTAAGGCCTGGTCTCAGGGGAGAAGGGCATGGTTTTAAGAAGTTAAACAATGTCTTAGCCATAGGTGGTGGCACCGCAGGTGACCCAGCCCGACAGAACTCAACCACCTTGCTTGTTCTCATCCTCTCATAAGGATGATCACACTGACTTCAGGTTGATTCCTCAAGAGCATTTTTTTAAACAAAAGCTAATGAAGGTATGTACAATGCTGTCAGGAAATGGCACATTATATATAATCATGTAGAAATGTGGACATATGTTCACATACCCCTATATATATACACACTTGGAAAAACAGCACACTTCAATCACACACTCCCAAATTTATGCTGCACTTTTCTTCCTTCTATAACATGGTAAATCTAATCTCTCCACCACAGACCTGAAGTATTCCATAGTGTGACTGAGCTTGGGTGTATTTGGGGACCCACTTTATACAGCTTAAGTGTACAAGACACGTGTGTGTCTACCAAGTGCAACCTGGGAAGTGTGACATGGACGTGTCCATTCCCGGTGCTGGCGCTCCCTCACTCACTTCTTGGGAAGCTTCATCTTCTTCACCTTTTCTTCCGCGTGTTCATCTGCTATCCCCACATGACACCCCAGAGCCAGCAAGGTCCTGGAACACAAAGGCCTAGGTGAGCTACAGGAAGGCCATCCCGGGTCCAACACCAACCCCCGTAGCAAATGCGACAGCGGGACACACGTTTCCTGTTTTTAAGCAACAGGAAAACACATTTGTTTCTAAATTATGTACTCCAAAGAGCTAAGACTAGAAATGGAAATGACACAGAAATCTCCTGAATAGATATGTCTCTCTGGATCCTGTTCTCTCTGGCTGTCTCCTCTCACGAAAGTGAACAGCATTAGGGATTCTCCTACCCCCCTGGTAGCTAGGGCTCTGTGTCTATGCCAAGTCAAGCACAAGAGTTTCAGCGATGATTTACCTCAGCTCAACACAAGAGGTATTCTGGGAGAATTTTCTCATCTATTTTTTTGACTCGTAACTTCGCAGGATTGAAACAAATGAAGTGAACAAGCAAAAGGAAATAAAGTCAACAAGCATGTACATTCCCTCTGCGGGGCATGGGGTTTTAAAGGTGTTGTGACACCTGTCATGCAGGCCCTAGGACAGCTCCCCTGTGTACGATCTCCAAGCCACCGAGCAGAACAAACCCTGAGACTCAGAGAGGTTGAGCACCACAGGAAGAGCCTGCTAGTAAGGGCCATCACTGAAGACCGACCATCTCCAGAGGCACACAGTTGCTGCAGCTACCGGTCAATAAATGAATGAGCACTGGAAATCAAACAAGCAAGCACTATGCTTCCTTTGCACGAGTGGAACTGCACAAAGTGTAAGTCATGGAGAGGTAAGCTCAAATATCATTGAACTGGCAAAGAAGCAGGTGCAATCTGTTCATGATAAAATCATCATGTACACCATTGTCACTGTAAGAAACAGCACAGCAATGTGAAGGGTTAGCTCAGGAAAGAGGGCCGTTTGCATTGACAATGGGGAGCCACACCCCACCCACACCAAGGCATCTGATGATTAATGACCACAGCCAGCAGCAGGGGTTGGGAAGGAGACTCGTATATGCACGCACTTGGCAGAGGTTCAGCATAACAAAATATAAGCAGGGAGAGCTCTGCCCACCAGAACGTACCGTGCCATGGCTGGCCTAGCTGTCAATTTCCAGAATGATAAGGAACGGACGGCAGACTTAACTGAATTATGTTGCAAACGTTGGGGAATAATGAGCTATCATGAGTTACAGGACTGGATGTAGCAAGCTCACTTGGTGTCACGGCCACAGAGGGAAACAGGAGATATTTACTACAAAACAGGGTGGATCAGGCTGTGCATCTTGCATTCAAACAGGAGATATTTACTACAAAACAGGGTGGATCAGGCTGTGCATCTTGCATTCTTATATCCAGAAGGATGTGTCATGTTTTCAACCTAGTTGGTTCTTGATTTTCTTGATGTATATAAATTCCTTCTTCCTCAGAGTTACTGGGACAACCTAAACTCATGCTCTGTGCTTTATTTGACTATTTCCATGATAATGAATCTGCATCTTTTATAGTAGATGCTTGAGTCCAAATCCTAGAATCTAAACATTATTTAAGGTTTATGTTCTAGCTCCTTGGAGCAATAGCTTCACTGGAAATTAGCCCTGGCTCTTAAAAAAAACAAGCAATATGAGAGCAGACAAGGGTAGGGAGGACTCTTGGAACCAAGTCAAGGGACAGAAAGAAGGCAAAGAAAAAGATTGCGCAATTATTTTCTGAATCTTTTATCTAGATAAATTTGAAAATACATTGCTTAATTTGTCCTACCCCAGATCCATTCTTCCAACTGAAAATGTGGTAAATTAAAGAGATTGATCAGCAAAAAGTCACTAAAAAGAAAAATTGCCTTTATAAGATGACACAAAATAGCCTAGAGTAGCTGTTCTCAAAGTATGCTACAAAGAGAAATGGTCCCAGAGGCTCTTCCTGAAAAAAGATTTCTGTGGCTAAATCAATTTAAAAACATCATAAGATGACTCTGTCCCATTTTAGAGACCAACAGGACACTTGTCAATAAAAATCTCTCTAATTATTTTAATACCACATCCTCTATATATTTTGGGTCCAAAGTGATCTTCAGTGAAGAAAACTATTTTTGCTTCATTTCCAGTCTCTCTTTTGTGATTCTCTGATAAAAATACATTAAAATTATTAGAGAAAAATCTAATTCTCCAAAGTGAAAACCTATAAAATATATGATATTCACCTACATTTTTAACAGACATAAACTTTTCTCCCTGAAGTTGATATCAGAGTTTCTAAATATTCCCTCTTAACATCTCACACTTGTTTTGTGACAAGCCAAGACCAGTATGTGGATGGCCTAGGTCCCTCACTCTACTATGAGTCATACTATGTCAGTTCACAAACTCAAAATTCTGTAACGCACCATTTGGGAAATACTGATGCAGAGCAACAAAACATAAAATAATGAGACCAGCTGGGCACTGGTAGCTCATGCCATAATCCTAACCACCAAAAAGCCAGATGGTAGAGAGCTAGCCTCGAGTGCTAGCCTTGAGCAAAGCTCAGGAACAGCGCGTAGACCCTGAATTCAAGCCCTAAGACTGGCACACACATACACACATATACACACACACAAATTAGATCATAGTCTAATTCTCACCAATAATGGTGAGAATCATTCTGATTCACTTGGGCCCTCTGGAAAGTTCCTGCTGGAACTCAAATAACTTTGTGACGAATTAAAGTAAAACACTCCAACATTTGACTTCCTTTAGGTGAGAGAGATCAGAAAATACAAAAAGTTATCACACTCACTTCAGGGTCTCAAGGGACATCTGCAAATTGTAATTGCGTTCCTGTTCGGGCAGCTTGCAGAACTCCACCAGGCACGGGTGCTGTCTCTTATTATCATCTCTGACCTGAAACAGCACAGGAAATTGGCATATCATGGTCTCCAAAATCAAACACGTGCAGTGATGACTTCACTGTATGCCCAGAAGTAGAAAGCAAGAAGGAGCACTTAGATCACCATGCCCCCTCCCCATCCCCAGAGAAGCTTCTGGCATCTCCAGGGATCCGCTCCCATCAAAGGTTACAGCCAGAGGTAAAGGGCAGCATCCTCTGTGTTCTGCTCTCTTCTCTGGAACGGCTCCTTCCTCAGCCCCCGTGTGCCTCTGCCCTGCTTGCTCATGCCCACATGCCAGCTGGCTTGCCTCTTTCCAGTGTTTGCTGAGATCTTCTTATTCAAATTGGAATTCTGCCAACTATGGCAGTCTGCCCATCCATCCTACATTAAAATAAAATCTGTCCATCCTCACCACCTGTCACAAAGTGGATGCCCACTTACTGGGAAACAGTCTACCCTCCCTGCACCAGAAGGTAAGACAGAGGAGCAAGGACTTGGGCCTCTTTTACTCCTTCCTGTGGCCCTAACAGTGAGGACACACCCGACATGTGGCAGACACTCAACAAACATTTCATACATCAAGTAAATATTTTATAAGCTGAGATGCATTCTGTGTCAGAATGTGCGATAAAGACCTCGTTTTCATCTGTAGTCATCCGTCTGCCTTGGGCCCACTAATCAGAGGTATTAATAAGCAGGATAGCTACAAACCCTGCACGGTCTTTCTGGGAAGTTGCCTTCTGTTCTCAACTTACTCCTCTACTCTAATCAAATGAGTCCGCATGATAAAGGCATTGTTGAAGAAATCCTGAGACATGTCTACGGTCAGTTACGCCTCTGTACCCACAAAGGAGTCAGTGAGTAAAAAAACCCAAGCTTGCAACGACCTTCAAGAAAATGTCCTGATGGGTGGCAATCACCTATGAATCTCCTCCTGCACAAGCGAAGCCATCTCTACATGACTTGCAAGACCTGATCGGGTGTCAAAGCTACCACAAATAAAAGGGGATCTGTATATATCCAGTAGAGAGAACATTTTTCTCTGAATCCATGGATGTAGAACCCAAAATTAACAAGAGTCTACTAGTTTCACCATCACACCAAATTCTAGATTTTTAGGAAAGAATGAAGGAGAAAGATGTTCCCCACCCTTGCCTTCATAATGAGTCTTGTTAAAATCTTGGTAGAGATGAAGATTATGGGCGCAACCCTGCTGTGGTGGCATCCAGAGGACAGCTAAAAGCCCACTGGGGCAGAGTGATGACACCACGGACATTTACCAGCTTCTGTCAGTGCCACAGGAGAGGCATGCAAGCATGAATGAGAACTTCTTTTTAAATCTACATAAGGTGACAAGTTAGAAAGGACATCTTTTCTAGGCACCAGTGGCTCACGCCTGTAATCCTAGCTACTCAGGAGGCTGAGATCTGAGAATCACAGTTCTAAGTCAGCCTGGACAACAAAGTCCATGAAACTTCTTTCTCCAATCAACCACCAAAAACCAGGAGTGGAGCTGTGACCCAAGTAGTAGAGTGCTAGCCTTGAGCAAAAAAGTTCAGGGACAGTGCCCAGGCCCTGAGTTCAAACCTTAGAAACAGCAACAAAGAACAACAACATTAATAATAATGATAAAGTGTCTTTATTCTTTCCTTTTTTGTAATCATTATGAAGGAATCAGACATTATCACATCATCATTATTATAATATGTCTTTATTCTTTCCTTTCTTGTGACCATTATGAAGGAATCAGACTTATAAATTAAACTGAGTTACAATTATTTTTTGTCAGTCATGGGATTTGAACTCTGGGCCTGGGCACTGTTGTTACAAAATTTAATTCTATATCCCTAATCCTGAATTCTAAACATGAAAGGGCAAAGGAATGCATCTGAGTCCTGAGGCTCTGACCCCCTATTTCTGTACTCCGCTATTCCCTACGCCAGAGATAAGCCCATACTGTCACGTTCCTTCCTCTCTTCTGGAGCATGAACACAGGAAGGCCGGTAGCCACGCCCCTCAGTCCCCACTGTCAGAGACAGGACTGGGAAATGCCCCCTCTCACACTGGCTCCCCGCCTCTCCCTGCCCTCCTCCTGCCCAGCCTCTTGCTCTTACACCTAAGAGCAAAGCTCCCCCATGCACCCACCCTCCAGAACCTTCTTCAGCTCCCTACGGAATCACACACAGCATGTCCACAGTCCTCTGTGACCACCTCCTGCCCACGCAACCAGACTTCCACCTCTACTTCCCTCACCCAGGCCTCCTGTTCTCTATCCAGGCAATGCTGTGCTACCAAAAATGTCCTGGTCATTCCTTCCACCTCTGCTTTTATACCTTCTGGGTCCTCCACTTAGGGGGCACTGCTCCTCCATGGTTAGTCAACTTGTAACTTCGTTGTGTGAACACCCCTGTGTTCACACAGGCACACACAGGCACACACAACCATAAATGATTACCAAGCCTGCACATGCACACACAGGCCCATGTACATACACACATGCACACATGTATGCACACGTACTGCAAAGCAGTTTTGAGTACTCTAGGATATTAGAACTAGCACTGGAAACAAGTGCTCTTGACTCAGAGCAAAATGTGGTGATCTATGTGTGCAGATGGGAACACACTCATTCCTATACTCAGTCTAAAAGAAGGGGGCATTGCAGGTCTAGGAGCATTTAGAATAATAACACTGTAAAATCAAAAGTATTACCAAGCTCCTGCTAAAACAAAAAAACAGGTTTCTTATGCACTGGGATGGCACGGGAAATTGTTTGTTTTGTCTGTTTGCTACATCTAAGGCGTAGAGACAAATTATAAGTGATAAGCATTTGGAAAGACATGCCGTCATTTTCCCCAGCCTATCCTCCACTGGTGAACTAACGTGCATCCTGCCCTGGCTCCTGCTGCGGGGCACAACCAGGCCGAGAGGCATGTGCCAAGGAGAGGACCTACCTTCCCACTCTGCTTTCCACTTGCAGTGTGACTGCGTTTGTAAAACCCAGTCTCTGTGAACTCTGCTTTTAAAACACAACTTTCAGCCCAAAGATGGGCCACTTTCCCATTGTCCAGGAGACTTAGCCGCCTGCAGGGAGCCTGCAGGTAATATCAACCTCCACCCCCCCTCCATGCAAAAAACCTAATATGCACCAAAAGAAATCAATCTGATTGATTCCTATCACCCCATTGCAAGATGGAGTTGGGGGGGAAGATGTATTATTAACAGGAACTGAAAATAAATTCTAAAATCATGTACCGGACCATACTGCCAGCCAAGTTCAATTTTATTCATAACCCAGAGCTCATGGATATTCTCCGCCAGCTTTTCTCTGATCCTTTCAAGGTGAGGAGGTAAAACGATCTAAAATTTAAAAGAAGAAAAACCACACGTCAGGAACAAATGTAGTAAGACACAGAAAGAACTCTTCCTTGCCACAAACTGGTCTAAAGTATCCTGCCTCATAAGCTGTTGACATAGTAAGATAACTAAGTTCTAAAGATGTTATCTCTGTGATATTCTTTGTGGGGTGGGCAGTATTGGGGCTTGAACTCAGGGCCTTGTGCTCTCTTAGCTTGCTTAGACATGGCTGTCACTCTATCACTTGAGCCACATCTCCGGCCCAACTTTTTGCTGGTCAATTGGAGATGAAGTATTGTGAACTTTTCTGCCTGGCCTGGCTTCAAATCACCATCCTCTAGGCCTTGGCCTTCTGAGTAGCTAGGATCACACATGTACACCACCAACACCTGACTTACCTCATAGTATTAATTCTCTACTTTTCTTTATGCGTGACAATTTAAGTTTCCAAGGAAATCAGCGAACAAAAAAGTGTCGGGCTGGCGAGGCACCCGAAAGATGACTAGGACATAAGAGACGTCTACGGAAGGCAGCAGAATGTGAAAAGTGAACCTGTGCGTGCTCTTCCACCAGCCGGTCAGCCAGCCAGCAGCAGGGATCAAGGTGAAGTCAGTGCCAGGTTCAAATTCCCTGGCTTGTAGATCCTGCAGCAGTCTGGCTGTGGTTTGTGTTTCCCCTGAACTCTTCTGGGTTCCCAAAGACATACCTCAAAGGAAAAGACCTCTCCCCGTTCCCACAGGAGAAAGTTCAATGACCCTCTTTGTAAAGAACACAGAATGGCTTCACAAGGAAGGGTGGGGACGGTGCCATCGGGGAACCTCCTGCCTGTCTATGCAAGTAGACAGGAAAACACCACAATGGCTCCCATGTCTGGGAAGTGTGTGTGTGTGAACGGCTGTGTCTCTCAGCGAAGCACGCATGCTCTCGGCATTCCCGCAGTCAGATGGCTGGCCTTCCCCAGTGTCCAGAGTAGGCATTTGATCTGGGGCACGCTGGCCCTGGGACCCAGTCTCTAGCCAAGACCAAGTCAGTGCAGCGTCCTCAACACAACAGCTCCATCTATATGGGAGACAGCATGAAAACCCCAGGCCTACGGTGCATAAAAATGCACACTTTAAATTACATCAGTGTGTTGTTATCGCAACAACACTATTATACCTTAAAGTCCCTTGGAAAATTGTGCAACTAAACTCTATTTGTTGCTGTTAATACTCACTTAAAAAAAGTCGGACTAAATATTAACTTTTTAAATAAAACTTTAAAGACATCCCAGAATAGTGTTTGCAAAACTTCATCTTGATTAAGAGTTGGAGCAACTCTTAAGAGGAAATATTCAGGTGCCAGTGGTTCACACCTGTCATCCTAGCTACTCAGGACAATGAGATCTGAGGATCACAGTTCAAAGCCAGCCCAGGCAGGAAAGTCTGTGAGACTCTGATCTCCAATAAACTACTCAGAAAAGGATGGAAGTGGCACTGTGGCTGGAGCCCTAGCCTTGAGCAAAAGAAATTCAGGAACAGCACCCATGCCTTGAGTTCAAGCCCCAGGACTGGCCAAAAAAAAAAAAAAAGAGAGAGAGAGAGAGAGACAGAAGAAGGAAGGAAGGAAGGAAGGAAAGAGGGAAGGAGGAAAGGAGGGAGGAAGGGAGGGAGGATCAAGGAACATCATCACCTGTCAGTTGCTTAAATCTGACACGTGAGTGACATTCCTGAGGCCCCGCCCCCGGCCTGCAGTCCCTTGGAAGCCACTGAAGTCAGGAGAGCTACAGTGCAAGCCAGGGCTGTGGCAGCTGCTCCAGTACCTGACTGGTGTCCACAGGAACAGGGGTGAAGGCGGCCTGGGTGAGGGAGACGGTGGGGCCCAGCAGGTCTCGCGTGTACGTCCTTTCTTGCTTGTATTCTCGGCTGTGCTCCACTTTCAATTTTTCTTTTGGAAGAACAGCTTCATAACAAGGCGCGTACCCGGGTGGAGGGAGGAATTTAAATTCTCCATGTCGCCCTCCTAGCAGAAAACGCACCCTGAAAAGGAAAACAACGCATTTCAGGGCCAAGTGCGTCTTTGGGGCAGGCCAAAGTTTCCTAGCTAACAAAACAGAAAATCATCGATACAAAAAAACGTGCTTTATCAGAAGCCAGGTTGTTTCCCTCAGTATAATAACATCACCAGCTTAGAATCACATAAAAGGTAAAACAGGAGGGTGTTAAACTGATCAGAAGAGAAAAGACATGAACCAGGCCAGTGAAGACCAAGCTAGAGCTAGGAGAAGCCCCTTAAAGCCCACACGCCATATCCATGTAAGCGAGCTCACAGAACTGCTCGCTCAACATCCCCAGACAAAGGAAGATATGACCTCAGCACCTGTATGCTTCAAAACCACAGGGCAGGTCTAGGTATAAAGAAGAAAAAAACACCTATTTTCCAGTGTCCAAGTTCACGTGTCCTGAAAGCGGGCTCGTGCTGAGGAACTCAAGCAGCCTTCTTTATTTTTGCTCATTTTCAACTACGATCAACTTCCAGAAATACCTGGAACATCACCCTCCTTTCAGCACCAATAATGTCGTCTGATTGCCACTGAATAAGACATACTTTTGAAACAGTTAAGTGATCGTGATTTCTTGGAGGCAACTGGCTCACTAGAAAACAAATTCAATTCTTTTTCCTTTTCCTTATTAATCCCTTTCCTAATTTGAAAGCTTCTAAATTGAAAGCTACAGACCTCCTCCCCCCCCCACCCCCCAAAAAAAATAAGAATAGAAAGGAAAGGTTGGAATAAATGAAAGTGGAAGGGAATAAAATTTTAAAAAGCAAAGAACAAAGAACAAAAAGGAGAAATAAAAATTACTCAGAAACCTATAGAAAGAAGCACAATTTGCATAAATACTAGAAAAGGTAATTTCTATATGATATTTCATGATCACTCAGCACTTACTTTTGTAATGAGGGATCATGCCAGGAGGAGATGTGACTTTTTTTTTTTTTTTTTTTGCCAGTCCTGGGGCTTGAACGCAGGCCTGGGCGCTTCCCTGAGCTCCTCATATCAAGGCTACCACTCTACCACTTGAGCCACAGCGCCAATTCCGGCCTTTTCTGCTTATGTGGTATTGAGGAACCAAACCCAGGGCTTCAGGCATGCAAGGCAAGTGCTCTAACATTAAGCCACACTCCCAGCCATTGTGACTTTTTTTTGTTTTGGTCGGTCATGGGGCTTGAACTCTTGGCCTGGGTGCTGTCCCTGCGCTCTTCAGCTCAAGGCAAGCACTCTACCACTTGAGCCACAGCGCCACTTCCTGTTTTCTGGTGGTTAATTGGAGATAAGAGTCTCACAGACTTTCTTGCCTGGGCTGGCTTTGAACCACGATCCTCAGATCTCTTGTGACTATTTTTAACAAGCAAAATAAGGACACAGTCAGCAGGACTGAGGGAGTCACATTCAGGCAGACACAAAAACACAACAGAGGGCAGGGTGTTTCCATACTGTGACAGACCATCACACATTCAATCATTTTCACTACCCCTGCCCCTGAGGGAAGAAGGAAGGCCAGAGGGGAGGCATGGGAAGAGAGAAAGCCACAGAGACCCAGCAGGTCAGTTGGGTGCAGGCAGGGAAATTCAAGGTGAGCCATAGGTAAACCTCGTCCCCAGAAAGCACATCCATTTCTGCCCAGTGAGGTCATGAGGGCTGGAATGGGACAAAAGGAACCAACCAAAACCCACAGGAGCAAACAGGTGGTTTCTTCACAGTACTGTCCATGCCCCCTTATGGAACTTAAGACATGGTCCTGGACTATTTCAGGATACACACTCCCAGCTAGACCCTGGGATGGATAGGCAGGCCAGGCACGGGTCCCCTCGGGAGAGGACCTTCCAAGTGAACCTTCCCTCTTCTTCCTGAGAAGAAGCAACACGGCCCCTGGGCAGATGCCACCTCCCAGGAGGGAGGAACAGAGGCGAAAGAAGCAATGTGAAGCCAGGCATGGTCCTCTGTGCAAATACGAGTAGAACCAGACCCTGGACCAGGGGCACACTCACTTGATGCCTGCAGAGAAGCTGACCACGGGAAAGAAGAGGCCGTCAATGTTGAAATTCTCAAACATCCCTTGAACGGGTTGTCCATTGATGCGGAAGGAGATGCTGGGGGCGCTCAGATCCAAACAGCAGCTGATGACATCGTCAGTCCTCAGCAGGTGCTGGTTGGGGGAGCTGACCGTCCGGGCCACGCAACCTATCACCAGGGAGACACAGGGAGCTCACATTGCAGCCACGGCAAGAGTTGACAGCACCAAGCTGACAGCCCCGACGGACCAGAGCACACAGCCGACCCAGTCAACCAAGTCTGGAATGAATGGAAACTAATGTTACTTGTGAGCTAAACTCATGATCAAAATAACGATGATGATGATGATGATGATGATGATGATGATGATGATGATGATGATGATGATGATGATGATGATGATAAGTGGCTTTGATTTGGGGAACTGTGCTGCTTCTTTGGAAATAGACCTTCTACTAGGTAGACATTTCTGTGTGTAAGCAGACGATGTCTGATCATAGAAATTATCCTGCCCATTATTATGAGGTTGTGAGCGGACAATTTCCAGGATGAGATCTGACTTCCAATAGCTACCTTGCCAACGTGCACAACCACTGGCCAGTAGTTATCTTCTTTGAACCTTGATCTTTTTATGTTGATGGTTATGATAGTGTTTGCTATACTGGGTATTACTTCAGAGTGCTCTATTTGTTAAGTAAGCATTCTACCACTTGAGCCACATCTCTAGCTCTTTGTGGTTTTGGCATTTATGCTCACAATTGCTGAAACAGCAACCCTCCTATTTATGCTTCCTGTGTAGTAGGATTATAGACATAGACCACCATGCCTAGGTTTTTACTGGTTGAGATGGGGTCTCATGTACTTTTATCCAGGATTCCCTTGAACCATAATCTGCCAATCAGGAACAACTGAGTAGCTGGGAGTACAGGGATGAACTTGAACTTCCATGCCTTGATTTCTAATAACTAGAGCACCAAATACTTTCTAGAATTAGTACCATGATTGAATCATGGTTTACAAGTAACACAGTCTTTGGCACAGTGAGCACTTCATGCCAGATCCTCTCTCCAATACTAAGTCCTCCCTGCTCTGTGCATTCAACATAAAAGTGAAGATAATGAGAGCAAAATCCTATGTCATTTGTTCTCACAGTGTACTGTTTGTTCTGAGACAATCATATGCCAATTTGCTTTTGTTTCATAATTGAATTTATTTTATGTGAGATCACAGTTGGCCTTGTAATAGAGCAGGATAGGACGAGACGCATGAAAATGATATTTGATTAGTGTCATTTCGTGCCCTGGCCAGCCAAGGATCTGAACCCATTCCTGACTCTATCAGAAGTCATTTGCCAATGAATGCCAACACCAGGGGCATCGGCTTCTCACAGCCTGGGAAGAAGGGAAGGGCAGGTGTCCCCCTCAAATACACATGTAGACAAGCCCAGACATACCCCTCAATTCAAACCAAGACAAAAACAGATCTCACAGTGTATACTTTGTACCTCCACAGCACCTCTTTTTACACCTAGCATGCCAAGGGTTCTATAGGCAACTTATTTGAAACACTAGTGATAAAAGCTATCTACTTGGGGGGACAAAAAAGGACATGTTTTAATTTTACTGATGTTCAAACTTGCAAGTAATACAGTGCTTTAAAAATATAGAGGTAGCTTGAGCTTGAAAAAAAGAGGTAGTAGCCAGGTGCTGGTGGCTCACGCCTGTAATCCTAGCTACTCAGAAGGCTGACATCTGAGGACCACGGTTCAAAGCCAGCCCGGGCAGGAAAGTCCATGAGACTCATATCTCCAATAAACCAATAGAAAACCAGAAGTGGCACTGTGGCTCAAGTGGTAGAGCGCTCACTTTGAGCTGAAGAGCTGAGGAACAGTGCCCAGGCCCAGACTTCAGACCCCATTACTGACAAAAAAAAAAAAAGAAGAGGTAGCTTAAAAAAAAAAACAACAACCATGTAGCGTATAGAAGGTCTCTTTGTTTGTTCCAAGATGAATATGAAAATGTTATTATTTTAGCTACTATATGGAAAATAAGGGTTTACTGTCCCCAACACTTTGGTCAGGGATATGATTAATGCCAATCCTAACTACTGCTAACACTGTCCATAAAACGCTGCTTTGCAATGCCTAGAACAAACAGGAAGGACGGAGAAGGCCACTGGTGAGGTCACACACGGAGGTCATGGATGGACAGCGCTCCCAGTGTTGAAGCCAATGACAGCATCAGGACAGTGCATTTATGTAAAGCCATAGTGTGACCTCTCAGGGGTCATTTCGTGTTGTATCTGCTGGACAGGGACAGAAAGATGTGTAGATCTTGGACAAGACATCATCTGTCCGTCTTTCCTGTGCCCCTAGGATGTCCTTCCCCTTGCTTCTTCCACATTTAAAATCTCTAAAAGCATAGAGACTTTGCAAACATTTGTTCCCTTTTAAACATCAGGGAGGCCCAAATCACAAGTGTACACAGAGTTTAAATGAGAGAGAATAGATGAAGATTTATTTTGACAGCTATGATAGTATTTGCTATACTGGGTATGACTTCAGAGTTCTCTGTTTGTTAAGCAAGCATTCTGCCACTTGAGCCACATCTCTAGCTCTTTGTGTTTGGGGCATTCATGCTCACAATTGCTGGAACAGCAATCCTCCTATTTATGCTTCCCGTGTAGTAGGATTACAGGCATAGACCACCATGCTTAGGTTTTTACTGTTGGAGATGGGGTCTCAAGTACTTTGCTTAGGATTCTGAGCCAGGCCCTGATTCTAAGAACTATGTCCACTCTCTCCAGTGTCTAAATGGTCACGGATAAAACATCTGCTGTCTCCTAGAAATCGCTTACACTAGGAACTCTAAACCCTGTATCAACCATTAAGAAGAAACGAAATGGGGAGGCCAGGCCTGGTGGTTCAGGCATGTAGTTCTGGCCATCTGGGAGGCAGAGGTCATGAGATCATGGTTCAAGAACAGCCTGGGTATCAAAGTTCACAAGACACCATCTCAACCCATGGCTGGAGAATGAGCCTGTGTAATGCCAGCTACTGGGGAAGCACAGTGGCTGGGCACAGTGGCACATGCCCGTCATCCTTGGTGACAAGCAGCAGCTGGGACCAGCCCCCACAGGGGGGTGGGGGTGGGGGAAGAAGGGCTGCCTAAAAGAATCACCAAGGCAAAAAAGGGCTGGACGCATGGCTCAAGTAGAGGATTCCTGCCTAGTAAGTCGTGGCCTTAAGCTCAAGAGGAGAGAAGGGAGGGAGAGAAACCTACTATGTCTTCCAGTACCAAGATAGGCAGGGCCATCCCAAGACTAAATTCGAAATGCAGCTCTATGCACTATCATAATAGCTAAACAGCTCCAACCAACGCAAGAGCCAAGCTTCTCAGTCGTCCAAACTGTAACTCTATGAATCAGAGCAAAGAGTCCTATTTGTACTACCTCACGGTATTCATGTTTCATACACCTTCGACCACAGAGCCCGAGAGGCAGAAGCTGGTGGCATGAATTATACATTTCCTTATTTTTCTAAGCAAAGTGCTATTTCATTATGAGTAGACTCTACCTGGAGCTTTGTAAGTTGCTGGTTCTAGCCTTTCCCTTCTCTTGCAGAAGGCTGGAGTAGCTGACTTCTCCCTGTTACTGTCCAGGGTTTGTGTTTGTACTTTGCTTGCAGTAGAAGCTAGATCTTTGCACATGCCAATTAGAGCAAGTTGGACATACACACCCATACACACACACACACACACACTTTTTTGGCAAGCTCACCCATGCATTGGAATGTCACTTCTTACATACATTGCTCGGGAAAGCAATCTACCCCCTTGGAGACGTGCAATGGTGCGGACACCTCTTCCTTCTGCCCTACTGAAATGCTGCTTTTGATTTCTGGATAACAAACAATCCCCAAAGAAGCCATGCCAACAACTTTCAGAGACGCCCCACCATGTCCCTCCCGAAACACGAGAGCAACAGAGACCGCGCCTACCTGCCCAGAGCTGAAGGCCGTCGAACCCGTAGGAGAAGAGGTCGTCGCCCACTCCGTTGCCGCCCCATTCCTCGCCCCCTCCGGGGTAGGGGGAGTAGCCCTCGGTGGAAGCCCAGCCCACCCGCAGGTGGGTGGCCTCGGCCGTCACAAAGGGTTCCGTGTGGTCCACCATGAGCTCATAGTACCATTTCTTATACTGAGCGGATCCTTCGCTGACGCCCAGGAAGATATTGGGCCTCATGCTTTCAAGGAGACAGGAAGAGCATGTGAGGAAAGGCCAAACCAGAACACCTACCACTGAACGTGAGTCCCAAACCCACATTCCTTTATTTTTTTTTATTTTTTTTTGCCAGTCCTGGGGCTTGAACTCAGGGCCTGGGCACTGTCCCTGAGTCTCTCTATGCTCAAGGCTAGCCCTTGAGCCACAGCACCACTTCTGGCCTTTTCTGTGTATGTGGTACCAGGGAATCGAACCCAGGGCTTCATGCATGCTAGGCAAGCACTCTACCACTAAGCCACATTCCCAGCCCAAACCCACATTGCTTTAAGTGCTATAGAACCATTGTGACAATCACTCAGGTGGGACACAGTGCAGCCTGTGTCCCCTATCAACTTCAACAATGGCTCCTTGCTTTGGGGTGAACTTGGAAATGCCATGCAAGAATCTAATGTGATTTTTTTTTTCTTAGCCACTCTTCAATTAATGATACTTTCTGTCTTTAATCAAATGAAAGCACAAAATGAAACACTTTTTTTTTGGGGGGGGTGCCAGTCATGGAGCTTGAACTAAGGACCTGGGCACTGTCCCTGACCTTCTTTTCTAGAGCTATAACACTTTGAGCCACAGCTCCACTTCCGGTGTTTTGGTGGTTAGTTGGAGATAAGAGTCTCACAGACTTTCCTGCCTGGGCTGACTTCAAACTGTGATCCTCAGATCTCAGCCTCCTGAGTAGCTGGGATTACAGGCATGAGCTACCAACACCCAGTTTATCAGAGAGCTTTGTGTCACATGGGGCGTGAGCTGAAGTAGGCCATATTGCCTGTGGTAGAACCCACGCAGATAGTGAGGGATGTTACTGTCTATATTTTGTGGGGAGCAGAAGAATTTTTAGCAAGTTGCATTTCATTCATCTTCAGGAGGCATTGATACCCTGTGGGAATCCCAGGCTTAAAGGAGAAGGCAGGGGATATCACTCATTAACTGCAGGTGTGCTACCGAGCCAGGAACAAAGTGGAAAGTCAGTCACATTTAAAAACATACTGTGGACAGATACACCTAACTGCTCATTTTTGTTTAAGACAGGTGTGAAACCCCTGGCATCCTAGCTCTCCTCAATGAATGTTAAATGCCCGAAAAGTAGTAAAATGACTGGAGGTATCATTCTATGAGCTATTTGTGTAACCTATTATATTTTGGACACTTAAGTGTGTGTGTGTGTGTGTGTGTGTGTACACGCGCGCACGCACACGGGCGTGCGTACATGCATGCGTGCGTGTGCCAGTCCTGGGGCTTGGACTCAGGGCCTGAGCACTGCCCCTGAGCTTCTTTAGCTCAAGGCTAAAGCATTCTACCACTTGAGTCACAGCTCCACTTCTGGCTTTTTCTGTAATTGGAGATAAGAGTCTCATGGACTTCCCTGCCTGGGCTGGCTTCAAACCACAATCCTCAGATCTCAGCCTCCAGAGTAGCTAGGATTATAGGTGTGAGGCACCAGCACCTGGCTTAGAAACTGAATTTGTAAACCATATGTAGTGCTGATCTTGAAAGATGCTGAAGGACATCATCTTCAGCTATTTCTAAGAAGGCAAAAAACCTAATTACCTACAGCTAGGAATGTCAGTCTGTTAGTATAGAAGCTGCAGCTTCTCCATTCACACAGGAACCAAAGTTCTCACACCCATTTGTGATAAAGCCATAGCTTGCTTGGTTCATCTACTGTTATTATGAACCTATCAGCTTAATTCTTTAAAAAAGTACATCTATTATTTCCTGGGGAAATAGAATTCTATAAAACCACCGACCAGCTGCTCTCCTAGCCGCAGAGCTAAACCAAAAGCACATTAGCTGTTCCCTAGCTCTGGCCCGGCACAGATGTGGCTACCTGCTGACATGATTCACCAGACGGGTCTGCAACAACAGGTCTCTTCCTGGCAGGAGATTGTCACAGATGAGGTGCTGGTTCGATCGCACAGCGACCCCATGGCACACGCAAAGCGAGCACAGGACATCCAGGACCTGGAATGAGAAGCCACCTTTCAGATCCTGGCACCCACAGGCCTTCCCACAGAGCCAATGCATCCCCTCCGGCCAGTGAACAGGAGTCCCTGCTATCCTTCACCCAGATCAGCACCGAGAGCAGACCTGCCCCACAAGCGGGCTGCGGACCCCACACAGGACTTTTCCACCATAGCGAAGATGAGACACACCCGTGAAAAACTCAACGCGTCTTTGATAAGTTTTCTTCTTTTAAAGACAGATTTTTGGTGGAGATTTAACTGCTACATAGAAACATTAACAAACTGTAAGCACAGGTACAGTGGTGTGTGTGTGTGTGTGTGTGTGTGTTGAGCATTAATTGATACCAATCTTTTCTTCTAGCTCTTTCAAGTATACAGCGCGTGGCTGTTACACTTTAAATGACTCCAGGATGCGCTCGTGGAAATAAAATGGTCTACTCACTTTGTGGTTTCTTCCGTGCTTATCTAAAAGTGAGATGATGGATTTGATGTGTCCTTCTTTAATTATATTTAGTGCTTCAGGGCTTTCCACGAGCACACAATGTAGCACTTCGAGAATGCCTGCGGGTAAAACAAAGAGAAGGAGAGAGATGGCTGACCGGTCTTCCTTCTTCACTCAGCAAACTGTGTGCACTCTGTCCAACATATCTGATTATCTTGTACTCAACGTCTGTTGCAGGACACTCTGATGAGGAGTCATGGGGTAGGGGTGGGGGGTGAGGAGGCTTGCCAGACATGATGTCCAAACATGATGAAGTCCCAGAGGAGGTAGGCAAAGGGAAATACCAAGATACCCTTTGGCTGAGGAGGCGGTAACTCAGCCTGGCTAGAAGCAGCATCTAGACATGGCTTTGAGAAGGGCATTCACTTCCATGCTTTCTGGGAGTCCAGGAGGGAGGCGTGAGTGCAGTCTTGTGAGGTGCACTCTCCCAGTGTGCCAGGGCACGGGAGCTGAGGGCCGCTTATGAAGCTTCTTGGCATAAAATATTTTTAAAAAACCGTAATAATGCATCTCGATCCAGGGAAATCATTCTCTTCTGCCTCAGATGTACAGTCACTGTAGAAAATGGACCTTTTATTTGCCAAACACAAGACATGTATAAAATGCAAAATAAAATGCAGCCATCACAAAAAGATATAATAATATACCTTTCCTTGTCTTGGCATTTAAAATGAGGAGAGAAAATACATCTCATTAGCACATTGTTTCACGTGAATGTAAAAGGCCAAGGGAATGTGCCTGCCCTTTCTGCACAGCAAGCCTCCTCCCTGCCAGCTCTATGCACCATCAGCCCCGTTAGCCACAAGTCCTAACATGGGGATAGACGTGGTCTCTCTCTGCAATCAAACCAAACTGGGGAGACCCTTCTAGAGTCCCGGCATGCAGAGCTTGTTTTCCTGGATGGGACAGAGTTCATTTCATGAAGAGACAATTCGGACGTCATTCTTCATCGCTGTCACCAATTACACCAGACCCAAGTCCCAGTCCGCTACCCATGTGACGCCTGTGAATTTAATTTCTCCACTTACGACATTAGCTGTTGAAATGGGAACACACATTCAGTTTCAAAAGTAACCCCCCAAAATCTTGAAATTCAGTTTGGTATTGTTCAAATCCAGCAGCTTGTTTTCAACAAGCCCATGACAAATAAAACTCAATGAGAGCCAACAATAACAATATAAAAAGGCAACAAGTAAGTTACAGAACTTCTATCAAGGTGAAATAAAATAATCTCACTCACTGTGAGCTAACATAAAGAGAAAATGCAATCAGGGAAAGGGGTGGGTCTACACTTCACGTCTATCAAGGTAAGATAAAGTTCTCTCGTTGTGAACTAACAAAAAGAATAAATGGAATCGGGGAAAGCGGTGGGTGGGTCAGGTGGTGTTTTCTTGAGTTTGATTAGAAATCTATGAATGGAGTTACTACTGCCTTCCCAAAGGAGGTCCTTAGGGGGCGCCTTTGTCCCTTGCATCCAGCATGGATGAGGTTTCTAGAAGAAAGAGAATCCTCACCACACACCAGACCTATTGTGGCCCTCACCTTGCACTTTACACCACATGGAAGGGTGAGCACTGAATTGCTGTTGGCCACAACCCACTTGGCTTATGTTATTTTATTACAACATCTCAAACAGACCCAGATATTCACCTTCTACAGAAAAAGTTAACCAGGCCCTGCTATGGATTTACCATTAAGAATAGAAGAAGACCAACAAATAAAAGGCCAAGAGCAACGGACTGTCCTGACAAAACAAACAAATAAAAACACCCTTGAAGATCCAGAGCAAGTACAAAACCAAATACAAGAGAAAAGATGCAGGACTAGATTCTGGAAATGGACGGCATATATCACAAAATGTGCAGTGGGCATATGAGAAGGATTTCCTGTTTTTCTCATATTTAGCATAGTCTGACAGAAGGCTTCCAGAATTTAGGGCTTCCTATTAAAGTTTTTTAAATTAATTCTTCCTGGTCAGATCCAACAAAAGATCACTTACTTCATTTTTTTAAAAAACTGTTTTTACTTTTCTCTCGGAGCCTGACAATATGCCAGAGAAATTTTATTTTTGACCGTCACATTCAGTTGCAAATTTGCTGTTTGAGGTTAAGAAAAAATAATCCTATGGAAAATACTGAAAGACTCATTGTTTAATTTTCAAAATAAAGAATAGCTGTATTAAATTGTGTGTGCACTTAAATTATACTGTGATTTGCCTTGAACTCGAGTAAGAAATGGGAAATTAAATGATACTTACTAGGGATTATAATGCAATACTTGAACTAAAGGTGATTTGACTACCAGTAATAAATATATTGAGTAAACCCAGAACTGACAAAAGCAAATACAGTTTTCTGAGACTCAGAAAAAATGAAAGTATAAAAGCTGGGAAGATTTTTATAAGAGTATTACTGAAATGGAAGAATTAAAAATATTCTAATAATTGTCAAAAAAGACACAAAAACTAGTAAAACAATTACTTCCACAAGTCATCATAAATAATTTTAGGGAAAATTTTAATATCATGGAGTTATATTATAGTGTAAATTATAGGAGCAGATACAAAATTGGATATAGATTATGACTACAGTCATGTAAGCTATGCTATTTCTTAAGTATATGTCTCATAAAAGCCTTGAAGCTGATATATAAAAATCACAGTTATTGCTGAATAAAGTATACTTCTTGTTGACTATTTCACAAAATCTACTAAATGAGCATGTATAACTTTCAGAATAAACATATCTAATATCCAAAGGTACTCAATTCAGACAGGCTTGTCAAGAAGCCTGCTTTCCTGACAGCAGATGAGCATATATAACATACATATATATGCCTGGCTTTTCTCTACAGAGTACATAATTCTCACTAGCCTTGATCCAAGCCACAGGAAGGCAAGGGGGGAAGGCTCCATTCACTGTGGGCCCCTCAGAAAAGCAACACTGGGACCAGTCAGAGAAACCCCATAGCGAGAGGCTCCCAGGCAGGATCACCGCACGCGGCCTCTGGAATTAAGTCATTGCAGCCACAGGTTCGGCCACCCTGTGGCACACTTGGGAGCCTAAATTCTTTGCAGTTTCTGGGGCTGGGCCTTCTAAGCACCCCTAGAGCTCCCTGAAGGATGCACAAGTAAGAAAATGGGCTGAGAACACATGTGAGCAAAGCGCCATGCTGAGTGCCAAAGCTAGGAGGGAGAAGCTGGGAAATGACTAAGAAAGCGGGGACCGCAGGCCAGAGGTCTCCAGAACAATGAGAGGAGAATATTCCTGAACACAGCCAGCCTAGTTCCTGAACACTGCCTAGTCAGCCTGGGTGTGGACATGAGAAGAGGCTGCTTCTTCCTTTGTTCTCTCATGCAGGGTGGTCCCGCACGCAGATGGGAGCCAGAGGCTCTCAACAAGTCGTCTAACCACACTGGGCTCCACCGTCCACCTCTGTAATGCAGTCTCTGTGGGCCTGGAGGTCGCTGGGCAGAGAACATGGCAGGCAGGGCACGAAGGAGGGGGTCAGGATCACAGTCATACTGTGCCAGCACCTGCTGGGACATTATGGTTGCAAAAATAATAACGATAATAATACCAGCAACAAAGGGATGTGAAGGTGGGGTGGAGGGAAAAGCATCCCACCAGGAAGAGCATCCCAGCAGCCAGAGGTTCTGCGATGAGCAATGGACAGGGAGGCAGGCCCGTGGGAAGCTAGGGATATTCAAGATAAGTCAGCACAACAAAATGCAATACACGTGCCAGGCGCTGGTAGCTCATGCCTCTCATCCTAGCTACTCAGGAGGTTGAGATCTGAGGATCACAGTTCACAGCCAGCCCAGGCAAGAAAGTCTGTGAGACTCTTATCTCCAACAAACCACTCAAAAAACTGGAAGTGGCGCTGTGGCTCAAGTGGTAGAGCACTAGCCTTGAGCTGAAAGAGCTCAGGGTCAGCGCCCAGGCCCAGAGTCCAAGCCCCACGACTGACCAAAAAAAATTCAGTATGTTCATTAACGTAGAAGACCTTGGGGAGAGAAGCACAAAGCAAGAAGGGCAGGGAGGTAGAACTGCAAGGGACCGGACACCAGAGACCACAGGAGAGCAGAGTCTCAAACATGGTGGCAGCCTGGCCACATAGACAGAGGGTTTGGTCAGTGTGAAAGAATGCCGTGAAACACCCCAGGAGGAAAGGGGCGCCTCCTCCTGGGTACCAGCATTATTAGAGGGGGAAAAAGTCATACAAAGGAATCAAGCCACGGTTTGAGTTAGCACAGGACACTGCCAGGCTAGTTCCAACGTTCAAAGGTCCAGGTCAAAGGGGGTCTGGGGACGTTCTCTCTTCTGTTTCACTAAACTAGCAGTGGTGAAGGGATTAGAGGAAGAATCCCAGCGGTGTGTAAAACGTGGCCTCGTGAATAGATCTGATGCAGACATCGCTACCCAAGCCCGCACACTGCCTGTGCTATTCTACTACATACATGAAATTGCCTGTGCACAGACAGGCAGGAAGGACCCCAGGTGGGCACAGTGGTCAGTTGGGCACCGGGACCAACCAGCAGAAACTTCTACTTGGAGCCAATGAGATAGAGGCCTACTCTTCTTTTCCTTCAAAACAAGCTGTGCCCACCCAGGTGAAATCACAGGCGGTGAAGAATGAAGCAGGTCTGCCGGGCTGCTGTCTAAAGTACCACCAAGCAAGAAGATGTGCTTGTTTGTTTAAAATGGGCATCAATTTGAAGTCAGGGAATGAGTTTGGTTTCCATTCAAGATCAGCTGCCATGTGAACTTGGTTGCCTTTCTGTTTTTGTTTTTGTTTTTTTTGGTCCAGTTGTGGGGCCTGAACTCTGGGCCTGGGCGATGTCCCTCAGCTCTTCAGCTCAAGGCTAGCGCTCTACCACTTGAGCCACAGCGCCACTTCTGGCTTTTTTCTTTTTGCTTATGAGGTGCTGAGGAATCGAACCCAGGGCCTCAGGCATGCAAGACAAGCGCTCTACCACTCATCCACCTTCCCAGCCCCTTGGTTGTCTTTCTGTAAACAGGGGCTCACCCTTCCACCCACAAAATCCAAGTTATTCTAC